ATATTGCTTGTTACTTCCGACATGAAAACCGCATTAAAACGTTAACGCGGAGAATAATAGGACAGTCCGCACGTGAACTGGCGTTCAGAATCGCGTGGAAAATATTTTAGATCTATTAAAACATTGTATTTTCAGCAATGTGTGCACTTGTAAACATTAACAAGTTACCATATGCGCACATTTCAAAAGTTACTTATACACTACACTTTCTCATCTGCGAAACAACACAGTTTCCGAACAGGAGGATGTAACGAAATCAGCTACACTTCAGCGTTAAAAGCGAGGAAAACGGTCTAGTTACAACAGGCAAGTTAACGGTTCCGGAGCGTAGTAGTCGGAGCTTTTTGGCTTTAGCGCCGACAAGAATAAAGCAATATCATTGCGTATGCGCCCCGACATTAAAGTTCCATAGTTCTGTTTGAAGTTGCCGCATTTATTTTGCAGAACTTAAGAGAGTTCTCTCTTCTAATTTGCAAAACTAGTATGTGACATTTGAAGGTTTGTTTTTCGGGAGAGATAAAAATTGTCTAAGAATTCCGAGTATCGGTTCTGAGATTGGAGTTCCCGCTTGTAGTTCGAAGAGGCGGCTTGACTCTGATCGCGCATTCATCGATGGTCGCAGTAAATCCGACAGACCAGTTAGTTTGTTCAACAGAATTCCACGTTCTGTCTTGTTTTCGGAGACTGATTGAGGTCACGCAAATAATTTGTCCATTCCGATCACATCAGTTTTATCTATACAAATTGTTGCTATAGCGTGGTTCAAAATTTGTTTCGAGTTCAAAGATACAATCGTACGCGGTGGACGCGGTGGTCGATGATAGGATCGAGATCCGCGGATATAGAAACCTACATGTAACGGCCCTCTGCTAGAGTCACCGCTAGAGCTTCTGCTAGAGGGTGAGCGAGAGAAATTATGCTTTCGAAGGCACTAGACTGCGAGATCCAAATCAACGAGAAAATATCACTAAGATTCAGTGCCGTATTTCGAAAACGTGTCACTCTGAAATCTCCCAGAAATCTAAACGAGCAAAGTCCGTTTTCGAATTACGATTTTACAACAGAATCAGATATAGATGACGAATAAAAATTCAATTCCGATGATTATAATCTTCAATTGTTTTTATAAAACAAAATCAATCATCTTTTGCTAAAATTCTTAGAGAATTTTACATCGTTTTGATGCACAAATCATCAAAACAGTTTCGAACAAACAGATGTCGAATAGACGTCGAAATGCATTTAATTTTACGTATGGGAAGACTCGATGTATCCATTTCTATACATTAGGGACTTAAGGAATTAAGACAATATTCTTCTTTGAGACAGTCCTGCAATTCTCGCGTGCACACCCCCAAACGCGATGTAACCTCCCTCCACAGACTATCTGGCTATAATCGTGCGCGTGTGTGCTAAGGCCCGAGTCCTAAGGCTTCCCCAAACGACCGGGAGATAAACACGAAAATCCATTGACGTTGCGATAGTGACGACACATGTACAAACACATATTTCATCATCAGAAAGTTACTTCTGCAAAAAACGTATATTTAGGTCACAAAAAACTAAAAAACCAAAAAAAACCAATTACAAAAAGAAAATAATTACACGGACCAAAAAATAGTAATTACAATTGTGCGTTGAAAAAAAACAAGCGATTACGCTCGTTTTAAATGCGCATTTTGTATTCGCGCAGAACTTTGCATATTTCGGAGCGCCGAATTTTTTTGTCGAGAAACAGAAAAACATATCGCGTGTACCTATAACTATTTATTTCGACGGATTGAATAAAACGGTTTGAATGTAATATAGTGTGCATTGAAAACTCAACAACTCGACTATCGCACATACGCTGCGTGAGTGGCTCGATGAAACCATGTAGCGCGTGTGCGAGAATCGAGGGATTTGCAATCGTGGATAATCGTCAGATATGTGGGAAGACCTATTTTTTTTCTTTTTTTTTTTTTTTTTTTTAACAGTAAACAGCGCGCAGTCAATATGTAGCGCAAATTACGCTCGTGTGTACATATTTACACGGTGCGTCAAAAGTTGCGACAAGATTTTTTTTATTCTCTTGCGCTATCTTCTTATGCATTTTGAATGAAGAGTAAAGAAAAGAGGGATGCGTAGCATGCTTTTATTTCTTTTTTTTTTTTTAAGTTAACAAACTCGTCTCATAAACACTCGAGGCGTTTCTGTTCGAAAAGAAACAAGTTAAATGCAGAATGATCGATAACGAGAAACGGCGAAATATAAAATCGTCGCGAACAATGAAGCGCGATATGAAAGCGCTCGGTCTTGTATATATATCGCGACGCGGAACAAAGTTTACAGAGCGCTAGCGGAAATCGCTAATTAAGAAATTATCAAAAATGTATAATATTAATATATATATTAGCCGTGTAATGAACCGACTATTCTTTAAATATAACGTTGCAACGAAATATCTCGCTCGCATTAATTATGTATACAAATAAATTAAGCCCGTTTAATGTAAATTAAACTACGGCTTTGGTCAAAGCCCGACTTAATAGTGAACGAAAAAGCTCTTTTCCTCGCAAGACTTCCGTCGTAAAGGTAAGGTGTGTGCGAAAGACGATAAAGCTTCAAGCAAAGACTTAGAAACAAAGTTGAGTGAGATATAGATCGTGTGATGAGTTTCCTCTTTGTAATTAATTATTGTTCCTTAAATAATAGCGTGCTGACTGAGATCTTACGATATAACTAAAAGAGAGCGGCGGCACTCTCTCGTCGCAAGATAGAAGTGAAAATCCTAAAAATTGCACTCTCAGCAACTCGAACATTTTCTCCAGAAGAGAGTACCGAGAAGCCAACAATTTCGATTGTAACAAATACCGATTCTCTCTAATTAAATTCCGTAGGGAAACACGGAACTGTGTTCAAGAAAAAAAAAGAAAGAGAGAGAGAAAGGGAAATATGTATAGCGTGTAACAAATTTAGCGTAAAATAATTTATATCTTTGCAATTAAATTGGTATCTCCTCAGAGGAAAAAGATATATATCGTTTTTCATCTGCTTTCTCTCTTGCAAATTTTTTTATATTTATATACTTGATTCTTAAAGTTCGTTTTTATATTTACGTTTAATTCTTATATATATATATATATTTTTTTATATATATATGTATATATATGTACAGATACAGACGTACTGTTTTTCATACTGTGTCTTTACGTCATATAAATCACAATCTTTCTCAAGAAATAAACTGTCCCCATCATAAATATCGAAATTGCACACCGGCTGAAAGTCTGTGAAACTTCATTGCGGATTAAATTTATGAGAGGATAAAGCCAGTTACATGTCTTCAAGGATCAGATATGTGTGTGTCTCAAAGAGAACCTATTTCGCGTCAGAGAACAAGATACTTATCAAAATTTATGAACTTAAATTTATAAACTCAATAGTGAGTCGCACGTTTTCTTTTAATTTTTTACTTAAAAAAAAAGAACGCTAGATTGTATGTAAAAATAACACGAGAAAACTTCGATATTGTGTTTGTAGATGGAACGCACGTGATTTTACATTTTCGTCATTACTCGCACGCAAATGGAAATAACATTTTATGTAATATCACAATATTAATCTAAAAATCAAGTATTTTCATGGAAAATTTGTGTATTTTTCTGGCGCGTATGTTGCGCGCCGGAAAAGTAACAAATCGAGCTTGCATTTTGCCTTCTTGATGAAATCGTTCCCGAGTCGCGGATCTCACTTGTATGTTACAAAAGTTTTTCCTCTCCCACATGGATCCTCGAAATCAACTTTCCTTCTCTCCTTCTCGCTCGCGAAAGCTCGTCGTTCGAGTTATATACGACCATGAGTCAATGAAAGCTGAACTTCTCGAGCAAACCAGAAGTCAAAAGAATTTTGCTCTCGAAATACTAATACTCATCTCTATAATTACTAGACTTTCCGACTTCCGGAAATCGGAGAGGAGAGAAGTAGAGCCGGAAATGAGAGGAAACGCTCATTCGGGTAAAAATTCTATTCGTGTTTTTTCACGAATGACAGATTCAATAAAACTCTATAGAGGGAAATGAAGCAATTAGATAAAAGGAAGCAAAGAAACAATTAAATCAATACGATATCAATATCTACGTGTGTGATATATTTGATATACACACAACAATATCATCACGGTAAATACGGAAAACTGCGAGCACTGTGAGAAAAAGTTCGCCGTGTTATTTTGTCAATATTACAATAATGAAATAACCTTATATTACTTTTTACTGACAAACACATTTATATGGTATCGATATCCTTTGATCTTTGATATTACAATAAATAATTTGCAGATTTAACGATTGATCGAAGCGTTCGTTTAGAAAATAATGTCTTTTCGTCTTTGCGCTGCGCTGCGTGCTCTGTCTCTCCCGTCACATATTTTTTAGCGCATTTTATTTTATGTATGAGAGAAAGACAAGACGTTATGTATGATATTGCGAGAAAGTTTATCGGCTTCCCGACAATATTGTTTCTGCTAAACCTCATGGATTCGGAAACTCGGAGACTTATTGAGCAAACTCGTGAATTATGCGGGAAAGAAACAAGAGGGATGACGGGATATATTACACACAAAGTCGCTTGCGCGATCGACTCGCGTTTTTTCCTCCAATTTTTCGGATTCCGTCGAACGTTCTTCCCGCCCGGAGAAGGATCAATAATCGCGACAATCGATAATCGATAATCGCGAAGACATCAGTCGGAGAAGCGCAGCCAATCGAAAAAAAAAACCGAGAACATCTTCTACACGATCGTTATCGTGAAAAATTTTGCGCGATTATTTTGTACATCTTGTATCAAACCGTGTGTCATCGGATTTTTTACATTGTTCTCACGCGTTATCTCGCAAAAATACCGTTAATAAATTTCCTTCGGCAAGAAACGCGCAGAATAGCGGCGTAAAGAACAAATATATATCGGAACGTTATTCTCGCAAGAAATCGGTTGACTTTTTTTTTTTTTTTTCAACGTACCTTCCGTTGAATCGTCAATCTTGCCGACGCCGTGAGGGAGTAGAATTAACACATCAGCTGGTCGTCATACTAATCGCCCGTGGCCGATCGTCGCTGGCACCGTCATCGGCACTGTCGCACACTCACTGAATAGCCCGAGTCGCGACATATCATCGTCGGCTATTTGGCACCTTTCCGGCGTTTCCGCGACACTTTCGCAGAAAAAATCGGCGAGGCGAAGAAGCGCGCGCGCGCGTGTGTGTGTCGTTGTTCGGAAAAAAAAAACGGGGAAACAAAACCGGGGACGGGATTGCTTCAGAAGCGCGTGCAAACAATCACGAACACTTTACGCGGTCGGCGCATTAAAAAAAAAATCGAGAAACGTTGCGTTCGCCGCACACGATGAAGAAAAACAAAAAAGAAAAAGGTGATCTACGATAAAATTCTACGCGGCTACACGGCGTCGCGCCTTCAAGCGCGCTCCACGGTCGCTACACTAACTGGCGCCGCGACGCCACTTGAATTTAGACGACGAACGCGCGCCGGCCGATCAAAGGTGTCTGCGCAAACTCACAGGCGATTGTCGCGCGCGCCTGCCGCGCAAACTCGCTGTTGCCCGCCTTTGCATGCGATTCACTTCAGCGTTCTCTTTAAAAAATATTTATGCCGTGTGTGGAACTCTTTTTTCGCAACGCTTTTTCACTTCTCTAAAATATACTGAATATTTTTAATTCTATTATCTCAACGAAGTGCGTGAATCTTCATTGATTTTTTTATCTACGGATTCCGTCGCATTTAAGGATTGAATTAAAAAAAAAAAAAACCAACTCGCATGTATATATTAAAAAAAGATCTATAACTTTTATTATAAAAAATCATTTGTACAAAAAGGTGTAATGTTTTATGTATATACCACATCGCTTGCAGTGAATCTATGCTCTTTGTGAGACAACATACGAGTAAACGGAATAAAATAACGCGTTCTCTTTGTGCGTGCTTCCGGATTGGAGACGCAATTTTTTTTTTTTTTTTGATTTTTTTTTAATCTTTTTAGTGAACATTTCAGTTCGCTCTATCGGGAGTTAAATACAGTCTGTATCGAGCGGGTCTCCAGTCCCGAAGCAACGCGCAAAAAATTTTGAAATATATCGCAAAAGCGTCGAATACAACATTCTTTCTTTAATTAAAAACGCGAATGCTACACGAATTATTATTTCCGATTCACTTAAAAGCGATGATAGTTTTTCTTTTTCCCGCAATCACACATATACTTTGCGCATTCGAGCCGTAATAGTTTCAACACGCAATTTAATATCTTCGTACTATACAATTTTAATGCCTCACGCTACCATATTATGTCTATCGTTATCTCGTTATAAAAAGAAGTGTGGCACTTTCTCGTAAAGTTTCTTGCTATTCTCACGCGGCAAAGAAGATCGGCAAAAATAGGAAACAGATCTCCGAGTATGCTTAAGGGAAAAAGATATGGACGATGCGTTGAAAATTCCCTTAAATTTCAACTCGAAAAACGTGATAAGAATATCTCACGACAAGACAAGTTACATACATTTGTAAGCTTTTCTCAAAGATTTATATGTACACAACAGGAATTCACTATTAAAATATAAATTTTTAAACACCGGCCTACCAAAGAAAACGCGACACACTTTGAAACAATCGATTCTTCGTTCTTGTAAGAATCACAAATTGTCACAATTCAGCTATTGTTTATTGTTTCTATTATAGTTTTTCGTAATAACGTATTATTATCAAGTTAACGATCATTAGTTTTTTTTCGTTTAATCAACATGCTGATAAAATTAATACTAAAAAAAAAAACAAATACGACAACAACAATTGTTTGGTAGACTGGTTGTTAATTTTATATCGATATGAATGCGCGTTTGATACACGTCAGAAACAACAACACGAACTCTGGACGCGATTGTTTTCTCCTCGGAAGAAGACTGAGTGATGTATTTTAGCGACTATCTCGCAAAAGAGAGTAGAATCTAACATGTGCTGCTTTGTTTATTTTTTCTTTTTTTAATTATCATCATCATCCCACCACCGTTTTATAATTTGTACTCTTGTACGATTCCGAGCAAATCGTAGAAATCGATCTTGCAGTAAAAACCAACGCAAAGAAAAACTAGCGTAACCAACAAAATGATTCAACGCAAAATCGCTTTTGCGTTGCCATTATCATATCCGCAAAACAACAAAAATCCTCAAATATCTAGAGAATTAAGCTAAATTGTAGTAAGGTTACGATGAGATTTGAGCTGCCTGCATTTCCTCCTGTTGTATCTTTCTTCGGTAGTTGTCCAGCGTAACTTGTATAGTCTTCTCGGAGTAACGGCAGTTTTCGGCTCCACAGGTACATGTGAAAGACTTGCACTTTATTATCCAGAATTTCTCGCCGTAATCGAAACTGAGGACAAACAGATCTGTGTTTGATCTTCTTGTGCCACGTAAATACCAAGCGCAAATTGATTAACTACGTTTATTGGAAATGTTTTTAATTGTTAAATATGTCAACTCAAGTGGCAAGGTGACGTTCTTACATGACATCAAAGAACGTCACTTTGCTACTGGGGAGAAATAAAGAACAGATGTTAGAATCTCAAAAAAAAGTAAAAAAAAAAAAAGTAATTTTCTTTGAAGTTTTTACTCTCTATATTTAAAACAAAATAATATTTTTGCGCCAATAAAAAAAAATAACAAAGGTGAAAGAAATTTCAACCACGTAATTTTACATAGTAAATCAAAACTAAATATTAAATATAATTTATTATTTAACAAAAGGCTTCAAAATGTGCAATATATTCCAGTTAATTTGTAAAGGTGCGTATCAGCGATTTCTTGCGTTTCTGTGACTGCAACCGTGTTTTAACATACCCGAGCTCTTCGTCCGCATCGATATCGCGATTGGCGAAAAACGCTATCCTAGGAAAGTGCAGATCCTGATGCTCGACGAACACACGCACCGGCAGCAAGTTCGGTGCGCAAGAATGATTGATGAACCGAGCGATATTTCCGTAACGTCTAGCGTCTATGCAATACGTTTCTCCGTCCTGTGCGTACATAGAGTAAATTTCCTCAAAAAAATTAAATTTCAAAATATAGTAAATATAATATGTCACATATGGAAAACGCAGAAATAAGTATGAAAATAATAATAATTGTGAAGAAAGTAAAATAATTAATTTAAAAAAACAAAGATTGACAAAATATTGTGTTCGCAAAAAAACCATGTTCTCAAAACTATTTGACTTAATATTTAAATCAGTCTTTGAAGTTAAATCTAAATTATTCGTTTCAAAGATCAAGAAATTTATAAAAACAAAAAAATATGAGAAAATTACGAATAGACGTTAAAAATCTGTCGATTTTTTTTGTTATACAGAAAATCAGTACATAATAGTAACTTACTCTGTTGTCCAGATCGAACAAGTAAGAATCATCTTCGCGATGATCAGCCTCAGAATCCGATATTATCTCGCCTACGTATTCGCAAACGTAAGTGCCTTTAGGAATAAATCTCAGAGTTCGAAGACCCCAACCTTTTCCCTTCGTACGAAACAGTTGGAACCTTTGTGTCAGTCCGTGTTGAATAACTCGATTATTGCATGTAATACGATTGCAGTCGCAAGCTGGATTACATTCAAACAACATCGGCGGATCTGTACAATGAGACTAGTGTTGTTACACACGCATGCATCGATCTCGCGAGGAATCTATTTTTATGCAATCAATTGTTTAAATTTTTACCTTCAAATATCGTAAGTACCTGCATAATTAAACTCGGGTACGAGTTTTCCTTCTTCGTCGTACCAACATCGCAAACTTATATTTCCGCATAAACATTTTTCCGAACTGCAATTGTCTTCGCAGCGACAGGATTGCAACGATGTTATTGTACGATCTACGTTAATATTACTAGTGAAGCAGTTCTCTGTGACGTAAACAAAATCGGTTGGCTTGTCTTCAGAATCGTATCCATTGACGCACTGTATGGGATTTGTTTCTTTCCCCCGTGAAATATCGCTACAAAGCAAAACGATAACAAAATTATACAATCGCTGAAAAAGGATAAAGCATTATTTTTTTTATTTTTTTATTTTTTTTACTTATTACTTTTAACAGTGCCGAGGGTAAAACGAGAGTTAACTTACTTCGTTAAAATTTTAACCGTCTTCTCCCACATGTGTTCCGAAAGTTCGTTAACTTTCGCATTTAATCTTAGGGCAGTCATGGTGTCTCCGTCAGCGGGGCAACAATTTACCGCGGTCTCACCGGCGACATTCAACTCCCCTATTTTAGCACCACGCGCGAGCAAGAGAACACAGACCGTATACTGATCCTGCCTAGCTGCTATGTGTCTAATAGTCAAACATTTCAATCATTTTAAGTTAATAAATTATATAGATGTCAGATTGAGAAATTTAATAAGAGCAATGAAAAACATTGCATGATTTTTTTTTAAGAAAAATATACAAACGTACAAAGGTGTATCGCCGTGAACATTAACAGCATTCACATCGCATCCCTCGTTAAGAAGCATTTCTGTGATTTCAGCACTGCCGCTGAAAGCGCTCCAGTGCAACGCTATGTTTTGCTCGGCATCTCGGATAAGCGGATCGCATTTCTTATCCAGCAAGTATCGCGCCACATCCGTATGACAAAACTCACATGCCCAAATTAAACTCGTCCAGCCGCCATCGTCCACAGAATCTGCAAATGAGAATATTAAACATCCGAGGAATTGTGATAAAAGTAAATAGAAAAAAGGAATTTTCTATTTTTTATAAAAATGATTTTACCTACTAATGTTCTCGGTACTTTACACTCGGTCAGAATGATCTGGCAGACTTTCAGATGACCGGATTTCGCCGCCATGTGCAAAGCGGTCATGCCGTCCTCACCCTTCAATGTAACGTCGGCGCCTACTCTAATTAGATATTTCACCACGTCAGCATTACCCTTGGTCGCAGCTAGCATCAATGGCGTTAATTGGTTCCTATCCATTACGTCTACTTGAGCACCGGCTTGTACCAGTACGTGCACACATGACAGATGGCCCTTATCTGCCGCTATGTGCAGACCAGTACGTTGAGCGTAATCCCGGAATGTGTGATTCGCATTATAACCACATGCTAAGTAAATCACAAAAAAATCTTTATTAGCTACTCGAATGTTCTACAATTGTGTCAAGATGTTATATATATATATATAATTTAGATTATCAAGCTTTTGCTAACCTAATACATTAACCAATTTCTCCAGATCCCCGTTCTTCACAGATGTGTACAGACTCATGATAGTATACCGTTCTGGTCTTTCGGTGTTGATCGACGGTTCGGGTATTTTAATGATATCAGGTTTGACCAGCGGGCTGGGTGGACGTCCCGCCAGCTTTGTATTGTCACCCTTGCCAGGCAGACTCATCTTTGCCGAGGGCAATTTGGAAAATTTCTTGCGTGTCGGTATAAAAACGGGTTTCCGCATGCCGTTCATTGTTATCAACACTTCGTACGAAGTGCCATTGCCACCTTCGCTGCCGCAATGAGGACACACACCTCTCTTGTGCGAATACACTTCGCAGCCGCGATGATATTGATGTCCGTTAGAACACTGCACAAATCTTCCTTGCGAACAGAACAAACCACAGGAAGGACAGCAATTGTGTCGCAGCATTCGTTCTGTATGCATACGACACAAAATAATGAAAGGCACGCGAGTACTCGGCCGTCGCATGGTCACATCTTTACTGTCCACTTCGTTGCAGCAGCCGACTACACGATTGTCGATTGAATCGAGTGCGGTGCAGTAAAGCGGCGCGCCGGGACCCGTTATAGTGACGTACAACTGAGATCTCATTTGGCACAAACACAGCATCGATTGTACATACGTCTGTATTAAATCAATAAAATGAATAAAACTATAAGAATCTTTATTAATACAAAATTAATGAGCAACAGATATACTAACTTCACTCATAATAGCCGTAGATTCCGGTCTTGAGGCCTGTCCTTCGGCAAGACTCGGACTTGACGCCGTACTACGACGAGTTCGCTTGGCTGGCAAATCTACATCAAAGCTCATATGTAAAAACTAGCTATTACATTCTATTTTATCGTATAAATGATTCATTGTAAAATGCTGGCTTTACCTTCGGGATAATCGTTATTCTTCCCTGCTTCTGCAACGGATACAGAATCGTCTGTGTAAAATAATTCGTTAATTTTAATTGAAAAGAAAAGAGAAAAGAAAAGAATAGCTATGTAACAGAAAAAGACTGGATACGTATATCGACATTATATCACCTTCGTACGCATCTGACTTGGCAATTTTTCGCGCGCCCTGATTACTTCCGCGCGGACGTCCTCTTTCCCTCTTGGGCCGGCCACTAGTAGCCGGTTTCAGGAAGGGCTTTTCAATATCTGCCAACGGTATGTCATCGCTTTCGGGACTGCCGATAGAGTTGTTTAATTTGTTTTGCGAGTCCGAGTTTCTCGTCATTGGTGATAACTTTGGCATACCATCAAAGTCCGATTGCGAATCTTCTACGATGCTGTCGTTTATATTATCGGACAGTGTGGTGTTGTGCGATAACTCCAACATGGAATTTTCGGATGTGTTAATATTATTATCGGATAACATGGACGTTTCCAAATCCTGACGAACATCGGCGAGTTTTACTTGAGTCTGATCCTTGCCCTGTTTAGTTTGATCCTTGCCTTGTACCACTTTTTTAGGCCGGCCCGGTTTGTTGTACTTTCTCTTCTTACTGTGTTCTTCTGTGTAATTCGATTTCTCTTTACGGGCTATGGCGCTTTCCAACACAGTACTTTTTAAGGATTCCTTGCTGAGCCTTCTAGCTGAACGCTTGGGACCAGGTTGCTCTTCATCTTGAGGAATTGATTCACTGAAAACGTTAAACAGAGATTTACATTAAAAAAAATATTAAATACGTATTACATACTTAAATGTTTAGCAAATAACAAGAGTAAGAAAAAATCAAAAACCTAAGTGCTCGCAATCTAGGTCGTCCAGCCCTTCTCTTCCTGGTAAGCGGTGGAGTAGGCAGAATAGGAATAGGTTCTTGTTGCTTGATAGGTTCTGCAAGCACTGCCTCAACATTGTTGCTCTCAACATTATTTTCTACAGTTTCTGGTTTATCTTGAGTGTGAGACTGTGCATCATTATTTGGCTTTTCAACCGTATCTTCCGCTTGATCTGTTTCTATAGCTTTTGATTCTGTTTCTTTTGTAGATTCCTGCTCATTTGTAGATTCTTTTTCTTCTATGGATTCTTTTGCTTTTACAGATTCTTCTTTTTCTGCAGATTCCACTTCCTTTTTTTTATCTGATTGGGATTCTTCTGTATCTTCAGATTCTTTCCTCACATTTGAATCTTCTAAGTTCTCATCAGAATTCTCTATCTTAACAGAGACACCACCAAACTGATCACAATTGACCAACTCATCTGGCACCAGAGTGAGATTAGAACAACTGGATATTTTGGTTTTCTTGCCATGATCCGTGTTCTCGTCAATGGTCCTGAACGTCAGAACAATCCTGGTCAAACCACCGTCCTTTTTGACAGGTTCTGTTTTGTCTGACGAACTGTCCTCCCCACTTTTGTGATTTTCCTCTGGTACAGAGACTTCTTGAGTCGAAGCGGCCTCGTCGTTGACAACATCGCTCTTTTTTTCTTCCTTGGATTTCTCATAAACAACTTTCGAAGGCAACGATGGTGTTGCCGCCTTTTCCGTTTCCACTTTCTCGTTATTCACCGAACACACACTTTTATTGAACTCGTTCGTCATACTCTCGAGGATCTCGTAAATACTGTTCTCGGTGGCCGTTTTGTCCTCTTCGCCATCATCGCCGGTCCCCTTTACCGCTGTCGCGCGACAGTTCTCGGCCGTCGCAACAAGTCTGTTGTCGCCCTCGGAGGAAGTGACGTCGGCCATGCCTCCGTGTTAAGTTAGCTGTCTGCTACGAATGATGAGCTCGTTGCAACAAGCGACGCATACCTTTGAGGAAAGACCTCATTGTCACTCCAAGAGCTACGCTTACCTACTGGAACATGATTCTCACTTCTGTTCCCTCCTATTTCTCATAGAAACGCCTCTCTTTTTTGGCTTATTCTTTCTGTTATCTCGAACCTCCGTTTTTACACACTTCGTCTAGCATGGGACGCGTCGTTCTCCCCGATGTAGCGCTCAATTTTTCTGACGACAAAATTAATTATGATAATCGACAAAACAGGCTTATTGATGACGCGGGGAACTCCGCTTATACTTTTCTATTACCGAAGAGGTGGGACACCGTTCCTTGTTCTCTTCCCTCCACCTTTTCTTACTTCTAACAGTACGGAAAGGAAAATACATCGGACGTAGCCCGTTGATCTCGTCAATTCTTTTGACTGATTCACGCGCGTCAAGATGAAGACTCTTGAATGACCAAGTTGCTCAACTGTGCCGAGGTACTCAACTGAACTAAACTACAATCGGATTTTGGTGTTTCGTCCGGTGTGCTGCAGAACAGCCAAGCCACCCAGGCACAGCAGCAAGCCGAGCCAACCACGCTGAACTTCACGAGCGAGAGAGAGTAAGAGTGAGAGAGAGAGGAGGAGAAAGATGGCCGCACTTACGTTAACGTACTCACGAGCGTACCCCGCGAGCGAGCACAAAGTAAGCGAGTGACGATGTTGGAGGCCATATTGATTACTCAGGGACGGCAATCGGAAGAGCGGCGACGGAATTATTTTCTTTCCGTGATTCTACAGCCGGTTATCGCGTCACATTACGCCATGTGCCGCGGAGCGCTCGAATAAATTAACTTTCAATGACGTTTCGTTTCATGTTAATTCATACAGGCGATTTATCACGAAAACTCGTTCTTCGAGAGTAAGGAACAAGAAGAGGAAGCACGGCCATTACGCGTATTGTTTATATATATGTATATAGACATACGCGTATTCGTCGTGTACTATTTTGCACAAAACACGACGAACATTCGAATTTAGAAATGAGTTGCAACACGGACGAGAAAAGAATTTATAATTTCGCACAACAAAACTAACTGTTGAAAAGAAACGGACTGCGAGCTGTTACACGGTTCAACTTTAAACTTTATTCGTTCGCGATCGATTCTAAATATAAAAACGTGTTGTTTCGTAAGATTTTTTTTCCTATAATAGTTTTTTATACCAATATATTATTTTGTCGTATGAAAATTAAATATAAAACTATACAATTATAAAATACGTACGCATATCTCAACAGCACAGAGTTCAAGAGATATTCACTGAATATTTTATCTGAATGTTACAGTATTCAGATATTCATAAGACTTTCTTGGAATATTGCATGCTGTTTGTATATGTGCGTGTATAATGTATATAAAAAACTGTACTTTTTTAAAAATCAGAATTTGAACTTTGAAATCTTCCAGTACGAGCGATTGCTTTTATCTGATAATCCTATTTCTTTCGATTCAATATTATATTTTTACATCTCATATATTATTTCAATATTATGTACTAATATATAAAATATATTTTAGTTAGTAGCAGAGGCAATTACATGAAACAAATTCGGAGAAGAGGGAATGCACTCGTATATAATAAATTTATACGTTACCATAAAAGGATATGTACATATACATACATGTACGTGTAATATGGCGTTTTACGATCGTTACAAACTTCGGCCACCAGAAACGGTGGCTACGAACAGCTGCAAAGTTCGATCGACTGTGTAAGATAATACATAAATTAGCACAATCAACAGTAACATGGCGAAACAAATAGTTGTAAATCCATCGGCTCCTAATGCGCATGAGCCGTGAGCAAAAAAGTAGCTGCTTAGAGATTACGTGGCATGATATGATAAAAATATACGTTCCAGCCGAGCACTAGATTCTAACGCGTAAGAATATCGATATTGTGGAATATAAAAAAATATGGCGTCTCTTTCAAACAAATATATATATACATATGTTCTACAGAGACCAAAGGTTCTTCTTTCAGGAAGGAATGAGAGTGTATCGAAAAACACAGATGGGAAATAAAAATGAGAAAAAAATTTTAGATATTTAGTGAACGGCGAGAAGAAAAAGGAGGGAAAGAATTGCAAGAAACGATTGTGACTCGTATAAATATAAGTTTATTTACATTGCAACAGAGAGGATCCTTCTGTCAAATAAGTGACACAAGGGTGATTACGACTGTAAACTTGAACATAGTTTTAAGGATTAAATGTTAATTAAAAATAATAATAATTACAACAATCCTAACTGTGTGTACGTGTATGAGTAAAAAGATCTTACACGCCTTGCCGATTTCAATAAATAATGTACATTCGTGTTTACGTACATTATTGTGTGTATGTGTGTTTGTGTGTCCCGTAGTAAGATTTCTACGAAACGTGCTGCTGTAACATTATTGTGTGTTGTGCTTCCGATTTTCCGATTTTTTCATTTTTCTCATTACAAAGAGAAGTCGATTGTGAATGCGATAAAATATCGCCTCTCTGTTCGATTCGTGCTCTCGATCTCAATACTAAATTATGTACCAGGAACGACTCGCTCTCTTTTGTGTATATATATATACATATACATATGTATATATATATATATATATATAATTTATATTTATATTTATATTTATATATGTGTATATTACTTTATATAAATAATAGTTATAATAATTAATATTAATAATAAAACGTAGAAAAATCGCTGAGAGACTATTCGAGTCGCAGAGATACCGCAAAGGCCGTCCCGAGAGAAGACGTTTCGTTGCGTATATTCTTTCTCTCTCTCCCTCTTTCCTTTTCTCTTCTCTTCAACAAGATTCTCATGATCGAATAGAAAGAAGCGTAAACGAAGCAATAGGAACGGTTTACGCGATTTTTTTTTAATTTTTTAATTTTTTTGTATACGGCACAACGTCATATCTCTCTTGTATGTGTTGCACGTGTATGTGACACGTATATTGACAGTTACTTTTAGAAAAAATGTCGCTGAGGTGTATCGCGATTACTGCTGCACTCCTCCTCTCGCTCTCGCTCTTTCTCTCTCTCTCTTTCTCTCACACACTGTACTCCTCTAAATACGCAAGCGATATAAAAAGTTGAGCATCGTATTTTTTTTCTCGTTGCGTATTACTGATAAAATACACATCGAGAAGAGGATCACTTTAATGAAGATAATTCGATTTGCGTCTTGTGGCGGCGCGGGAAAGCCGTGCGCAAATATTACGAAAATTGTGCGCAGTCATGATTAACGTGTGAAGCGCTTTGAGAGAGACACGTTTTTTTTTTTTTTGTTTACTTTTTTCTATATATCTTAACATCGATAAGGGAATTAAGAAAATACTTGTCAATCGGAAACCTCGAAATACTTCTAACTATGAGTCAAATCTCTTAAGGCAATTTTCGCGCCGCGTCAAAGCATCTGCGAATTCAAATCAGAATCAAATATTTTGTTCGCAATTTTGTGTGAGCCGTTTCGCACGCTAAGTTGACAAACAGCATTTCCCGTACAACAGCTTGTGACTTAAGCACCAACAACTGAGTTTGCGGCAGCTCGAAAATTAAGAACACACTTCGCCGTTTCTCTGTTTTTTTTCTTCTTTTTTTTTTTTTTTTTTTTTTTTTTTGCTTTTTTTGGTTTACGACGTCCGACAAACGCGGCCCTGTATACTGTGTGCGTACACGTTTTATGACTTTCTGTGCGCGCAACCATCGTCAAATAACATCGCACTTCGCTACTACGTGGTGCATGTGATTGCCGTCCGGGTGTCCGTAGTCGCGTATGGCACCAACAAGGAATAATAATAAGGCTTAACAATTTTAGCGGTGGGTTATGGCGGCGGAGGTCTCCTTTGAGGTTCAGGTGTGTAACGTAGACGGGCTCGCACATGTTGTGGGCTACCAGGCACGGAATTGCTCTCCGACAGTCTCCTGGGAGGTGGCTGAGGCGGAGAGGGTGAGACATACCTTGAACAAAATTATAAACTTACATAGCTATAATAATTATTGAAAAAATCATAAAATAAATAAAAGAGTTAATCAAAAAATGAAGATGCGCACCTTCGTGGACAAGAAGGAGACGACTGTTCGATTAAATTTCTTCTGAGAGCAAGCGGAGACTCGCCACGACTCAGTCTTGGCGGTGGCTCCGGCGAGGGAGCGCGTTCGCTACCGAGCCTAAGGCGCACGTATGACGCGAAACGCTTCTTCGCGGATTCCTTCGAACCGGTGCCTTGTTGCGGCGGCATTCCCACGAACGACGACGGTGGTGATTCCTGTTTCAACTGATGCGCAAAACGGGAGATCAACAATTGCGGACTAGTAGAGCCGTGGGATCCTTGCGGCGGTGGCTCCGAAGGAAACCTGTGCGAAGCAAGTGACAACATTAGCTACGACTTTATACGAGAATAGCGATAGTGACAGAATATGCTCAAGCGAATTAGTCTAGAAATCAATGCTAAATATATACTAAATTACCTTTTGCGACTGATCATTGGACTGCCATAGATATCATGCGTCTGAGAATGTATCTGAGAAGCCGGTGACTGATGTGACGATAACTGTGCTAGTCGTTGCTGCAAAAACGGTGAATAACGACCACTGTTGTTGTCACAGGTAGGTGGTGGTGGCGGCTGAATGACACCGGGCGGATCAACGTTTTCTCGTCGCCAAGGAGAATAGTCTCTCGCGAAAGGACTCAGCGATCTCGAGACACCTCCTTGCCATCGGTCCGTCTTGTTACCATCGCGCTCGTCGTAGCGACTGCTGCGATACGGGGAGTACGGTCGGCCGTTACTATCTAAGTTGGCGTCCTGTATCATCATATAAGGGGAGAACGATCTTGTCGTCGACGTCGTTGTTGTTATCATTGTCGTCATCGTCGTCGTCGTCGTCGTTGCCGTTGTCATAGCCGTCGACGTCATCTCATGTCTGCCTTGACCATTCGTTGTTGAGCAGCGATTCGAGGAAGAATAATCATGCCTGGTGTTGATGTTCTGCTCGTGTTGCCGGTAGGGCGAAAAAGGCCGCGGAGGCAGATTCGATTCCGGCTGATCTGGCTTGTTGTCCTTGAAGATCGGCGGTGAAAAAGGCCGAGTGATCTCTTTCCGGCGAGGAAAATACGGACTGTAAGACACATAATTCGCACCGTTCTCGCTGTTGGAACGTTGATGGAATGGCAGAAATCCAGAATTCAGCGGTTCTCTGGTGCTGTTATTAATGTTACTTCTTAAAAAAGCCGGCACTTCGGACTGCGCTCTGAGATGGGCCGTTTGCTTCAAGGATATGTGGCCCGAAATTCGCTGCTGCTGCTGTTGCTGCTGTTCTCCCGGCAATCTGAAACTAATTCATAGTATGAGATATCTTCGTGATTACGTAAATACGTAGTTGATTCCCCGCAGCATGAATGTGATCTGATTCTTTTGCTATAATATACGTGCCATTGTCACCGCGATATCGTGATGACTCTGTAAAAAACATCTCAGTCTAGGTCTAGAAAAGTTAATGGAAGTTAGAGCAGAGCGTTAGTCGTTAATCATGCATACAAACGAGGATACACATATGTATAGAGGAACTCTTCTGTAATGAAATAAGTGTTTGATATCGTACATAATATATATCTCTAACTGTAGTGAAATTTTCCAGAGAGAGGAATCTGCTGCGAGATCACGGAATAGTTTTACGTCGTAGCCATGTAAATTGGAACAAGCTGCTTATGGGAAAATTAACTTGATACAACGATGAAAACTATGAAGATATATATAAAAAACTTTTTAAAACTCACGTGAGACATGATTACACAAAATAAGGAATTGAAAAATGTAAAATTTTTGAGAAAAAGCATATTTTTTATTGTAATTTTTTGCTAACTTTATTGCAGCAATCTCGTCCCTACTTACCCTTAGGCAAAAATTCGTTTCAGACAATAGGAGAAAAACAAATCGTGTGATTGACTTTACAAAAACAGAAAAGGAAAGTGGCGTGTGCACAGGGAGAACTTATGCGTGCATCGCGATGGATCAAAATCAAACGAATCACTACGCTAAAACGCAACAAAAATAGGCGAAAAAGAGAAAGAAAGAGTATACAAAAATATATCTAGAAATAAAAAAACAATGCTTACCGTGAGTGGGAGTTGAAGGGTGGGGTGTGTAACAGGCGCGTGCACAAACCAAACAACTCGAAATGAAAATCGGGCAGATTTTTGGATATTCTGAGTAGTAGCTAGGGTAGTCTCTAACTTTTTTCTTTTTTTTTTTAATCTCTTTCAGGGATTTTCGGAAAATGGAAGTAGGAGAAAGGAAGAAATGAGGGAGAGATGGATGCTACGCTGCGCTGCCTCCCTCAAGCTCAACGCTGCAACACAATTTAACACGCACGCAAACTTTTAATTCGAGAAAACGAGCTGTAAATGTTGAATGTTCGCGAAGTAGTATCAGGTATAAAATTTTATACCGGATGGGGGTTCCAAAAGTATATCAACGTCTTCCGTTGACCGTGAATTCTCCGATAAATTCGCAAATCAATCGTTTTTTAATCGCAAAAGATAAGACACGGAATAAATAAGAGAATTCGATTAAAAACCGAAGACGTATCATAACTCCGGAACACCTCGCACAAGCGCTAATGTTTGACGACAAGCCAATTTGCAAAGTACTTCACACAATTTTGAAGCCGTTTCGACGCTTCTGTCGACCGTATAAAACTCTGTGTTAAATATTTTAGTAAATTTTTTACAAAAATTACTTGTAAAACGCTATAATTATTACGGTTGTTATAAAAAAAAAAAAAACAAACAAACGAGATAACTAAATCAAAGATCAGTATCTTTCATTAGATGAAAATTTTGTTCATGCCGTGTGTTTAAATTTCGCGATCTCGCTCTATTGTCACTCATCTTTTGTTTAATAAATGTTACTCTTCCTAAATTCTAATAATATAAGGAAATTCTAATATATAAATTCTTTATTACAAGGAAATTTAATGTATGTGTGTAAACTAAATACACATCAACTAATATTGTTAACAAGCCGAAAATTAAGCGAAAAGTAAGTAAGCGAGCTTGATTCTCACCTTGGTTCTAGCTGCCGCATGATCTTGCAGAACCACTGGTATCCGGAATTTACAGCAGAATTTATATCTTGCGGAACATCGTATTTGCGAATGAACGGATGTTCCATGAGTTTGTGGTACTTCGGCCGATGTTTGTAATTCTTCGTTAAGCACAAATTGACGAAGTTTCTAAATTCTCTCGAGAAGGGTCTGTCAGTCGGGAGAGACGGAGGATCGTCTTGTACTACTCTGCTCAGTACCTGTGACGCGTGAGTTCAATAACGAGAATAATAAAATATAGGAATGAGTTTATACAAATTTTCGCAATAAAGAACATACCTCGAAATCAGTCTTGCAGTCTCGATAAGGAAATACTCCCGTAGCTAGTTCTACCAGAGTAATGCCCAAACTCCATACATCTGCTCTTATATCATAATCCGGTTTGGTAGGATCAGGAGGATCTATCCTTTCGGGCTAATAAAAGAGGAACAAAAGCACGCAATTTACAATAATTTATATTCGATAATTCTGATAATAATCAAAAAGTTAAAGTTTTCCAACAGTATGTGCATACTTACAGCCATGTACGCCGCACATCCTGCGCTTCTCGTCTTTGCTTTACTATCGACCAATCTACCGGATATTCCGAAATCGCACAGTTTTACTCCTCCTGATTCGTCCAATAATATATTACTAGGTTTTACGTCTCTGTGAATTACACCATGTTTTTCTTTCAGGTACGACAACGCTTTCACTGTCTAAAAAAAATTATTGAGATGAAACTTTTGAAGAAAATAGCAGCCTTTGTGATATTAATTTGGTCTTTGAATTGTTTTGTGGAAAAAACTTACTGCTACTGTAACTTTGCCTAAAAAAACCTCTGGTATTGCCTCTTCTTTACTATGCTTTAACAGTTTGTCTAGGCACGTCACCATGAGTTCCATGCATATCCAGACATCTGATTCAGTGATAAAACAGCCTAGGCACTGCACAATATAGGGACAGTCATGTGATTTGAGCACAACATCGAGATCCATAATTATTCTCTTGTTTTCCTCGGCGTTTCCAGAACGTCTCATCTGTTTCACAGCAATCACTACACCACTTGGTTTGTGCTTCATCTTGACAACATGTCCACAGGTACCATTACCCAGTTCCCCAAGATGCTCCAAATCTTTCATGTCTGTATGATACCTCTGGCCATTGATGTTCAAAATGCCATTCATCTTCATGATCTCCTGTAACTTTGATTCAAACTCACTGTCGTGCTTCCATTCATTATGCCGCATTTGAGAAACTGGCAGATCCAGTTGCTTTCTTGATCGTGTTGGGGTACCCATGTCTCCAACTAAAAAAAAAATAAAAATAACTATTTCAATATCATGCTATATTTTTATCAACTTATTCTATGTGTATCTTTTTTTATTATTATTTAGTATACATAATAACTAAATGAGATAAATTTATATTCTTTGTACTTTAATATCCAAAAGTAATATATATATTGAAAATAAAATCTTTCAATAATATTGATTTAAAAAACTTACATGTTTAGAAATTTAAGCAATAACATTGATAGAAGTCCATTTTGCTAAATAGTTCCTTTTTTTAAAGTAATACTAACATTAAACTAAGATATCATTTTCATAATTCTTTTAAAAAAAAATCGCACTTATTTTACTATTACTTACATAATGTTTTATCATCTCAATTAAGTGTCAAAATTTTAATATCATCTTTTACATTCAGTACTACTTATATTTGCACTGTTGTATCGTAAGTTAATTGCAACAACAATGTATAAAATTTAGTCGTAGTTTTTAGCAGAATAAAATAAAACAGAATACACACACACACACACACATGTACACATGTACCTAAGCTTAGTATCGCAAGTAAACAAGTACAATAAACAATGCAAGCTAATTAACCGATAAGAGGATAGAGAAGAAATTTTATTGTGATATCTTGCGAGGATCGGACGGTACCCGCGCTTTGTCAGGTCGCAAAAAGTCTGCGAGGTCAACAGTGGAAATAAACGACAATCAACATAACCTGTACGCGATCGCGTGATCGTGAGCGATAACTCGTCGCCACGGGATATCGCGATTTGCGTAATAAAGATCCGTCATCGAGATTCGCAAAGATCATTGCACGCATCGGAGCAGTGCTTACGTTGTTGAGGCCTGCGGAGAGCAGTGCTGGACATCGAGCCCGATGACGAGGACTGTAGACCCGTGCCTGGTAATCCAACCTCGCTACCCTGTCTGTCTCTGTCCCGTGACTCGTTTGCCGCCCGCAGTCGCTCCTCCAGGTTCATGATCTTCTTCTCCAGAGTGCTCGACATCGAGACCGCGTAGTTCCTCACGTTGCTACGAGGATTTCCGCACGTCACGCCAGGCTCACCGGGTTCGCCGCACCGCCACCGTGCACCAGATACTTGACAATTTTCGCATCACTCTACGCGCTGTCCGCGCTGTCCCTTTTTGGCAGCGAACAGTGCGCCGCCGGTCTACGCGCGTTTGCAGGTCTGCCAACCACATCGGGGAATCCGTTCAGGATCATTTGCATGCAAGTTAGGTTGGGTTAGGGTTAGGGTTAGGTTGCCTTAAAGTAAGGTTTATTACAATGACAGGTGATGACAAGCTTGAGAAAATTTCGGTACTAAAAGCTGAATGTAAACAAAAAAAAATTTTACGCAGTCACAAGTGGACAAAATAATTATCTCTATCGATCAACAAAATAGATCAACATCAATTGATCGTATTGGTCAAGTGGCCGAATTGATCAATGTGATTGGTCGCTTTCGTCAAGCCGATTTATATGTGAGATCACGGATATAAGATTTGTGACATATGTGATTGGCTGTTATATTATTCTCTATACAATAATTCTGTCTAAGAACAAGCCTTTATTTGGGCTATTTAAATAGAAATTTTCAATTCGCGATTAAAAGACTGCCTTTAGATTATTAGAAAAATAAATTGTACGTATAAATATAAATTGTTATTAACCGCTTTTTGCGAATATAATTTCACTTTCGATCATCAAAAAGAGTAAACTTTTTTTTCACAAAATTAATAGAAAATCACACGCATACATATATTAATGTGTATGTTTTGCAACGTCATTAAAATTGTTATGGGCAATTTTATATGTAGAGGTTTGTGTAATTGTATATTTTTCTAATTCATATTAAATCTTGAGAAAAAAAGATTGCATCTTTGGTCTTGGTGTTGAGATTAAATGTTTTGATTTGTAAAAACTCCTCATACACAAAGAATTATTGAGCTTTTTTGATTTAGATTAATTAATAACAATATTTTATTTTATTTTATTAAAGATATTGTGAGTTAATGAAAATTTAATGCAAGTGCAAGGTTAGTAGAAATATTAAAAAGTCATAATATTGAATATTTGTGTGAATGCGCGCGTGATGCGCCAATTCTCTCCTTCTCCTCTTCCTCGTCCTCCTCTTCCTCGTCCTCCTCCTCCTCCTGCTCCGCCAGTTACTCCCATCTCTGGATTTCTCCTCCCCTATGGAAAACTGGGATATAGAGCAAAAAGGAGTCGTGACACACACACACAGTCTCTCTTTCGCCATTCTATATATTTACGACTTTTACAGAATTGTTGCACAATTGTTCGAACTTGTTTCAGAGAAGCGACAAAATATGGGAGAACGGGTCGTACTTCATGCCACGGTTAAACACACTGCGACGGTAGATATCACTTTTTGGACAACTTGTTTGTGGTTATGCGGTGGTGATTCTAATTGATCTTAAGTGAATTACATTTCCGCAAGATAATACTCGCGTATAGTTGTGTGTAATATATTGCATCATTGTTTCCGTGACATTGCTGCGCTATTTCAGAGTTTGTCTCTCAATAGAAATTGATTTTTCAGTTATGATGATTGCACGTCTCTGTGTTACTCCACACAGGACAGAAATCTTATTTTAAAAACTTCATAGTATTTATTAGAAGTCCATGCAATATCTAATGAACATTTACTGAAATTTTATGGATTTTTGATCTGTGTGGGAACTACAATAATTTATGTTATCAATAAGAATAATTACAAGTTTAATTTTTTTGAGAAAAAATGTTACAATTTATTCTTCTACATGTTATTTTCAAAGATGTATATTTATTGGAAATTTTTTAAAACTAATGGTTTAAGAAATCATATAACATATGTAATATACATGTAAACATAGATAATATTTTTTAAATATTTTGATACAAGAAAATATACATGTATATATATTCTATTCTTCTATATATTGAAAAGAGTTTTATGTGTTTTAGATAATATTTTTACATGGATTAGGTGATTCAGGGTAAGTTTGTTATTTACATATTGCAATATACTACTACAACTGTAAATTTAATTATATTATATTCATTACTTTCAGATATGGTTGGGCCACTGCTATAGGCACTTTGCGATCTCCTTTTGTTAAACTTATATGTCCTACTGCGTATGTGTGATTGTTAATGTTTCTATATTATATTTATAGCTATGTACAAATTATCACAATTATTAATAATGACAAGCTATAATACATGACTCTCCTTTATTATTATAGGCCTACAATGCCAGTAACACTTAATGGAGGGTTCAGAATGCCTTCCTGGTAAATTAAGATTTACATTTTACTGAGAATGTTAAAGTTTTAATGAAATTACCGATCATAAGTGAACGTCTACTAATAATATCACAATGTGTAGGTTTGATTTACGAAGTTTGGATCCTAGTAGTCCAGAAGATGAAGATGGTATACGTAAAGCCGCTGGAACGATCCATTCTATAATAGCCGAGGAAGTTGCTGCTGGCATACCCACTTCACGTATTGTTCTTGGAGGATTCAGTCAAGGTGGTGCGTTAGCCATGTTTAGTGCTCTTACATTCCCAGAACCTTTAGCTGGTATTATAGCTCTGTCAGCATGGCTTCCTTTGCATCAGAGATTTCCAGCGGTACGTACATTCTCACATAAATTTATATCCAAGTATTTATGATGACGTTAAAAAATTATTTTCAGGAAGCAATAGGTAATAGGAATACTCCGCTGATACAATGTCACGGCGACATCGATCCAATAGTGCCATATAGATGGGGTCAAATAACGGCATCACTTTTGAAACAATTTATGAGTAATACAGAATTTAAAACATACAGAGGAATGATGCATACATTTTCTCAAGAGGTGAGAAAACTAAGGATTTGGAAGAGATGTTTGTTAAATCTCATTCTATAAAATAAAATTACAATTTCTATTTTGTTATTTCATAACATGTATTACTTTTGCAGGAAATGCGCGATTTACAGGTATTCATCGACAAGGTCCTTCCGAAACCGTAATAAATTGAATGCGTCGATGTTTCAATGGCTAGTTTGAGCGTTTAATTGTACATTATATTGAAAGAATTCCACTTTCACAAATTATTTTATTTTAATATGTTATGTGAATATCTTATAAAGACGTTAAGTAGTAGAAAATTGTTGATAATCTTCCAAAATACGAAAGCTGGAGTTGCTACATAGGAAAAAATACACTCCTTAAAGGAATATATTTATTTACAATCTAAAAAATAATTTATGTATCTATATAAATACGCAGATACACACATATATATCTTTCTCTATAAAAAAAAAAAAAAAGCTTCATACTTTAATGTGTCAAAGCGTTCATGTAGCAATATTACGAAGTAATTCTTGTTGATCTTTAATCTCTTTTTTGTATCTTGTGATTCTCTCATTGGCATTCCTCAATTCTTTGTAGACCATTTTATTTATACACGCATAACTCAATGCAAATATATAAAAATTATATTTATTCATAAATCTACATTGTTGTGGCGAGATATTTTTTAAATAATGCGAGGAACCCACACGAAATTTTTATACAAAATTTCTCCATTAGATGTCATATGGAGTTATAAACGTCTATACTTAGATGTCTAATGGACATTATGTGGGAATGAGATAATGAGGCGTTTTTTTTATCACTAATCAGAGTGACTCATCTGTAATATCAGTAAGACAGTAATACGCATTTATATATACGTATTATATTGAAGAGCCATAATAGTTTTAAGACAAACAGCAAAATCACAGAATTTTTTGCATTAGAATATTTTGACAAAATTTCTTTTGCGTGCGCGTGCGCGTGTTAAGTGGTCATCTCCAAAAAAAATTAAATACAGATAAAATATACGTCCACTCAACACTTAAATAATTCTAGCCGATAATTCTAGGCAAGCTTTCTGCATTTACATTTCTATCTGATCAACGATATAACCGGTAAAAGTTGCAATTGAAATAACTTTGTAGCGAGTAGAAGACGGTAAGATATGAGAGATACATATGTAATTTGTGATTACATATTGCACTGTTCGCAATCTATCAGGCTGTTTTACTTATGATTATTTATATAACACATCAGAGGGTTTCTCTCTCTTAATTACTTGATAATTTTCCTCGAAAAAAATTTATGAATCCTCAAAAAGTAATATTACTATTGTTTACGATAATACGAATCTTTGCATAGTTTTATTTTATAATCGCGTGAAAAAAAAATCTACTTTTTCAGATAATAAAAGAAAAACTACACATTTATTTAAAAAAATAAATGTATTAAAAGAATGTTTAAGTTTGGGAAATCCTGTGATACTCACATAGAAATAGACGTATAATATTAATAATACAGTGTAAAAAAATTATCCTAATATATGTAATTAATTATATGTAATATTTGTCTGATTTTATTATTGGTACTAATATTATTCAATAAATGAATAAAAAAAACTATGAGCAATAAAAGTTGAAATATTCTTCAGGAGTTTCAGTTCGATCAATGCGATCGATTAAGTCCGATCAGTCTTACACATACATACCACAGACATATATATCTAGCATGCATGCTGGCAGAACGGAGGCAAAACATAGGAAGTTTTAAATGGCCGCGTTCAGCACAACTCAGCGATTATTGCTTGTCAGCATATACTTTTATATTTCCAGTGGATTTACAAGAAGAGACCAATCATAAACAATAAGCGTAAAGCGCTTAGTTCGTAAGCGCTGAGTTCTGCTGAACGCATATATGTAATAATAATATATCGCTAGTAGAGTCTGTGTTTTCATTTAATGAGCGATAAACATAGAATAATATAATAGCGCAGATAGTGCGCTCCCCGAACGCAGTTTTTGTCTTCTCTTAGTACGCCACTGTCGAATCTTATCGATATATATATATACATATATCATTTCTGACACATTTCATTTGTGAATATATATGCAGCATATATAGCATATATATATACATATATATAACCATATATAATCATATATAATAAACTTTGATAAGCTTCCGAAGTTCAGTTTATCTGTTGTAGCATTCACGCACAGTGCAGAACACAATATACGTAAACTGGGCGAATATGACGACGCAAAGCAGTTCACTTATCTTGAGTACAGTCAAAAATGGAATTCTAAAAGTAGTGCTCAATAAACCCGCCAAGAAAAATGCACTTTCTTCACCGGTAAGAAAAATTAATTTTAACATATATGAATAGTGGTTATAAATATATACATAGATAATATATAAATATTATCATGTATATAGATAATATATAAATATATATATTTATACACATATATGTTACATGACATATGCTATATTAAAAAATTGCTTTTATATAATTTCTAGTTATTCATTTGTATTTGTTATTTTTTATCTTATCCAGATGTACAAGGAATTGACAACACTTTTAAATGAATCTGCCAAAAATCCGAAAGTTTTAATATTTGCATTGACAGGAAATGGAGATTTCTTCAGCAGTGGCAATGACTTGACTGATGGGTTTACACAAGAATCTTCTACTAACACAAATTTGGAAGTCATAAAGCAAGCATTATAAAAAAAGAAAAAGTTATTTAAATTACAATTATGTATCTTTATATATGTAAGAAAAGTTAATTTTTTTATATATTTCTTTGTGTAGAAACTTTATTGATGCATTAATACTGTATCCAAAGCTTTTAACAGCTGTTGTAAATGGACCAGCAATAGGAATAGGATCTACAATTTTAGGAATCTTTGACTTGGTCTATGCTTCAGACAAGGTATTTGTTGGACTTATTCAAGAAACAATAAATATATGTATATGTATAGTACGTACAGCGTAACATGCGCATAAAGATTGAATGTGTAAATGTTATGTAACTTACAGGCATATTTCCAATTACCATTCAGTTCTCTAGGTCTTGTTGCTGAAGCGTGCTCTTCATATATTTACCCTAGATTATTAGGACATTCTAAGGTACAAGATATAAATATATTAGATATAAAAACATTTATGAATTGTTATTAAAGTTTTTTGCCTATAATAATATACACTAAAATGTTCGATAAATCTGTGCAAAAATAATGAAAAAACGTATTTTTGAAAAAAATCATTTTTATTTTTCTACATAATCATCTTTAAAAACTATTATAGCTAAAGATTGATCGATTCAAACAGCAGTCAATAACAGACTAACTAACGAATCTGACTCAAATATGCGATTCTGTGAAGATTGTTAGACATAAAGTCGTCGACAATTCCATCACAGTGACGTTTTGGATTTTGCACAGATTCATCGAACCTTTGTAATATTACACATTATAATATTATATTACAAAATTTACATTCTCAGGCTGGAGATATGTTATACTTGGGCTATAAAATGAGTGCTCATGAAGCTAAGCAATACGGTTTAGTTAGTGAGGTGTACAATCACGATTCTCTTGAAGAAGTATGGAAATATTTAAACAAAGTATCTAAACTTTCTTCAGAGGTATTATTAAATACTTTTTGCATCTTTTTCAATGTATATGTATATAATACGCAATAACATAATTAATTTTTCAGTCGATATTAGCAACTAAACGATTGGTAAGCAAGTGGAATAGAAAAATTTTGTTAGAAGTCAATGCAGAAGAAATGGGAGAAGTGAAAAGACGATGCGAGTCTCCTGATATGTTGGAAAAGTTGCTTGCATTTTTATCACGAAAAAATAAGCTTTAAAATATTTACAATAATAAACAAAAACAAAAAAATTATTTTGTATCTTTTTATTAATACATAAAAATAAATAATCACAGATATAAATTTTGTATTTGTAAATATATTCTGTATGTTGAGAGAAAAAGAGGAACAATATTTTGTAAGAAATATTACGTTAGAAAAAAATATAAATTTGTAAGTTTTATCTTCTAAAATGTGTGTACTTTTATATTTCTCATTTATCTAAACATAGTTTCTTATATAGAAAGATAGAAATCTCGCTTGTGAATATAAACAATAAGAAAGGTAAATAAGGTCGCAAACGAGCAAGAAAACAAATCTGTTTTCTTGCTCGTTACCTTTCTTATAGTTTCTTATCTTGTAGAATTTATAAACATAAATGTTATCTTTTCATTCGCTTCCTCTAACAAGACATTCTGTAAATCAAATTTATATATGTTTATTTTGTGTACCTTTATTTTTTTCTTTTACTTATAGGACTCTTTTATCTTCTCACTCTACCTGCATAATGTCACTTGGAATTGGCTGTTTGTAGTGATGCCAACGTAGAAGTTGGTTAATAGTTAAATTGTGGCGAGATGGTTTCTGTACAAATTGACTTTCCGTGTTTTCATTGTTTAAGTTCTCTGAAGAGATGTGTTCATTGTTCTTTCCAGAACATGAGCAATTCATTAAATCGTGCGTTAATGAGACTGTATCAGTTGTAAGAGTAAACAAATCCTAAAGATGAAAAAGTTTTCAATTATTCGATAACTAAATAAATGAATTTTTATTTATTTTTCTTTTTTAATCTCAAAGAAAGCACCTTTAATTCTGAAGTTGATAATTTTAAAGAACCAAGATGGTTTAGATCCACCACAGATTCGCTCAAACCAGCTTTACTAATTTGTCTTTGATATATTTTTTCTTCTATTGTACCTGTTGTCAATAATCTACAAATTAAAAAAAAGTGTAAAAATTTTGTTACATAAATTTAATATAAAGCATATACATAAAATAAATATGATAAAACGGTCGATGTTTTAGAAAGTCGAAAATACTTTTTGCTAGAAAAAGCAGCATATATTTTCTAGCTTGTGGCGTTATAAATATTTAAAACTGTAGACTATTGAGAAGTCTAAAATAATACATTATCATGAATTACGATAATATTATACTTACCTGTAAATGTAAACGTCTTTCTTTTGACCGTCTCTCCAAATTCTTGCCATAGCTTGTACATCAGACGCAGGATTCCAATCGGAATCGAATAAAATAAGTCTGGACGCTCCAGGCAAATTCAAACCTACTCCACCTGCCTTTCCACTTAGTAAGAAGACCTCTGTAAATATCGTTCTGCTATGGCAAATCAATTTTTTTATTCCGAATACACAATATATTTGAAAAACTTACTATCGTCGTTTGTTCGCATGTTAAATTGCTCGATAACTTTCGACCGTGTCGAATTTGAAGTACTGCCATCCAATCGTAAGAACTTTAATTTTTCCATATTGCATACAGTTTCGAGAAGATCGAGTGTTCGTGTATAGTAAGAAACCAGTACTAATTTCTCGTCAGTCTTCTTCAAGTTTCTCATCAGTGTCCGCACGATCGTGATTTTACCGCAATAGTCGGCAAATGTTTCGTCTCGTTTTATTTGCATCTCATTCGGCAAAATGTCTTGTAGCGTATTTTCGTTCTCGTTTATCAGCAGGTTCGGGTGATTGCAAACTTTTTTGAGAGCGGTAATAACGGACAAATGATTGTTGCTTTTATCTATACAAATCTTGTCGAACCAAGCGTCAATAATTCGAGTATATAAATATTGTTGCTTGTTGGATAGACAACAGAATAAAACTATTTCGTATTTACACGGTAGATATTTGTTTATTGTTTCCTGTGTACGTCTTAGGATAAATACTTTGGTGCGTTCGTGTAATTCCGTAGCTCTCTCGTTACCCAGACTGAGGATCTCTTCGTCCGCGCGAGGACACTGAGACGCGACAATAGGATCTTCGTAATAACTTTTGTATTCAACAGAAGTACCGAGAATACCTGGATTAACGAAATCGACAAGTGCATAAAATTCCTTCAAATCATTTTGTATGGGAGTACCCGTTAAGATAATTCGTCTTTTGCATTCCATTTCGTGTAACAACTGCAAGATAAATGATAGATAAATAATTGATTAAAATTTAGTAATCTGATCTGTTTTGATAATCTGATGTAATATTTGCATATATCTAGTATTTAACATAATGTATGCAAAAAAATATAAAAGCAATAATTTAAGTTAATTACTTTTGCCGCTTTTACATTGCTATTCTTCAGTCTGTGACCTTCGTCACACACGATCAAATCAAATGTAATCTCGCTGATTTCCGTGTGACATCTGCTGAACATTTCGTAGCTGATAATCATTACTGAATTTCCGGGATTTTTAGTGAAATCCTTAGGTTTATTTTTTCCATCCACAACATATGGAAATATTCTGTGACTGCCTAACCATTTAACGAACTCCTTGTTCCAATTGTCGCACAAACTACTCGGTGTAATTATTAGCACGCGTTTCACAATCGGTTTACCATATGGACCCTTTTTCAACATTGTCCAGATTAATGTGATACACTGTATAGTTTTGCCAAGTCCCATTTCGTCAGCTAAAATTGTACCGAAATAATTCGGTAATCTCAGTCCCATTAAACATTCATAAAGAAACACAATTCCGTGACGTTGGTGTTCTCTAAGTTTCGTTGCCAAGCAAAAATCAACTGAAACTTCGTGCTCTTTTTCTGAATCCTCTTGGCTCTCCCGTACAAGATTCACGTGTGGCATCACTAAAGGCTCACAATTCAATATCAGTCCTGTAAGATGTAAATACTTTCAATTTTTATTTAATAGATTTTGTAGTATATTTTGTTACATTTAATTAATATTTTTATATTATGCTTAATATTTTTTATTTTCTAATAGAGAGATTTGTATGTTACTTTTTGAAGATGATAGCAGAGGCATAAAGGTATGTGTTGTTGATAATTTAAATTTTTTTGCTAATGGTTCTTTCACTTCTTCTTTTTCAGGACTTTTCTTTGATACACATAACTCTTGTGACACTTGATCTACAATCTAAAATTAATTTTGTTAGTCTCTTTGTGTACAACAGCAGTAACAAATATTTAGAAAAATTCTTACCTCGATCTGTTTGTTCCCTATAATCAGTCTGAAACCTTTTACTATATTACTGGGATTAAGTTTAGTTTTTCCAATAACATTACCATTCAAGTTCTGTTTGTATTAAAAATATTAAAACAATATTTAAAGTCATAAATATATATATATTTTATATGTGCATTACCTTAAGAACTGCAGTTTTCCCAATTACCTCTAACAAACCATCATCATCCCATGTTTGATGCTTCTTTGAAGTTATTTTGCCATATGTTACATTAAATATGCTGTAAGAAACATTAATATTTGTTATAATATTAAAAAATCACAATTAATTTATATTCTAATACTCACAAGATATTTACATTTTTGTATCTGATTGGGGTAAATCAACAGTAGATGTCTTTTCTTTGTGAATTGTAGCATCTTGCTCTTTTAGAGACACTAATGCTTTGAATTTTGTTTGGGATGGTTTCTCTATAATTTTCTCAGGAATCTTTTTTACTACAGATAATTCTTGTGATGCTCGGTCTATAATCTAACATTAACTTTGTTTCTCATGTATTTAAAAAAAAAAACAAAATATTGCATAGAATACAAATTGTAATTAAGATTTTCTCACCTCAATTTCTTTGTTTCCAATAATCAATTTGAAACCTTCCGCAACATCACTAGAAGTGACAGTAGTTCTTCCCATAATTTTACCATCCAGGTCCTGTTGTGTGGTAAAAGAGAAAATATAAAACAATCTTTAACTTGAAAATCTGATGTTATGGTTACCTTAAGAACTGCACTTTTTCCAGTCACTTCTAACAGACCATCGCCTTCCCATGTTTTATGCTTCTTTGAAGTTACTTTGCCATACACCACATTAAACACACTGTAATAGAAAAATGAATATATTTATATAGTACAAAAATATTGAAATTCTTTTTATATTTATTTTTGAAATACTTTTTTGTTCCTGTTTCGAGTGAATCAGCAGCTGACACATTAGTCACGCAAACAGAAGCATTCAATTTTTTCGACGATTTATTTTTTACTTCAGTGTTGTCAGTATCGCATTCTTCCTTCGACGTTACGAACAAATTCAAAATCTGCGAGTTGCTTCTAAAGGATTTGCTTTGGGAGTTTGTCAAATCAACCGGTGTTTTCGTTACATTTGCGAATACCTCATTTTTCTTGATGTCCGATCGCGGTTGAGCAATTAACGGGGACGTGAATCCCCTCACGGGTTTGTGCCGGTTCATAACTAATTCAGAATCCGAGATAAAACACAGTAAACAAATATATTCACATAATTTCAATTTACACAGTAATCAACAGCGAAGTATAAATAACAGCTGACAGAGTCAATCGAGAGCGCGGGAAACACAGAACGATGCGTAAACCATCGACAATCGACTTTTTCAATCGAAATTGCAATGGCGATTATATCGGAAATATATCGCGATCTCGTGCGTGTGAAGTCGTATTGCAATTTTCCAAACGAGATTTGTCATATCGCGGCGTCACAATTGCTCATAATATGTTCGTTTGATCTGTGGTTAGGTGGTCACGTAATTTGTGCAAAATTGTTTTATACATCAACGTGATCGGATGTGCGTGCAATCGTGACGACGAAGGATGTGCGCGCGAGTTTGAAGAAAGGCTCGTACTTGCCGTGCGTGCAACGATGCTTTCGAATCAGGTTAATGACGAGATACTTTTAGCATCTCGATATAGACTTTGCGTTACCGAATATGAACGTTCTAATGTTGTTTGTCTTACTGTTTCTCCAAAGATTCCGTTGTAGATGCAAAATTTGTCTGACGTGCGAAACGGTCACCGAGTTTGCTACACAGAGCGATCCGGATACGAGAATGTACTGCCTGCAGTGGCTGATCCCGGTGCTGCTGATACCGAAACCCGTGAATCCAGCGCTGTTGCAGACCCACGCCATGTTCATGGGGCTCTACTTAATCGGCTTCTTCCTCGAGCGCAAGCCGTGCACCATCTGCAGCTTCGTGTTTGTCACCGCTTGTTTTCTCATCTGCTACAGTGGCATTGGCAATTGTCTGTTGTGGAGCAACTGTGATACAGTAAAATGCGACAACGGCTAATGTCGCGCCGTCATTCACTCTATAGACTATTAGAAAATTGTCCTTCTCTCTTTTGCTTTTTTTTGTTTGCTTTGTTTTCCCGTCTCTTTTAACGAAATGCTTGAAACTAATGTTTTAATCTCTTGTGTGTTCCATTTGCGGCACAAAAGTGATAGATCATTGAGATAGCCTTTCGCTTCCAGGTTTTACAACAGGTTATTAAAAATTTTGGTTGACTGATATCACTTGTATAAATGTTACACTGGACATCTATATTTTGAATACATAAACATTTTAACTTGATGAGAAATTTAAGTGAAAACTTGATAAAGACACATTTGGTGGGAATTGTACATATATTCTTTAGAGTTATGTTGCTAACAAGAGCAGAATAGATTTTTTTTTTTTTTTAATTCAATAATATTGTTAGTTTCCAATATATATGGGACAATGAGAAAGAAGAGTAAGCAGCTAACAATGTATTCTTTTTATATGTATAGATTTTAAAATCAATCACACTACAATGTCTTCTCTCTATGATAATAAAAAGTAATATTTTCTCATAGAATTATAGAAATTCTTCCTTGTGTGTCTTAAAACATATATCAATGAATAAAAGCTGCAATTTATTTTCAAAAATAAAAATTGTTACCATCTAACTTTGATGTGCTCTTGTTAAAAACTTTAAGTAAGAACAACATGTTACTTTAATGCAATACTTGTATTTATAAATATTGCATTCAAGTAATACACAATAATTGAAATGTTATATACATACTTGTTAGTTAAACCTGTTAAACCTGAGGATAGTGTAGGCAAGTTATACATTAAGGAAATTTATGTTGATATTGATTTACATAATATCTACATGATATTGATTGACTTGACAAATATACAATGATAGTTTTTCTCTAACTGACTGCTGCGTGATTAGGCTAAAGTAATATTTCTCAAGTAATGAGTTGTCACAATAATAATTTAATTAGAACAAATAACTTAGAACAGGGTTTTTTGAGAGAGAGAGAAATCTACTTATATTAAAATACATATCTCATATATCGATAATATTAGACATATAAATTGTAATTAAGTTTTCTGCTTTGTATATCTTCCAAAAAAAGGTTCGCAATAAGAACTCTGATTGCTGTAATTTATGTTTCCTTCCTACTTAGAAATATTAATGTAATTATAATGGATATATTAATACCCAGGTTTGGTGTATCATTGTAAATATTATAATATAGTCATGATAACCAAAACCGATTGTTGATACAAGCATGGAAAAAAATTGAATCAAATTTTATGTCAGTCAAAATCTCTTCTATCTATCTTTAAATCATAAGAAAGTCAATTATCTTCCTGTCTTTATTGAAGCTTTTCCATTGTAATATATTTTGTCGCAAAGAAAAAAACATTTGTTTTTAGAATAATTGCAGCAATTATACCTGCTTTAGAAGTATTTATTATAATAGACCTTATCAGATTAAAAATCATAATTAGTAAGAATTTTACGACTATATAAGAACTGTATCTATAATTTTTGCTGTTATAAGCACAAATATAAAAACATCTGTGATGACTATGATTAAAAATCTCAATTTATTAGGCGCATTTTGTTTAACAATTAAAACAGGTCTAATTTCTAAATATTCCATCATTAACTTTATAATATAATATAGTATATGTATCATATATTATATAGGTATATAATATATATTATATATTATATTATATATAATATACTCTGTAATTTTTGTTTCTGCGTGCGTATAAAATATGAATAAAGAATTAGTGGAGAAATACAATCTTTGTAAAAGAGCATGCAGTTTAAAGAGAAAAAATTGTGTAGCTTTATATTAAGAAATAAAGAACTTATAGAGGAATTCAAACTGTGTGTATGTATCTTAATATACTGAATAAATAATAAACACGTAGTAATAGATACAAGCACTGTACAAGGTTATAAAAAAAAAAAGCTTTGATTTACAGTATTAAAAGTTTAAGATATTTATTTACTTTACATTAAAACAGTAGTTATTGAAGTGCTTTTCCACGACCGAAGCCACCGCGGAACTCAAGATCACCGGTACCCGCGCCAACATCGGCTTTTTTATCACCGGTATTTGCAAGACCTGGACCTCGTCTGTATCCCGCGCGATCTTCTGTCGATTTTGAACCTTCGCTTCTCATTGCAGTGGGTCTGGGTCCTCTGTTGGTAGTCTCTGACCTTGGTTGTTTCTTCAGAGTAGAAGGAACAATCTCTGGTGGCAAATGCAGATATCCACGTAAGTATTCAATTCCATCATTTGTGAGATACCAATAGAAATGTCTCCAAGCAAACTGTTCTTTCACATGTCCTCTGGATTTCAAAGACTGCAAAAATAAATTAACAAGAATAAAGATCAATGTATATTATATTTTGTCTCACATAAAATGTCAATAAAATGATAAAACTCACCTGCATAGTTTTAATAACATGAAGATTGGGGATGTTTTCTAGTTCTGGGTGTTTTGCAATAAAATCTTTCTTTGCAACCATGACACCCTCTTTAAAGAGATACTCATAAATAGCTACGCGATTCTTTTTTGGCATCAACATTCTATAAAAAGCAATAACATAAGTTAACGCTTCATAAATATAATGATAAATATAAATATTTTGAAATGTAACGATAAATTAAAACATTATTATATAGAGTACGTTACTATATATTTTTTTAAAGATTGGATACAGGTTAGATTAGGTTAGCTTTCACTTTAAGATTACGTGCAAAATGTGTAAATATTGTGCAAAATACTGTATTATTTACGCTGTTTTTTCAAACTTGTTCTTTTTTAACACTGTAATTTATAAACTACGACAAAATCAATAGGATAACGTATATAAAATTTTAGTAAACATAAATAGATATGTATAACATGTGCGTTTAACTTGCACGTAAATACGTTCTCCGTAATATGCGACAAATGCACAAAAATTATAAAATGTGATATGTATTTAATTCTAGAAAGATCAAATTTCGTTCAATCTTTCGTTATTTCTGTAACTTTTACTTTTATATATGTGTAAAATTAAAACAAATGCTGTAACACTCAACGTACTTGATGATTTCACGTGGACGTTTCAGTGAAAAGATCAAATTCATCGAAGACAACAATATTGTCCGTCATCGATATGTCGATATCTCGCATCGACGATAAAGTGGCAACAATTGATTTTGGCTGCGTTCGAAAAGCTCGCTATCAGCGCTGTTGCATCATTCTATCGTCCAAAAATAATAGGGATATAATATACATTCTGATTGGTCGATTATCTTACGGCTACGTCTTACGGTCTTAAGTAATTTTATGTGTGATGGCCTTAATCCAGTGAATATGGACTAACTTTTATGGTCCAAGAACCACAAGTGCACCAAACCAAATCTGTTCCAACCTAAGCACGATACTTCTAGATAACGAGCAAGAATAAAGTTCGGAGTTTCTCGTTCAGTAAAATTTTTGTTATGCTTGATAAATTTTGAAACTTTTTTACGATATGACGTACTTAAATCAACCGATAGATTACGTGCGCTATGTGTGCAATTGTGGATCATTGAAACCTATATCAAAAATCTATTTCTGTCGACACTGTCTGATGATACGATGCGGCTACTGTGTCTGTCAAGAGGTGCTCTTTCCAAGTCTAATTCGAAGAAAAATTAGAAAGTAGCATTTAACGATTGTATATAGTATTATTATATATTTTGCTGTGTAGAAACTCTCACAATTTCCAGAAAAATAAAGTATGTGTGTGTGTGTATGTATTCAGGTTGACTCTCATTATTGCCCCAATTGTTTGGAAAATTTACCTTCATCAGAAGTACGTCTCAAGAAAAACAAGTACGTTGTATATTTCTATATTTTATATCTTTCTTACTAGGAAGTATATTTTTAATGATAAAAAATTATAAATGTTACAATGGTAATGAGACATATCTACTCTCTGACAGATGTTCCAATTGTTTTGACTGTCCTTGTTGCTTTCAAACATTGTCTACAAGAGCGGGAATAGCATCTGCAAAAACAACAGAGGGAGAAGAAGCCAAGGATACTAAAGCTACTTCCAAGAAAGTATATTATCTGTTTTGTTCACTGTGTCGGTGGAGTTCTCGAGATGCAGGAATACCTGATCAATCTGTAGGTAGGTAAGAGAGAAATCATATCAGTATCAAATACCAGCATTTTATTTAATTAATAGACTTTATGACATTCCGAAAATTTATTGTGTTTTTTAAACATATTCAAATTATCTGCTGCCTAGCAACTGGAGGATGGCCTGAACAGGAAAATCCACACACAACTCGTATTAATACCCTCATTGATTATCACAAAATATTAGCTTCCATAGAGAAGCAACAATGCGAGAAGAAGAAATTTCATCCAAAGCGTCCCTTCATGCCAGCTGTAAGTTTGACAAGAGCTAATGTCTATATACTAAAGCTTTTTTTAAACTATTATTGCTTTCCAATAGCAGACAATGTATAGCTTTACATCTGCACTTGTTCGCAAGCGCATTGGACGCCCTATACAACCACTGGCGCAATCTCAATCAACTGCTCAACCTGTACCATCTGTTGCAAGTGAAGAAGTGGAAGAATTACCGAATGATATATTTTCAGAATCTTTGGATATAACTAAAAGTAAACAATTTTAAAACATTAAGTGATAAAGATATACACTACAAAGTGATTATGCTTTAAGCATGCGTCATCTTTTAGTTACTACATTGGAACAAAGATTACGACATCCGGAAGTGCAAGCTGAGAAAATAAACGACTTGCGACCTCAGCACAGGCCGTTTTTAGTCAAACGATCGCAACGTTGCAGAGTGTGCGAACATAACGTGAGCAAGTCAGATCTCTGCCCTCAATCTATAAAATTCAAGATTTTGCTGGCCGCATTGTAAGCATTTCATCAAGTAACATTTGTGTTGATTAATTATCATTGAACAAGTTTGTAATATGTTTCTAATAGATAAACTACCAAAACTTTTTTTCAGTTATCACATTCCAGAAGTGAAGATCGTTACTTGCGAGCCACTTCAGTCAGGAAAATCAAGCGAATTGCTTCTGAAATTCTGCAATCCGACACAACATCAAACTCAAATAACTCTTCTGTCGTTAGACAGTTCGTTAACAACTTCGTTCGCTGAGGAAAAAAACGATACTAAACAAGAAGATCCGCAACAAGTACTTATCTCGAATTGAAATTTTGGTAACAAACAATACAATTGCCCTAATGAATCGATCATGATTACAGGGAAGTGAATCAAGTTTGTTGTCGTCTAGTATACGACAAGCAACTGTAACGGAAGATCCTAAACCAATAAAAGTCACACCGAATGCCGATCTAAAGTTACCTCAAAGTTCATTGATCCTTCCGCCGAGAGACGATGCAGCTGAGTACGATGATACTAGTGATAACCATAATTTTCAGGATGATCCTAAGTATGTTAAAACATAGAAGAGCAGTACGAGTTTGTTACAGCGATATGTATAAAATTTTGTCTCTCCAGGCTCGTAGTATGGCGAAAAGGAAACAAAGCTGTGATACGTTTACATGTAACTCCGCATGAAACTATAAACGGAAACAAGGATGAACCGGTCATTGTTGGATTTGTTATGCAACATGGATATGTAAATACGATCGCAGCACTTGAGCACAAGTCGCCTCAAAAAGTCGATGTAAGAGTCAAGTTGTATCTGACCATCGGTCAATTAGCAAGTGAAGCGTAATCTCTCAATATGATTGCGATATCAATGTCGCAGTCATTAACGACATAATACTAACAATATCGGCTTTTTTCTATAAAGCATTTTTATGTTTATCAATGGATAATTAATTTATATATCATGAATATTTTATACAAGTATATTATAATTAAATATATATATATATATATATACTTATATAACCAAAAAATTAAAATTGTACATCGAACAGAGCTAAATATTTATAAGATAAAAAGTCGTGTGAAACAAGGCCGATAGGAGCAACGAACACTGTTGTTGATGTGTTGCTCCTATCGGCTTTGTTTCACACAACTTTTTATCTTTGATATTTGAAACCTCATCATTTTCATTACAATTTATTTATATTTAATTAATGCTTTGTTACGTTCATTATTTATATTAATATGCATTAAGAAGGGAAAGCAAGTTATAGAAAATTATTTAGCGCATAATGAGATTGCTTAGCATTTTTACACATTAATCTGCGGAGAAAAAGTGTAACTGTTCTGCACACACAGAATTGTAATAATAAATTATATGAAATACGTATATAACATCTCTTAATTTTCTTAAGGTATCCTATAACGTGACTAATTTATATTATATATAACATTAAATAATACATATTATACATGTAAATTATTATATATTTATAATATTATACTTTTATATTGTATTATATACATACTACAGTAATGTCACTGACCTTGTATACTATCTGTCATCGCGGTGACAGGTTATGTTCACTGACAACACGTTAAATAAAAATAACAATAGCATACGCGTAGCGCGCGCCTGTGTTGTGCTAGTCCTATAGAAAAAGTAAATTATATGATATGAAAAAAATGAAAGATGGGTGTCTTTTTTCTTTAAATATTTATTGAAAGGTAGTAAAACATATAGTAAACCATAGGCTTATAGCCTACGTCCACGACGACCGCCCTTCCTTCTAGTGGAATCTGATGGGATAGGAGTAACATCTTCAATACGACCGATCTTCATGCTTGATCGAGCTAAAGCACGCAGAGCAGACTGTGCACCTGGACCAGGAGTCTTTGTCTTATTACCTCCTGTAGCTCTCAATTTAATGTGCAATGCTGTGATACCTAATGATTTGCATTTTTCTGCAACATCCTGCAAAACAGAAAGTTGTGTCAGCATTTCATTCTTTGTTTGAAAAACTTGTTTTCTTTTATCAACTTCTAAATGTTTCTCTTCTATAGAAAACAAATGTATAAATATACATTCTCTGTCGGATGAAAAGAATTTTGCTTTTCCACAAACATGAACGCTCCTTAGATCAGTAATTTGCAATCTAGGTGCTGCCTGGATGTGGAAAATAATTTCTCAAAGTAATCTTTATTATATTAAAATAAATACATACCTGTGCTGCCAACATAGCAGCATAAGGAGAAGCCTCATCACGATCAGCTTTCACTTTCATTCCACCAGTAACTCTGGCGATTGTTTCTCTATAATTTAAACCATACATAAGTTATAAATTCTTATTATAAAGAACATGTGTTCACATACAGATGTAACATTACTCGTTACAAACCTGCCAGATAAATCGGTCACATGTACAAATGTATCGTTGAAGCTGGCGAAAATGTGTGCAACTCCGAAAACCACCTCTCCCTCACGAAGTTGCGGTCCAAGCGAGACTTGGACTTCTTCTTTCTGAACCTTTCCTCTCTTTGGAGGCATTTCTGAACAAATTTACACATATAAACTATCTGCTCTATCTTTTTATTATGTTTACTACATAATTATCTGCTGCATAAACATCGAAAATTAAGGTTATGACACGAAGCCCACGAGAAAAGATACTTTATGTACAGAAATCTATCCATTCACATCCGAATATTACAGTATGCGCGACACATACACACAGTTGTATCTTATGAATAAGCATACAATTAACAAATTTAACTCAATATTTTTGGCAGATAACTGAAATTTATTGTTAAAATATAAAAATAATTACTCTTACCGAGTCAACAAGATTCACACCAACTCGGAAAAAGAGCACGTTCGCCACGCTACCTGTAACATAATCTATACCTAGTACAGTACTGCCAACTCTTGCTCGGAAAAAGAACTACGGGTGGTACACAGTGGCACCAGAGAGAAACCTGAGAGCGGCCATCCTAATGTAATTTTTTACGACGGTTTCAGCCGCTGGTTTTAGCCGTATTTCCACAAAAGTGGAACTCAAAGGCCGTTCTCCATGAAACTCAAGTCGCAGGTCTCNTTCCACGAGACCTGCGACTTGCGTTTAATGTAGAACGGCCTTTGAGTTCCACTTTTGTGGAAATACGGCTAAAACCAGCGGCTGAAACCGTCGTAAAAAATTACTATAGGATGGCCGCTCTCAGGTTTCTCTCTGGTGGCACCTACGTAGCGATGCCTACGAGCGACTTGTCGTTACGTATGCTTATGTCCAACCGTGAACATGGTTTTATTCCGTGCTACGTTCGTACAATACATCCGACTGCGATAGCAAAAAAGCGATCGTAAAAACTCTTATGGGTCTGGCCCCGCTCTCATTTTTCTCCCTGATTTTAGTATTTAAAGTACAAAATTCAAGAATATAAATGTATTTGTGTGCTGATTTTTATTTTGTGTACTTTACTTGCAAAAGTACAATATTAATATTATACTTAATATTATACTTAAAATTATTATAATTAAATATATATTTATTACACTTTATGAACAAACATAAAAATAAAAAAGAAATATATATACGCTTTTTCTTAACACATTACATATTTTTTTTCTCTCTTGTTTATATAAAAATATTACTTAATCTGAATCATCTATCACAATAAAGTCCCTTTTTCTGCTCGATTGTGCGCTTCTAAGATTTTGCTAAAAAAGATACAAGAAAAAATTGTATCAAATGTGTACATATTGCATACAATATTTTTTGAATATTAAAAAATAATAAATTTAACATTAGTAATATATTAGATACACTTACTATTGTTGCAATGGAAGTATATTTCTCGTTTGTAGTTTTCCCTCTTCCGCGACCACCTCTGGATCCTCTGCCACCTCTTGAACCTCTACCTCTTCCTCTGGTCTTAGAGAACGATAAAGCAAGATCGTCATCGTCATTGTCACTGTTCGTCAGATCAATACCGCGAGATTTCGTAACACTTCTCGGACTCGTCAGACTAGGATTGGTCAATGCCTTCCGGACCTATCACAAATTTACCGATAAACAAAAAAATATAAGAGATAATAATGAATATTCTTATATAAACATTACATTAGTCTGCTCTTGTTGCTCCTCTGAAAGTCTTTTATCGCGAAAATTTTTAATTTCTTGACGAATATCTTCTACAGATCCAGTATTTTGTTCTTTTATATATTTAGCGGTGATTTCCATTTGATATCTATCGAATAAAATCGCGAGTGATTTAAAAATAGACACAAATCGATTCTAAACTAACTAGATATTATTATAAATACCTCACGATGTTTTTGAAGGCATCTATATCATTTCGATCAACATATCGATTTAACGCCTCATTTAATCCCGTTACGGTCAATACCGTTAATTTATCTTTATTTTCTTCCATGTCGAAATACTTCTTGATTCCGCCCGGCACTGTGCTAGTCCAATCCTGTCCTATCTATATTTAAAAAAATAACAACATTGAGATAGAAAACAAAATCGATTTAATGGCTTTTTCTTAAAAATTATAGTATTTTCTTTACATCTCCCTGAAACAATTCTGCAATGTCATCTAGATCTTCATTTAGATCACTTCCGTGCTTTATTTTTTCTCCGCTTTTCATTTTGCGGAATAGAATCATTTCCAATGGATTAGCAACTTCATCGCAATATTTTTGTGCTAAACTAAAAAATAACGTTTTTTTTTGAAAATAACACTAGAGAAATTAAATAAAAAAAACATAACACTAGAACAAAATTATGTGTATTTGTACCTTAAAGTGTCAAATTGTTCACTGTCGTCCTCGTAAAATATTCTCAATCGAATTAAAGGTTGCAGTGGCTGATTAGGATATCCTAAAAATTGTATAATTAGGAATATAAAAAAAACCATATATACAACACATTTTAAGTTGCTATTGTTTTTAAAATTGAGAACCAGCACTTTGACTACCTGTAAGTTGTGTAGCAACCCGCGGCATGATTTCGTTTTCGATGTATCGATCTATATACTGACTTATAGAATCCGCTATCGAGACACAGTCTCCTATCTTGATGTCGTGATCGCGGAGAACAATATTATCAAAAATAAACGGTCGAACACTTTTTAATTTCAATGCTTTCATCTTAAACTGATCCTTATTTATTTTCAAAAGACCCACATGCTTGGGTTTTGACTCGCCTTCACACAAAGAAGTAGCAATTGAGCTTCCTAAAGTTAATTCAGAACAATTTGATTGATATATTCTTTAAATAAATTCCGAATTCCAATATTACTTACATGTTGAAGGCACAAAGTCATGTGTGGCCTTACCTGGTTGTGAAATGTAGTATTTGCGATCTGCAATTTTTTCAGGTGTAATACGACATTCGTGCTCGTGACCCCAAATAACTAAATCAAGAAAATTATGCAGCCTTGTTTCCGGTATGTGAACAAACTCGCCGTGCTTCACTCGATTCTGATGTAAAACAAATATGTTGAAGGTATCTATGTCTTTTACACGTTTCAGTTCCACCTGTTTATATACAAAACTGCTTTTTAGCTGTCTTATAATAAAAAATAAAATAACTATTTCTGAGATGTACCTTCTCATCTCTGTACAATCTGGACAACCTTTGATCATTGATGTAACTCAAACCATAAAGCGCAACATGTGTATTACGTTTCTTTAAAATTATAGGTGATATCTCCACATGTGTGAGATCTGTCCACTTGCCAAAATAGTTCACAAATCCAGTAGCTGACAGTACATCCATAGATCCAACAGCATCAAAACCTAGATTTTAAATTATCCCATGTAAACATTATACAATATTTACATTGAATACAAAATATATAAATAAGAATTGAACAGTCCACATACTTGGATCATCATGATTTCCATGAATGGTGAATATTGGCATTGAAACATTCAAATTGGGATCTTCATAATTCACATGCTTTTGTGCACAGTGTTGAAAAACCACTTCTGAATCGCTTAAAAATTCTAGCTTGCATTCTCTGAAACAGTAAGATTACTGCATAACTTATAGTCTCAAACTTTTTGTTGGATACTTGTACACGTTACAAACCTTGTACCCAGACAATATTTTCGCAGCAGTTCCATACATTTGAGCAACGTAGTTTGCGATGGTTTAGTATCGTGAAAAAGATCTCCACCGAGCAAAATCAAATCGACTTCATTATCTTTACCATATTTCAATATTTCCTCGAACGTTATAAAACTATCGTCAGACTGTCCTCCTTATGAAAAATAAGATGTTAATTGATAAGATTCTTTTCTACTTACGTTTTGGTAATTGTCTATCTAAAAACATCTTTCACGAGTCATGACAAACCTCTCTTTTTCTTGTAGTTAAAACCGAGATGAATATCTGTAGCTACTAAAATACTGATAGTGTCTTCCGGATCAATTTGTGGATTCTGAACTAGTGAGTGTATGGAGCCCTGCATTTTTTTATATTTATTATATCAAGTGACAACAACAATTAATCAAAATATCCACTTGTATGTTATCTACGTCGAATTAATCGGTCTGTTTGAAAAGGCGCGAAATGTCTACTTCGTCATTAAATAAGGATCCAGGTTCGACAACTTTAGATGCTCAATTGATCGACTCGATTAGTCGATTGGTCGACCAATGGTCGACTAATCGATCTGTTGAATTAACCGAAGTTGGTAAACCTGATTTTACGGTTATTTTGTTGGAGGAATTGATCAATCGTATCGATCGATTAGTCGAATCGACCAATTAACAGAAGATAAAACTGGTCTATAGCAATTCTTTCAAGCGCAACAACAGTTAAAAATTTAATCGCAATTTTGTGTGTGCAGGCAAATTACGAATTTCAAAAAAACAATCCACAAATATTGGCGATACAAACACCCGTTCGGTAGGCGTTGCAACATCGACCGGCGATGACCCAGCTAAAAGGAACGGCGTTTCGAACTGACAATCCACTGAAGTCAGCATGCTGTGTGTACGCGCGCGCACATCTTCCAGCAGTGCGGCTGGTGCGTGCGCGCGTGCGGGCATTGCGGTGTATTGGGTGTATGTAAGTTGAAGGACGCGAGTTGCTGGTGGTGTGTACATACGTAAGAGGCGCGTACGCGCACACACACATCCAGACACATACACGCGCGTACTTTGCAAGGTTTCTCTCCGCCGCTGCGACGGACAGTGCGGCAGCGCTCGGCGGTATCTGCGTCCCGTCTTATCTGGATTCTCGTAGACGCGGCGTCGTTCGTCGAGGATGCCGGGAAACGGCGGTGCGCGTTTAAGCGCATCGCCGGCGGCGCGCGTGGTTACGACGCCGCCGCCGGCGCACTACCTGCACGAGCTGCCGGCTCAGGACGAGGAACGTCTGGAACGGCTGTTCCAGCGCCTCGACCTCGACGGCAATGGCCGTGTCGACGTGCACGACCTGTCTTATGCGCTGCGCGAAGCCGGCGTGCACTCCCAATATGCCCAGGTACTTGCTCTTCGCAGTATACGTCCACGTAGTTATTACGTGTGTTAAAACATTCTTTGTAATATATATATGTATATAATTTAATTACATTCAAATTACACATATAATGGTATACGTATAATATACCTATTATAAAACTATTCTTATAACATTACTTTCTCCAAGGTGAATACCGTAAAGGTAGAAAAGTTAGATTTTTTTATAATGTAAGAAAATTTTATTTGCATTTTTATGAAAGTGTGTTACGTGTGCGCGTGTCATATGAGTATAGTACGCTCAGTTTTTTCTTTTTACGAGAATACTACGTTTTGGAATTGACATCACTTTTTCTTTTCTATTTTAATTTTAATTTTTCAAATTTTTAATTTATTGACAAAGAGAGAAAGAGAGAAGCGCGATACTTGGATTAGGAAAGAGTGTGGCTAAATTAAACAAATTAACTGTGAGAAAAAAGATTTATAATTTGCTTCATGTATATTCTTACTTATCTTTGTATTGAATTAAATGTACATGAGCAAATTATTTGCTTGCGCATGTTTGAAAACTGGTATTTTTATTTTTTTTTTCAGAAATTCTTAGCCAGTTCAGATCGCACAAAAAGTGGCGATATTAGCTTAGCCGAGTTTATACACTACGTTCGTGAACACGAAAAAAATCTCCGACTGCAGTTCTCCCATCTCGACAAGAATAAAGATGGTAAATAACCGTTAAGTATAAAGATCGATTTCGAAACTGGGAAAATTGATGAAAAATTACGACTTATATCAATGAAAAACAAGTGTCATACATATTTTTCTATTCGATATGTATCAAAGTTTAAATAATTCATGTTTTTATATCTACTTCGTACATTTCTTTGAATATGTATGTAAGTGTTCTCGTGTTTTCTAGGTAAGATAGATTTGGAGGAACTAATAAAAGCTTTCAAAGAATTGGGGATAGAAATAGCGCAGGAAGAAGCGACGAAGTTGTTACAAAGGTAAATATTCTTGGTTTTAAGGTGTTTTTTTTATTTACACTTATTGTTAACGCTATTTATTATATAACGAGTTTATTGTTGTTGTACAAAGGATGGACCAAGATGGAAGCCTCAAGATCAGCTTCAACGAATGGCGAGACTTTCTCCTCTACGCACCGAGTACCAATTTATCGGACATCATCGAATATTGGCATCACACCACGGTGAGCGTACACATATTTGTAATCTTTACATTTATCTTTACATTTTTCTTCAATACACATACATATATACAGCGATTTCGAAGTTTATTGTACACCGACGCTTTATGTGAAACATATGGTAGATCTACTAGAAATTCAGGAATTTCGATAAATGTAAAAGGCCAAATTTTTTTATGTGAAGAAAAAAAAAACCGGTCTGAGACGAAATGCGCACAATTTCGTCAGAGTCATTTGTACAAAGTATTTTTAAAGTACTTCAGATAAGTGCTCCGGAATGTTATTTTATTACGTGTGTAGAAAAAATAAGTTTACGGACAAATAATAAGTTTGTGAACTGTGTTGTGTGGAACTTTGGAACTGTTATCACGCAAATTAGTTCGGATGACGCGTATGTGTGACGTCAAAAAGTAAACGACCAAAGATGAACGACAAAAGTGGAGAGAAGGGAGCAGACAGGCAGACACTGCTTAGGCTCGTTTCTCGTATTGGAGGGGCGTTATCTTCGTATCCGGAATTTCCTCATGACTGCATGCTGAGCTGAGCTGGTATTCGTTAGTCTCACGATCGGACTCCGAGCCTTCGAATCGCCGGTTCGTAGCTCGTTCTACTCTCTTCAGTCTCGTACAAGATCGCTCAAGAGATAGACCATTACCTTTTTTCTTGACTAAAACACGCTTTTCACCACACGTGCTCGTTTGGTTTTCTATCGGCGGATATACTCGCAATCATCGGAAACACTTCTGACGATCGTTTCAAGAACCGACAAGTCACTTCGAGCAATCGTAATCTCCGTGGAGTTGCTAGATCTAAAGATAACGAAGAGAAACAGTGGAAAATTATCAGAAATTCGTGTAACCTCAATCAGAGCAAATTTCTTGCGGAATAGAAAGTTCCCGAAAGTTCGAGAAAGTGCAGACTCGGCGCAAGTGCGACAGAAAAGTGTGTGCGAGCGTGATTGACTTCACTGAGTAAGCGTGACCCTGGTTGGCAACCACGTGACTAAAATATATCAGTGAGAATATAAATTAATTGCGATTAGCGAGGGAGTGAAGAAATAAAAAGTGTCATTGTGGTTTTTTTATGAAGGAAATAAACAGAAGAATTAGAAGGACAGGCAAGAAGGACGAAATGAAACGGAACAGTTCGCGGAGTTGAAGGACGGAAATAAAAAAGCAACACAGAAAAAAGTAAAACAAGAAGGAACCAAAAGTGACGGAACAGCGCGGAAAGTTTCACGCGACAGGCGTGTGTGTGAATGCGTGTCTCGCGTTTACAGCTGATTTCAACATGTACGCTCTGAAAGAGCCGGGATTTCTCGGTCACGACAGCACCCCGTCCACGTCTCAAGTGTGCACCGAATTCCTGCGGAGTTATCATGAGCTCTTGCAACGGGTAAGTAAAAACTAGTCACAGCCAATGAAAACGTCAAGTTTATTAAGAAAGAAATTAGGACAGCATGCGTGAAACACGTGGGCTGTATCAAACTTTAAATGTTTATATCACCTGTATATCAGATTGAATATATTTTTCTTTGTTCTTTTTTTTTTTTTGTAATGATAGTGTGTATTTCGAGTGTAGAAAATGTAACCAAAGAGAACGAACCTGAGATATCTATATCTGTGCCTTCTGTCTGGCACATTTCCCAGTCGAGCTGAGAAAATGCTGGGCAGAACGTCTCGGTTTGTAATGGACCTTATCGTTTGGTGACTCGTGATTTCTTGTCATTTTTAACATCTTGTTGCCACTTACGACATCGCACGCCGTTGTACCAAATATAATACTGTTGTAATTTCGTTATCGTGACACGAAAGTCGAGTCCGGTCGTAATTCCGCAAAATTATTACATCACGAGTTATGTCTGCGAAATTGGCTGAATTCGTAAAAATACAAAACACTCTACTAAGTTGCGTGAAATTGTGTGTGCAATGACCGGGTTTCTGTCAAATGATTCGCAGGATGAATTCTTGGAATTTTATCAGTGTGTACGTTATTATAAGAAATTTTTATGCAAATAAAAATATGTCATCGTGAGTGTTCGAGTTAAAACTCCTCGATCCTCCAATTCGATAGTACACGCGAGGTTTTTAATTACAGTATATTGCGTTATGTCTGTAATGCAACACATGTAACGTAATAAGTCTATTGTGTTTAGATATGATCGTTTTCGTAGAAGTGCTACACAATACTTTTCTTTATGCTACTGATAAGAGCGATCCCTCCAACTGATCTTTATATCTTGTGTCGGAATGTTTCGAACATGATAATGATCAATCTTATATCTCGTCTAGTTAAATGTTCGTATTAAAAGTCGGTGGAAATTCTAACATCTTGAATCTGCAAAGTGAAAGTTAGATTTATGTGAAAAAAATGTATAAAGAACAACATGTATATAAAATGTATATATGTATGTGTATCTTAGTTTAATATACATATTTTATATATGGAAGATTAAGATCTTTTTTTTTAAGTAATACAAATGTATTAAAAGTTCAAGTTATGTTTGAATATATATATGCATGTGTATGCCTATATGTGTATTCATAGAAAACATTTCTTTTACATTTACAGTATATGGACATTGGGGAGGATATTGGCATCCCCGAAGAATTCACAAAAGGCGAAATGGTATCAGGAATATGGTGGCGGCACTTAGTATCTGGTAGTATAGCAGGTACGGTATCGCGCACCTGCACCGCACCTCTTGATCGCGTTAAGGTCTACTTGCAGGTAAGTTTTAATATAAAACTCTTTCAAAATTTATATACGTTATATTACACGAACAGTTTTGAATCCACTGCTTTTAGCTTAGTTTGTTAGAGAAAAAATTTTAGCTGCGCTAATATCTCTCTAAGTGATAAATGCGCTCAAGACTTGTAATATGTGTCTGTTTGCGTTGTTACGAAATATAATTTGCGTAAGACGACGCGTCAAGCGTGCGAGTACATTTGTCTAGTTTGCTTTAATACGACGAGAGAATCCGTCCGATCATCCTTGCAGGTCCACGGCACACGACACTGCAATATCATGAGTTGCTTCAGGTACATGCTGCGTGAGGGTGGCATACTCAGTCTATGGCGCGGAAATGGCATTAACGTGCTCAAGATCGCACCGGAGCACGCGCTCAAGTTTATGTCGTACGAGCATTTGAAGCAAGTGATCAAGGCGGGCGACGACGGACACGAGATTCAAATGTACGAACGTTTCTGCGCTGGATCCACGGCCGGCGGAATTAGCCAGTCAGTCGTCTATCCCCTCGAGGTATATCGCAATTTCTAATGTTTATTTCTGCTTGATTTTATTATGCTTTTTCATTACGTAGAATATAAAAAAAATGCAAATATAAATATAACAATGATATTGCCGCAGGTGCTGAAAACGAGATTTGCGTTGCGGAAAACCGGCGAATTCAACGGTATTGCTGACGCGGCTAAGAAGATATACAAGCAAGGTGGTTTAGTGTCCTTTTACAAAGGCTATGTACCTAATTTAATAGGAATACTTCCTTACGCTGGCATCGAACTGACCGTCTACGAAGTACGTTGATTCTGAAAATTGTTTTTTTTTTTTTTTCGATCTTATTCAATATTAGCGCTTTTTCAACATATATTATTTCTGCAAAACAAATATTTTACATATGTTTTCACAATTCAAATCAATATCGCGACTTGATCTCATGATAAATTTTTGAAGTTGTTTCGATAATAGTCATTTCAAATGCGTTTATAGACGTTGAAGAAAAATTATCTACGTACGCACAGTAAGACGGTAGAACCGGCATGGTGGGTCAAGTTGATGTGTAGCATCACCGCAACTACGGCGGGTCAGGTCTGTTCGTATCCGTTGGCACTTGTGCGGACGCGATTGCAGGCCCAGATCGGACCTAATCACTCACCTAATACCATGATAGGCGTTTTCAAAGACATCCTCAACCGCGAAGGAATACGCGGTTTGTACCGCGGTCTCACACCCAACTTTCTTAAGGTACAAGACTGATAACAAATATGAAATTGTTGATTAATTATAAGATTATAACGATAATACAATTTTGTATTACAGGTCGCACCTTCCGCCTCTATTAGTTACTTAGTGTACGAACATTTTCGGGAAATGTTAGGCGTCAAAATGACGTGATGAACATGCATACTAGGTGACTGACTAATTCAATTAATTAACTTATTTTCTCTCTTTATCTTTCTCTGTCTCTCTCATCTCTTTTTCCCTATTTCTTCTCTCAACACAGTAATGATTATCGATATAAAAAGATAAGTTCTTGTTTGTCTATACGAAAGAAGAACTAAGCAACAAAATAGCGGCGTTTATTTATTTATTATCCTAAACTATCGTTTTTCCAATTATAATCGAACGTTTTCTTTCACAGTCATTTTAATTTAGTAAGATTTTTTAGTATATATTTTTTTTAACATTTTAATATTAATAACTTAATAAAAATAACTGCAAAGAATCAAACGTTTATATGTTGTGATTTTTTTCTCCAGAAATTCCTATCGTGTATTATTAATTTTATTGGGTAAATTTCGCGCATCAAACGAAGTATTATGTAATGACTGTTTGTTTTCTTTTTTTGTCCCTAACAAAATAAAAGTTACCTTGAATATCGTTACAAAAAATAAGAGACAGGCCAGTTCTTTCGATAATTTATTTAGTATAAAAGTTTGTTTTTGATAGAAATGTTTTCTCCTTTAACTGCGGACACATTGTACATGTCATGTTTTTCTTTTTTTACAAATTCTATATATAGATTTATTACCTTATATGCGTATGCAGTAGTCCACGCGTAACCTTTGCATACAAAGTCCACTTAGTATTATCAATGATAAGGCCAGTGTTTTGCGCCGAAAATTCTTCTGGAAGAATACAAATAAGAGATTATCAATCATGCAGTTAAAACGATGCCGCAGTTAAAAGGGTTAGTCAGTACAAAATGTTTCTACATAATATTTTACGAGATGTATAAGTTTTCCTGTAGATTTGATATGCCATTTAAATTTTATATTATAGAAACATATATGTATAAATTCATTATTTTTTGCAGAAACTATATTATAATACTTAAAAATTGACTAATACAATTATAAAAAAATGAAAACAATTATTTCATATATTACATATATACATATATATACACACACGCTATAAAAGTAAGTTAAAAAAAAAAAAACAGAATTAATAAGTTCACACTTTTGAAGAATTAAAAAAATCAAATTTGAGCTCTTGCAAAAAGTTATTATTATATGTAGATGTCAACTTCACTAGAAACTATCTTAATTGTGAAAAAATCAAGATATATAATACTGTGATATGTATATGACTGTAAGTTGAATTTTCGCGTAATTTCTCATTAACGCGATATGTTTCAAACTACGAAATTATTGCTCTGTGAAATGACTTAATCTGTTGGTATATGAAGTCTTTGAAAAACTTTAAAAGTTTTACGTAATTTTTCAATACATGAATAATTAATGTTTTTCTTGCAGAAAGAAAATTGCAATTAAAATATTCAGAATAATTTTCATACAGGTAAAACATATAAAACATATTTTCATGTTTTTTCTTTTTTATTGAGAAAGTTTTGTTCTTCTAGAATTTTATAAGTATAATTTTATTCTCTCTTCGTATGAAAATTACTCTGAATATTTTGATTGAAAAACTTTCTCTCTACAAGAAAAAATCAATAAAAAACTCTTTTGACTTTATAACATTTTTTTCTATTTTATGTTTCTTTAATATCTTCTTCTCTGCAATCCAAGAGATTGAGTTTTGCATATAATTTCGTAGTATTAATTATTGTATTGTAAATCACACGGCGCTCAGTTTTATCTCGACCTTGTTAGTACTTGGTACACATGTCACTCAACTTTGTAAACTGCTGCGATTTATGGACGTTCCGGTTATTACCATTCATTCCCCTAGAACGACTTTTGCGACTTACAAGCTATGTATATTATGTATTTACATGTATTATAAATGTATGTACAGTTAAACACGTTGTTTATATTAGATAAATATTTGAAAGTAGTAAAATAACTTACGTACTATAAGTATTGTCTTGGACAACAATAGTTACAGTATGTGTTTGTATGTGATATGTTATTATTCATCGACTATCATAAAAATATTTTACTCGTTTTATATTACTTCAAATTTTTTTATTTAATTAAATTCTGTGATTTGAGAAATTTATCATAATTTTTAGTAATAACATTGATGTTTGAGAAATAGGAGTTTCTTACACTGACTTTATTATCTTAAAATTGTTACTACAAAAATCAGTACTTATTGTACGTGAGTTATCAAATTATGTTCCAAGATTGACATTTCATCAGAAAAATGTAAATACGTTAATTTATATATGTGTATATAACATATACACACATATACATATATATACAATTTTTTATATAATATAATATTTATTAATCGTGCGAATTGAAACATAGTAAAGTTCTGCACGTTTTTATTACGTACTAAACTAAAAGCTATATATATCTTGAAAATAATATTTAAAATTGTAAAGTTGTTATTTTTATTATTTAGCGATTAAATTATTGTATGACAGGCATTTGACAAGAATAAATAGTAACATTTCGCATTCATTCAGACTTCAAATTTAATTCCACATCGTAAATATAAATTTTTTGGGTGTAATTTATCGAAATAAAACAAGTATTCTACTAAAATTATCATTAAGATTTTATTGAAAATAGAATCACAAGATTTTTCTGTGATGTTTCTTTTATTGCACTCTATATAAATCAGGTACTCTATATATTCAAATGTGTTTCTTATCGCGATATCATTCTTTTAATCAGTTCTTTGCAACACTGTGAGAAAACTTGTTCAATTTTTTCTTTTCCCTTTTTTTTATCTAGATAAAAAATAAATTTACATTAGTTATCACAGATATTCAGAATAAAAAAATTATCCTATCTGTTCGTGTTGCATTTTGCTACGTATAAAATTTCATATTTTATTGCCAAAACCGTGTTGTAAATTTTATTTTCTTAGTACCTCTTTTTCTCTTTTTTACAAGTGTTGATTGTTTTGTTATGACAAAACATTGTACATTGTACATTCTTATCATGTTCTTATCATTATCACAAAACAATACAAGCTAGATCAGTCATAAGTATCCTATTTGAAATTAGTTTCTTAGAAACAAGTTTTACATATCTTCGTTACGAGCGTGTATCGCTTATTTGAAAATCCTATCTTTTTCTTTTTGATAGAAAGTGTAATGATGAAAGTGCACATAGTAGAAGTATCGAACTAAATACAATACAGTGGAATTATATAGAGTGGCTTAAGTGTAAGGAATGTAAAACTCTTGTATGTATAAACTCAATGATGATCTTATTTTTGACCAGTGATTTATTTCACTTTGAAATTAGTTAGCGCGTTCGACCTTAGATCAAGTAGCCAGACCAGTTTGCCAGCGTCCGGAATCACTTTGCTGGCTGGTAGATCCATATCCTCATCTACTAAGATTCTCTGTATGGAAAAGTCATATTAAAAATCTATTATTTTAATCTTTCATATCGTAGATTTAAAATTAAATTAACAGAAAGGTAATTACCTTGACTATGTCGGCCTTGCTCTCACCAGTAGCGATAAATATACACATACGAGCATTATTGATAACCGGCAGAGTAAGGGTGATCCTACTGGGAGGTGGCTTTGGCGCATTCAACTCCCATGTAACCCATACGTTCTCGTCATCGACAGCCCGATGCCCTGGGAAGAGCGAGCATGTATGTCCATCCGGACCCACGCCCAGCATCAAGCAATCAAACTGCGGTAATCTATCCGGCGGGAAGAAGAAAGCCATTTTTTGAATGTAATCCTTTGCAGCATTCTCGGCTACGAATATCAATAAATACAACACGATGAAAATAAATATAACACAATATTATATAGTATGGAAATAAGTAAAATACTAAATAAAATAGTTGTAAGCATGCAGCAAACAACAATTAACATAATGTAGAAAGTGAAAAGATTCATGTAAAGTGATGACATGATGAACTAACTGATATATAATATCAGTTAATATTTTACATAATAAATAAAACAATCTTATAAAAAAAGAAGAGAAACATCACTGATCACTCACCATCAAGTTCAGGATTAATTTTTATAAATTGATCTTCAGTGACAGGTATCTTATCTAAGAAATTCTTTTTGTAAAGACCAAAAGTAGATTCAGAATCCCCAAAGGGTACTACTCGTTCATCACAGAAGAAGAATCGCCAGTTTTGCCACTGAGTTTCAATGTTCATCAGAGCCTTAGTCAATAATGTTACCATTGAACCACCTGAGCAAACAAATTAATTTACAATTAAAATTATTACATCAGTTTAAAATCAAAATTTTACAAATAATACTTTTTCAGGCTTGTATTAATATGGACCAGATTATCAAAAAGAAGAATGAGATAGCATTTTTTTTAATCAGAATGATGACACTACTAATGCTGATTTCATGCAGAAGTTGCGGCATTTAATAAATGAAGATAGAAAGAGACAAAATGAGAAAGATAAAAACACAACGTAAAACCGTCTTATCCGCGAAGAGACTTTCAAAATCACCTGAGACTCCGATTCGGAAGAGATGATCGTCACGTGTAAACGCTTCGTCGGCGATGGAAGTGACATATTTTGCAATTAGCTTGAGCAACGTGTCTTCATCTTGAGCTACCTTTTTTATCAATGTCTGACCGTCATCAGAATCGTTAGAATCAGGGTTTTCTTGCTCGTTACGGACACGGGGCGAATGAAGAGATTGGCTCACAACAGGACGGACCAAATCACGACTGTTTGAATCAGAATTGTCTGAATCGGAATGTTGTGGATTTTTACTCGGTTCGGAAGCTTCGTCAGCTTCAATCTTATGATCCGAATCTGCCATCGTGCTTAAGCGAGGTTATTCCCTGCGCACTTTGAACTCGACTGAAACACGATTGAATGCGCTAACTATCGAAATGCGAGTGCGCGAGGGAAGTCGTGTCCCGCGCGACAACGTGCACGATTTCGTCCCTAAGGTCATAACCTTTCTTCGACGTATTCCGTACACTAGCACATCATACCGACTTCTTCCATAGGCGAGACAAGAAACAACGCGGAAGCCAATCAGCAAATTGCTTTCATAAAAAAGCAACAAGGTGATTGGCTATCACGTATCTTCTAGCCGCGTGTCACGCGGTTTTGTCCGATGAATTGCTTGTGTTCTAATGTGAGTGGTCAATTCGAGAGATTTTATATATTTATGTACACATGTATACATACAAGACAATCGACTTTGCGTGCACGTTTGCTCGCTGCGCGAGGTTTTTCTCGCGATCGATGCAGAAATGTCATTTGCATATTACCGCTGTAAATCCTTGATGTGTCTCCTAATATAACTTTTAAAATACATGCCGCAATGGACGGAAAATCTGTTGACGTTAAAAAAAATAATTCTAATGACAACGACGCAGAAATCACAGTAAGTTAATAACGAGATAATTGTTTAGATAATTTCAAAAAGCTAATACTTTCATTAAATGTTCGTATTCTTTTCATCAAAAACATTTGTGCATTTTCTTGCAGATAATGTTAAGAAGAAAGCTGGAAATGAAATCGGAAGCGCTTATATTGTTGAGCGAAGAACTGGAGCAATGCAGGATACAGCGGGATCAATTCAAAACAATGGCGGAACAACTTCAGGAGAGACTTCTGCACTTGAAGAAGCAAATGTGTGACAGAAAGGATGCGAACAGGTATCTCATCCGACGAAATGAAGTAACAAATATGCTAGATACTTTGTTCTATATTTTGTTTTCTGGTAGTTTAACAAGTATTTTTGCAGGAGCCATAACTTGAACGACGATTTCAGAACCTCGGATTTATTGGCGGAAGCGGCGGAACAGAACAAATGTCTCAGGCTTCAAGTGGAAATGTTAAGGCAAAAACTATCAGACGCTGAGGGTGATATTAAGGCATTGCGTAAGAACAACAATCATATATCAATTGAGCAGCAGGATGCTCAACTCGCACCAACCATGCATCAAAGGGAAGAAATGATAGAACAGTTAGAAAAATTAAATTTGAAGGTAAGTGTGTAAGTGTACAATTTACATTAATTATTTAGCGACTTATATCTTGCAAATTAAATTTTTATTAATACTAATTTCTGTTGCGTAGTGTTCACAGTTACAAACAGATCTACAGACAGTGTTAGATGAGAAGCACGAATTGGAAATGGAAAGGGATGCCTTCAAGTGTAAAGCACATCGTTTGAATCACGAACTATCTAAAGCTCTGAGCGCTTCCAAGCCAGTTGATTTGGATGCTCTAATCAATGAGAACAGGTAATTAATAAACGATTGTATATATATTGATAAATATTTATATATGAATTCTATTTCAAACTTCTCAGATATCTCCAAGAAAGATTGCAACAGTTGCTCGAAGAGAAGGAACTCACGCGTCAATCTTTGTCAAAGTACAAAGTAAGTTTCGATAATGGTCAAACAATAATGTGCATTCAACTTGTGCGGTTGTTTAATCAGATGATCAATTTTGCTAGAGCATGCTGGATAGTAAAAGAGCTAAGGGAGCTATTAAGTTGGGAGTAAACTCCGCAGCTGGAACAGTGATGACTCATAAACAAGGTAAGATATATAATACACAAAAGCATTACAGCATTAAATCTCTGAATAGAACAGAATACCATGTTTTTTTTTTAGTCGAACAACTTCTTCAAGAAAGTTCTTATATACCACCTCAGAAGTCCGCCGCTGCTGTCACTGATTTACGCTGCCTTTGTACAGCCTTGCTGGAAGCTTTGAACGACAAGACTTTGGCTTTGGCGCATCAGAAAAAAGCCAACAAGTAAATAATTCTATATCAGTTGAATTTACAGTTTAAAAAAAATTAGCACATATTTATATCTTGCTTTTTTGCAGAATATTGGCATTGAGGATTTGTGAATTGGACAGTGCGGTACAGTCGCCGACTATGAAACTCCTGGAAGGATACACAAGTGCTAATGTCGATCTAAAATGTAAGCAGTAATCGTAAGATCGTAAAATACTATCATTTTTTTTATATATTTGTAAAAATTACATTAAACGTTTATATTTATGCAGGCGACGATGAATTTAACAGTCTGGAACAAACGAGCAACGATAACACGAGCAATATCGAAGAGAACAATATTATAACACATAAAAGTAGTATACAATACAACTCTTCACCCGAGAGTCAAGTTATGCAACAATTGCAATCGATACAGACGAGTCTCCCGAAGAATCTGGGAATGTTGGTTCAAAAAGCGTTAAACAATTTAAAGGATAACGATAAACAAAAGGTATAAAGTTTAAACTTTATGATTATAGAAAGAAATATATACGTGCCTATGTGCACAGAATGTGCATATAAAACCCTCTCATTGCAATTCCGCAGCGCTGCTAATGAAAATATGTAATATTTCATTAGATAGCATATATCATTTTTGTATCTATTGAACGATCTTCACTCGACCTTGTCGAACTGCGCATTCGCGCAAGAAATGTGATATCTCCTGTAAACTTATATCGTTCTTATTTAACATTATATATCGTGTGTTATTATAGTGTTTTTGCTGCAAACCAAAGAACTAGAAACTGTATGTACAATTTGATCTGCATATTGTACACCCACAAAAAGTATAAACATGCAATGATAATAATTTATTTATAAGTTATTTAATGGACATACATAAATGCACACACTGATCCATTTCCAGTGTATAGGTGATTCTGTACTTATGTACATATATATATATATGTATATATTTATATATACATATATACATATCTAACAAATACAAGCTGTATATTTACAAATGTAATAAAAAGAAACGATTATCTTAAAAAAACCGTAAAAACAGCATGTAATGTACATTACATTTTGGCACTTCTCTAAATCGTAGATATACTTTGCTATAAGTAGAAGAAAGTGCGCTGATATTCATACACTCGAAATTATGAAAAAATCAAAAACAATAAAAAAAAGATACATGTTCGTAGTGCAAATATTAAGTGTCTTGGCACGTAACGTATTTCGACGTGGAACGTTCGGTCCCACGTTAAATTTCTGTAAATTACTTTTTTTGCGCACAAAAAATGCAGAAAATAATCTAAATGTTAAATCGCTCTACTTATCGCTTCACCTTGGTTTTAATGAAATCGGTATATTCGGAGACACGCGTGTACACGCCGGGGTACCCAACCTCGCCGCACTTATTTCCAAATGAGACTATTCCGATCTGTGTCCACCGACCCTCAACACGCAACATAAGCGGTCCACCCGAGTCACCCTGACACGCGTCCTTGCCACCTTGGCTGTAACCCGCACACAAAAAATTGCTGGTAATCGGCTGGAAGTAAGCCGCGTCACAATCCTCGTTTCTCCACACCGGCAGGACCGCCTGTCGTTGCACAGTGCTTTCTTTTCCACCTATTATACACCGTTACATTTTATTGTTTCAATAACAATCACATTACATTATGCCTCGTAAAAATATATTTAATTACCGTAATAAGTAGTGCCCCAGCCGACTACTGTAGGTCTATGTCCGACAAACGATTCTTTACGGAATCGCGCCTGCGGCAAACAAATGGGTATCACGTACGGGGTCTTCTTCACGCGTCTGGTGAGCTCGAGTACGGCGATGTCGTTATAAAAACCGACGCGCGAGAACTTCGGATGAGCGTGAATCTCCTTCACGGTGTAGGTCTCCGGTGACGAGGGCTCGTCGTCTCTCTCCAGATCGATATCGCCGAGACGCACAGTGAACTGACGAGCAGCAAATCTATATGAAAGGTATAATATAATATAAAAGATATAATATACCTGTACTGAAAAATTTACGCTTTTTTAAAAATTCTATACAGACGCAATATTTGTGTGTGTATTTCAGGAAACTGGATTAATGCAATCGTGGATTTATGTAATGCTTAACGTAACTTACGGCCGCTGACGTTGATCTCGCGTGCAATGAGCGGCGGTGAGAATGTAACGCGATCCTATCAACGATCCTCCGCACCAGAACTCCGTTCGCCGAGTGCTGTGAAGAAAAATCGCCGCCATCCAGGGCCAACGACCAGGTAACGCTTCCTCACCTCCGACCACGCGGAATTTACCTGAATTTCTTACACCGCACTCTGAAATCAATTAATCCTTTTCATAAACCAAAGTTCAAAAAAGGCGGTGTATCAAATTAAACAATATACGTATATAATTAAAAAGTATATATCAAAACCTTCGTCATCTTGAATAAAATTGTTGTCAATCGTGCCAACACTTTCAAAACCATTCGTATTGTTGTATAATAAATCGGGCGATGGGACAGTTTGCGCGATAGGTCTTACAGTCGTGGACGTCACTGGATACAGTGGTATCGGACGTGGTGTAGCTGGTTTCGTTGGTCGAATCACCGTTGGTCGAAGAGGATGTTCACTTGTGTTGACACCGGAAGATGCGCCGTCAGTAGTGCTACACAGCGTTCATTCGCCTGAGTGTCTCTCTTACTTAATATGTGTCGAGGATAATATTATATTTTATACAATTTTTGAACCGTAAAAGAGAAGTGAAACGAATATTCAGCAAAAAGCTTACGTGGAAACAGAGGGATTGCCGGTTTTGTCTATCGGGCAACAAACTCCTGGTACGAACAAGCTTTTGAAACACAACGATTGTCTAAGCTTGGTGAGATCGAGCAACAGTTGCGGGCAATTACTGAGATCTTGGCACTTTCCGGGTCCGCCCTCGGCGGTTGTACACACGGACGGAGCGGACTCCTTGTCTCTGTTGGCGAGTTCTTCCTGTTGTTGATGTTGGATCAGCGGTGCCTGTGTGGTGGAGGATGTAATCGTTTGTCTCAATGGCAGTGCAACGCCGCGTACCAAGGGAGCTATGCTGTCTGTTACGTTACGGCCTAGGAAAAGCGAACGTTTCGGAAATTCATCATTTTGATTTGACACCCAAGGCATGTGAAATTGATCATTTCGTAATAATGAGAGTAAGTTTTACATAGATAATAAATATGCGTTATTTTCTTCAGCATTACCAAGAATATTTTTAGAAATGGTATAGATCGCCGAGGGCAACTCCTTCGGTGGATGATCCAAGACCTCGACGCCCTTCGTCATGTTGACGATGTAGTTGCCCACGGTGTTCAAGGCGCCGAGAGTCTCGCTGATGGTCACCAGAGGATCGCTCTGCTCTTGCTCGATCTTCACCAACCGCGTGTAAGGACGCACCTGCGTGTCCCTACGATACACCGGTCTGTCCGACCTGTTTGGCCCGGCGTTCCAGGAATGCGACCATCCTTCCGTCGACGGGACGTACGAGTTTCTGTATCCATGCGCTGCGCAATGTCGCGTCGTATGAAGTAATATATTACATTTAATTTTCTGCGAAAGCTCGCGCACGACAGCATCCTCGTCGTCGTTAAAAACGCAAGTGCATGACGTAATTATTCTGACAAATTGCAGCTTCGTTCTCGAGTTTGCGCTTCACTTTCATTTCTTTCTCGAAAGTGTGCGAGAGACACTCGCCGGAGAGGAATTTAAATTAGTCGCGATGACGATGACGGATGCGCGTCGAGACGCGCAATGGAAATTCATCGCGTGTATAACACGAAAATTACAGCGCGTACGTTATTAGATGTTAACGTTAACGAGTGCCACTTTTGTGTGTCGGAAAAACCTAAACTACTTACGATAACTGCGGTAATGCACGACCTCTCCGGTGTACGAGGCAGAGCCGGCGAACAGGCTCCATATTACACAGAGGCCTGGAACGCAAATATGTATGTTATTACGTGAATTACAGGCGTCTCGCAAGCGTAAGATAAGAGAAATGATCTCGCTGTGTGTTTGTTCGTGACAATTACGAAATCATCGGCGTGTGTAATCACGTCTCATCGGGAATACCGCCGCGCGAATTTAACCGGGCGGCGTCATCTCGTGTGTTACGTAATATAGAAAGGCCGCAGCAGCACTCTCGACTTTCCAATTCCTCCCAGAAACATGTCGAAAGTTCGTAAATATCGATCGATTAGAACGGATTTGATTAGAATACGCAATCTCATTATTTATTTTATTTTTTTCAAGTATAGATATAAAAAACATTGTTCGTTAATAACCGGTCAATTATCTCGAAAGTATTTGTAGTGCAAAAACACAGACACTACTTTAAATATGTTCCTGAGAGATCGTTGTCGAGTAATTCTTTGATCCGGTTCCGGTGATTTGAACTTTTCCGGTGAGAAGAAAGAACCGAATTTCTAACATATAATTGAGGAACTAAAAAAAAAAGAAGACAAAAGACGCTCAGTTGTTACTACAGACTCGAAATGCAGTCGGTCTCGTATAGTGTGACAATAGCGTGACCTGAATTGCAAGAGAAAAATAGTCTTTTTCATGTAACACAACAGAGACGCTAATGTAAAAGTCTCATGTACGGACCGTGTATTTCTTTTCTCGAAAAGCAGAGACTCAAGGTCCGAGATCAAGGATCGCGTCGTGATGGATGTGTTTGATTACAAAATTACATGTCCGACTCGCGTGTTGTAGTAGTATTTTTTAGAACTGGTTACACACAGACATCAGGCGCGCATCGGGGCTTCTTTCATCGACGGTGAAAGTTGCCCGGCGAGAAAGTGTGTCTTTCTTCTTCCGTTCACTGATTCATGTTGCCCGATATATATCCTATACACGAGGAAAGGACAATTTATCTTAACAGCTCCGGCTCAGCGGGGATGGCGAGAGCGTTCTTGGAATGATTGCTCGGAATGAGTGTTTCATCCGGGAAAATCCAAGCAAGAGAGTTCTCCCGAATCTTTGTGAAAGAATCTTTGTGAAGATTTTTGTCGGTCAAAAAACGAAACTGATTCTCGAGACGTGTCAGTGTGTAATATTCGCTTTCGCTCCTTTCGAGGAGAGCACTGGGAGAAAATCTAGAACAAAATATCAGAATCAGAACCGAGTAATATGTGGAAAGAATTTTTAAGTAATATTCTATCTGCGAGATCAAGTCGAATCAAAGACTGATTTTGTTTTTGTAAACAAATTTCAGACGCGACTCGGGCGTGCGAGGTCAATCTTCTCTTATCTTGGCTGCAAACCTTACTAGGACACTCCTGATAACGTGTATCAAAATCGCTTCGCAATATGCGGGTGAAAAAGTAGCGCTGTATCACTTCAGCTCTCAGTTTACACAATATAATAATGATTACTATAAATTATAATTGTCATAAATTATATGTGTGTGCGTGTGTGTTACAGTTATCAAAAATATAATTTATCTTTTCTCTGAATTCTAGGTAGAGAAAGCTTTGTTGGAGATATATCGGCGAATTATAAAAAATTCTGATGATTGTTTTACATTAGAAATTTTGATCATCTGTTTTATTGCATATCGTAAAGATAAATCCATCTTTCTTCGAGCATTAATGTCGCTGTCGGCGGCGCATCACGACGCATCACTCAGCTAACACGCGGCTCTAATGTCTTGTGCGTCGGCGTTTTACGTTTCACCGGTCGATCATAGTGAAAATGTGAAAACGCGCGAAAAGTTGAAAAAAGATCTTCGGTTGTCTCGACTTACTACGTTATCGTCAAACAATCAACAATTTGCAGCAATTTGTTGTCAATTTGCATACAATTGCTTCTGATGTGTCAATAGATTGTGTGATCTGATACGTGTAACAAACGACAGATGTGTTTTACAATTAATTCGCGAGAACACTGTGCCACTTAATCTTGAAATGCTGTTAGCGCACTACCGATTGTCTGATCATATTGCGTGAGAAAAACCGAGGAACTCCCGCGGTGTTTTGTTTTGCCAGTAGGTCATCCGACACTTTGTGTCGTTAGACGACAAACTAATTCGAGAAAGTGAGAATCGAATTATGCATGAGACACGGAATTCATAAACGCGTATAATTGAGGCCGTATTTTCTACCTACGCGCGTGAAACGTGTTCGCGGCGAATTAAAATAAAAACCAAAACCGTAAAAGCAACTGCTAACGCTGCGTATCGTTTAAGAATATGTACAATTTCTCTATGTAGTTTATATTAAAGAAATTTATATGCAATATATATATATATATATATATATATATCTAAAAAAAAAAACAAAAATAGAAAAGAAAACTTTCTCTTCTTTGGACTTCAGTTTGTTATACGCACTTGGGTGTCTTTAATACGTGTTCCAGTATTTTATATATATAGTTTTTCATTAAGAAAATAACAGATAAAGATTTAGAAAGCGATCGTGAAAATGCATGCTGAAGAGACGTATAGATATATCGTAATCGCTTTCTTACCCCACAGAGTTTTCATCGGTGCACGAGACGTCGTTTTCACTTTTTACAAATTACAAATCGCACACACGTACACACGTAATCAATAATTCACTGTCACTTTGCGTGACGTTCTGTTATCAAATTAACCAGCGGCATGGCACGTGCCATCGCGACCATCAAACGTTACGGCACCCCGTTTGCTTTTACACCCTCTCGCGTGAACAGTTTTACACACTCGCAGATGCGAAGGGATCTGTGGAAGCTTACGCGTCACTTACTCAGTAGAACTATTGTCGACGACATTTTCCGTTCAGAAAAAAAAAAGCTGTTATCCTGCGAACATCCCCAGCGTTTGTGCCACTATCACGACGTACTTTTGAAGCCGGGGTACGTGGCGCTAAATTATTTTAACTAGGAGTGTCGGCGCGCGATTAGAACCAGCGAGTTCTGCATGTTGTGTCGAGAGCGGCGGAGGAAAAACAGCGAGGAGTAAGTAAATGAGAGAAAGAGAGTGTGTGTGTGTGTGCAAGAGAGTACGAAAATAATTGACAGAGAGATGGAAAAGAGTACAAGCGGTATAGAAAAAAAAAAAAACTTATTCGACACAAAGGATGGCAGCGTGTAATCACCGGTCGCTCGAGACGGACAGACAGCGACTGTCCGTGAAAAGACCTCGACACACTTTACTCTCGATGGAGGAGCAATCGGCCGGGGCTCGCGCGCTCACTCGCTTGCTCTTTCTCCTTCTTTCTCCGAAACGCCGTCCCTAATCTTCAAGGGAAAGTGGTGTTTCCTCTACCTCATTGTCGCTCCGATACTCCGCCTACGAATTGACAATTTGTTACCGCGATGCGCAGGAATGTCGCGGGGCGAGTTCCGTCTGTGGTCCTCACGCCAGTCCGTAATCATTATGCGATCATTTGCGGTCCCGCGATCAATCTTGGAAAGTGAACAATCGTTTGAGATGTCGCGACTGAGTTTTGTTACCGTCTGTAACAGCAAAACGCGATTCTTGTCTTTTTCCTCCCCAGAACTGTAGGAAGAAATCAGAATCGTGTGAAGTACAGCCTAAATTTATTTACGTCGTGACAGATTTCGTTACATCGAGTTCGTGTATTCCACTGTATAAAGCGCAGCGCTACACCACACTACTTAACAAATACAGTTTGTGTTTTCTGCAAAATAAAATTTAATATACAGAGTATTTCGGACATGTGTGTACCGACAGACGAAAAAACAACAATTCCTCTTAAAAATATAATATATATTCATGCGATGTAACAATTAATTCGTCGCACGCGTTATCGTTACATCTTATCGGGACGAACTTGTTCGCGATAAACACGCGCGCTCTTAGCCTCTATATCATTCCTGTTGAAACCGATCGTTTCTCAATGATTGACTCGACGTCTGTAAAAGTAAACGGATGGCACGCAATTTACAATCAAATAAATCGCATCTCACCCTACAGGGGGCACGGCGGAATCTATATATTAACACATGTACAAAATTTCATCCGATACAAATGCGTTAAGGACGTTGCGATTTTTTATGTGCTGGAGGTGAACGCGCGTAAGAAAAAAGATAATTAATGAGAAACATGCGTAATTAGGCTGATTTTTTAAAAATACATGATGTAGACTATGTTGTGAAATTATACACTGACTCTTCGATCGATTAAAATAATAAATATCAAGGCTCGTGGGTCGGTTGAATTGTGACGCGAGAAATCATACGAATCTTTGTCTTACATCAAGAGTTTTTTTTTTTTTACGTCAACGGTATTTAAAAATACGATAAAATTGACATAAATTGCATGATTTTGTGAGTACTTTTTCTCGCTTCTGACGTCACAATTGAAAATGGCTGGAACAGAAATATTCATAAGAGCCTTAATATCAAAGTGAGTGAAAGTGTCGTTATCAATCAAGCAAAAGCTTCTAGATTTCTTTATATATATATATATGATTCTATGTAGATCACATATATTGTATATATGATTCTCAAAGAATTGGAAACAGAAAATTATCTCGACACAATATTGAACATTTCGAGATTAGACGCTCCAATCCACGCGATATAATTCGATAATTAGTAATTTACAAATTCAACGGACGCAGCTTAGTAAACACCGCCGCACTTAATATTTATCAGATAACACTCTCTAGTAATCTTGAAAATATTCCTGAATCTGTATAGAGGCAAAGAATTTAATATTTTCTCATGGGTATCGACGATTTGTACGCGTCGAATCGCTCGTACGACGGTGCCGTTCCCGGCGCGGTCATTCCCATTGATTGCATCGGTCCGCTTTGGTATGTCGGCGGAATCGGATGTCGCAATGTATTTCCCATACTACTTGAGTTGCTCCATCTACAACAAGTCGCACGCTCACTTCAATTTCGTAAACAAATGTAAAAAATACATTTCTTTTCATACGAAAAATGAAATAAAACGCACCTATTAACGCTATCGGACGATCTAGAATTCCAGCTAGAGGTCTCACCTCGGGGATCGCGAGAACCACTACTTGTCACAGAATTAAACGATTTAGAGGACGTAGGTCCTGAGTGCCATCCGCTCGTTGTACGATTGCTTTCTACATAACGACTCTCACCTATATTGAAGAAGAGTAATGTCAAAATTAAATAAAGATAAATGTTAGCAAGCTTTGATTGTGTATTTTGTTTTTAATCGCGCCCACACGCAGTTGTGTACGTTCTATCAACACTTAAACCACGTAAACTTTATTGAAATGCTCAGCTGAGATTAAAAAAATTACATATAAAATTTATTCAGAGAAATGTAATTCTATTTTTGTTGTGTATCAAATTGCTTGGTATGCTTGATAATAAAAAGTGTCTTTTTAAAATGGTTGCACAGAAAAAATTTAAAAATGAAAACCAATTGGAGACACATATGATGTGTGAGCGTCATGCAGTATTTTTATTAGATATAAATCAAGTATATAAAGAAATCTTTTTTTATACACTTCTGTGAGACTGACAGCAGGTTCAACTAACTACAATGAAACTCAAGAGAAATTGAGAACTCATTTTTATTATGAAGCATACACGTTTATAAAAGAGAATACAAACTGGATTTTTGGAACAAAATAAAGTTCTTCTACAAAATTCCACATCGTAAGTTCTTTCTGTTTTGCGTCGACATCGACTTCTACATTTATTTTATAGAAAACGTCGGAAATACTTAAATGATATATATATGTATAAAAATTTAGATATTTATCTAATTAAACATCAAAAATGTCCAGTTTGCAATAGTTTTACAATTTTGTTTCACACAGAAGAAAATAATATGCATAATATATAAGTTTTATAAGTGTGTAATTTGTGTGTAAGATTGTAATTGTGACTATCATATACACGTATGAGCTAATATATACATAGAAATCTCTTTCTATCTATCACAAAAAAAACATTTTACTTCGTTCTATCTTATCTCACGAAACTTACGAATTAAATATCTTACAAAAATCAGTCCTTATATAAAAAAAAGTACTTTCTAAAATAAGTATCAGTCGTTAGTCTTTTACTTTCCGTCCTTCAACTCGATTGACGTTACTTATATTCCTATGCGAAACTGTGGCTCTTTGAAAGTGTTTTTTTTTTGTTTTGTTTTGTTTTTGGCACAAAATTATTATGGTTTATATAAACAATATATATCCGATATTTGAGATTTAGCACACTACAATTTTAGACACATCTACTTTAGAACTTAGATTTAATTCAGGTAATATTTAAGTTTGTATATAATACAGACAATATATCTTTTTCGTTTGCATACGCGAATCTTCTTCCATACTTTTTTTAGGTACAATAAAAGTAAAATGTATTACCGATTTTGCGTATAAAAAATACGCATCTATAGGAAAATTGTACTATATTTGTGCTCATTCAATTTTGCTGTGAGAATGATCAGTTTTCCTAATATATACATGTATAACAAAATTCATTTATCCTTTTACGCGTCACAGATCTCCGAGAGTTCCTCTGTGATTCTCGCATTGTGCTATTATTTAAACCATGATATCGGGTTTCAATGTATACTGTCTTATTTCAGTCGCACATTGTTGATTACGCAATGAAACGTTTTCAATCAAGGATACTACAAAAACGAATTTGTGTATCGAGTCGTGTTCACAATCTATCTGAAATCTTTTTGCCTACTGTATTGTGTGCCGTTACTTAAATGCTTACATCCTGCGTAGAAAAAAAATCAGAATAATCATCCAAAAATGGTTCGCCACAAATTATCAATGTGATTATAAAAACAAAAAAAAAGTAAATATGACACACTTCGAATTACATCGTGTCGATTAATACCATCTATCATATACATACGATTTATCATACTTACGTGGCGTGCTAGATCCCGGTGGTTTGAAGCTATCGCTGTAGCGTGTGTGAGTGTCTCTGGAGCTTCGATGAGTCTCCGGATCGGAACGTCTTATTTCGCGTTCGCGAGCGTAAGATGAAGTGCTGCTCGGACGTTCATATCTGTGTAAAACGAGCAATGTAAAAAAAATGATCGTCAAATTAATAAAAAGCTCAACAACTTTGTCACATTTACACACATACCTCTCTTTGACTTGTCGAGGATCTAAAGATGAGGACGTGCTGGAGAGACTCTCACGTCGTACTATGACTTCTCTTCCGCGAGAAACGTCGGAGAAGCTGTCCGTTCGACTGCTTCTCGAGAACTCGCTGGTTCGTTTGAATTCCTTTTTCATTCCTATGTCTTGAGCGGATCTTAAACAAAATGCACATAGCTACCGTGGTTACTATGTCGATATAGATACAAAAAAAACTTTTCTCAATGCTCCTCTCAACGATGACAAAAGAAAAACGGCGCGAATTTTTACCTGCTAGATTCGTATCGAGAAGGCGGCGAAGTATCTAATCGTCTATCTGTCACCCGATCGATCATCTCATTGCGTCTATCGGTTATTCTGTCCGGGCTATGTCTGCGACTATGTTCGGTAGTTATTCGCTTTCTTTCGGGCTCCATGTACACATCGCGCGGATCTCTACGGTCGCTGGACGTTCTTTTTAAGGATGGTGGCGGCGGCGCGCGTCTGCTCTCCTCCAGGCGCATCTGCTGCCTCTTGAGCTCCATTCTTTCGCGCTCGAGTTTTTCTCGCTCGAGTTTCTGCCGCTCGCGCTCGAGTCGCAGCAACTCGGCCTTCTCTTGTTCGATCCGTTCCCGTTCTCGCCTCAGTTTTTCCCGTTCTCTCTCCAGGCGCGCGGCTTCTTCTCGCTGCCTGCGCTCTATTTCCCGTTGGCGTTCCATCTCTTCTCGCCTTCTTCGTTCTTCCTCTCGTAGAATTCTCTCCCTTTCGCGCATTCGCTGCCGATCACGTTCCTCCTGAAAATTTCACAGATATTTTTCTTGATAAAGTCTTGTTATTGGGTCAGATAAAAAGTCGATAAAAAAAATATTTACTCTTATCTTTGCAAATGTAAGAACGTTATCGCGTCTTCGTCTCTCGCGACTCCGAGACCGACTTCGGCTCCGGCTCCTGTCCCAGGAACCTCTACGCATTCGCTTATCCTCTCGTCTGCCCCTCTCGTTCTCTGGCTTCTTGCTGTTGGATTTTGTCGATCGGGAATCGGACTCTTTGGACGTATCTTCTTTCTTGTCCTGCGCTTCAAGTTTCTTCGAATCGGCACTGTCATTCTTTTCATCAGATTTTTTTGCTAAACACAAAGATGATCAAACAAAAACTTTTAAAATTAAGTTAAAAGTTATAAAAAGATTATTATGAAAAATATAATTCTCGACTTATACATTCAGTATTGCTGTAAAGAAGATAAAAATTCTCACAAGTATCTAATCCTTTCTCTTCGGATTCTGTTTTTATCTCTTTCTCTTTTCTTTCATTCACATCGTGATCCTTCGGCTTTTCTTTCTCATCTTTCTTCTCTGATTTACCATTAACAGCATCTCGCTTACGCACATGACTTTGTTGCGTATCTCCTCGTGCCTATAGAAGAAGTATTTTTACAATAAAATCAATATATAAGCAAGATAATTTTGTGATTTTTTTACAAAACTACAGTAAATTGTTGACAGTGTTTGAATGGAATAAGATTTACCTTCTCGACGGATATGACGCGTCCGTGAAGCTCAGTTCTGTTCAAGTGCTGTATGCACTTGGCTGCGTCTTCGCTCGAGGACATCGTCACGTAACCGTAACATCTCGCTCCAGGAGTTTTAGCATTCGTTACTATTTTCGCGCCCATTACTTTGCCATACTTAGAGAAGATTTGCTTAAGGTCCGTAGCTCGAGTGCTGGACGATAAGCCGGAAACCCACAGATTCCGACCGCTCGCATTTGCCGCACCGATCTGCGATGTCTTCTTATCTGCGGAGCATGTTGATATAAAACATTCATGCAAAAATGTAAAATCCAATTGCCATAATCAGACATAAAAAGATGAAGTACGCGAATTAAAAGATAAATACGCATACCCTACCTTTTTCTTCTCTTTTCTGGTTTTTAGTGCTAGATTCCGCGCTGAAAAAAATAACACTGTTATTGCATCGACAAACTGAAATGGTCGCAATAAAAACTGATCATATTAAAAGTAATAAATTTGAATGAGGATTATAACAAAGGCTTGTGGTAAGTATCTCTGTAACTATGTTAAGGATACAAATTTGGCTAGCAACTTCTTTTTTATGGAGAGCGACATAACCGAATTGCTTTTTTTTTTTTTTTTTTTTTTGAAGGGAGAGCTAGGGTCCATTTGCATATAACACACTAGTTAACAGTTTTTTCTCTATTTAGATTATTGGTCGAGTATTCACTATATGTTCTCTGTTCATCCATTTTTCATCACTCGTGCATAAAAAAATCAGGTCCATGTAGCGAGAAGACTTGGCACTTATGTCAGCTTTAAGTATCCACAAAGGGGATATCAGCTGCGCTTCTTCTGACAGGATACTTCCTGTGTGTCATAGGCAGGATAGATTTTTATAAAGACGCTTAAGCGCGTTTCTTTATTATTATTATTTTTTTTTTTTTGGTAGCAGTATCTTCAGCAAATAATAGAATTGCTTCTTGATAGTGTGAGAACTTTAGGTACACTCTGCCAAATATACAATTTACGATAAGATATATCTAATGTCCTTTGCATAATGACGCACGATGAAATTGCTGTCTCTCAACAAAACGAACTTCCTCCTCGTGTAGGGAACACAGCACACGGGATTCATCAGTTTGTTTTCTCGGTGTATACGTGTAAATCACCTCTACTATAAATATGCAGAAAGAACGCAAGTGACATTCGAGACTTCGAAGTTTCAAGTTTGCTAGCCAAGTTCTCAACTTCTTAACATACTTTCCAGAGTTAACACATTACAGCCTAAGACACACACGAGAGAATATGGAATGTACAACCTCCGAAATTCGACTTTTTTTTTTTTTTTTTTAAAAAAAAAGGGAATATAAAGATACGTATGATCTTGCGTGTGATGCGAGTGATCTCGGTCTTGGAAATCCATCGTTCCAATGGTAACAGAGAGGGAGAATAAAGAGACTGTCCCGGCGATATAGAGTTATGCAGCAGTAGAACATCACTATATCGGAGTCCTGAGACACTTTCTCAGTTTGCTGTACCACAAGTACTGTGAACACCGTACTTTTTTTTTTTAGCTCTAGAGAGAGACCAACCTCTTGCTTCCTCCTTCTCCACTGTCCTGCTTGTTCTTCATCCCGATGTTCGCACTGGATGCAGTCCCTTCCTTGCTGCTGGCGCCAGCTTCCGCTCTACCGCTTCCTTTCGAGTCTCCCTTCTTGTTCTCTTCTAATTTCTTCTTCTCTCCACCATCTGCGGGGACAATCAAGGTACCATAGTCACTTTCAGCGCAGCTCAGACTCTTCTCCCTCCCTCGCCTAACACCTTCTGTTTTTATAGTAGCTTGTACTTCCAGTCAGGAATTTTTGGTCACTAATACATTCACCCAGCGAGCAATAGCATTTTGGCTTGCACGACATTTACCAGCCCTCGCGATCTTCGACAACATGGGTTTGATGAAGAAACCTAAACCTCTTTACAGCAGTTTTAGTTTGGTACGCGCGAGCACGCAAAACTATTTCTTTTTGATGCTTCTCTTTTGTACGCATAAAAAGTCCGATTGAAAGGTCAAAGAAAAGATCAACAAAACGAAAGCGAAAAGACGAAAGTCGCAGAGCATGTTTATTGTGTCGGGAGTGTCTGCATCATTACTCCGACAAAATAATTTCTGAAAATGAATCTAGATAATTTTTGCGCGAGAAACGTAAGTATACGCGATGCGTAGAGAGAAAATGCTGCTCTTTCACGCCGAACCATGTTGTGTTAATGGAGTTTGCTTTGCGGAAAAACATCTGCCGATGTGAACTTGAATCTTCTATGTTTCCATGTGATTTGATGATAAGAGAAGATCCAGCGATGCTCTACGTAGTAGGTATAATTAATGTAATTGTATATCAAATTCTATAGCGTTAACTAACTTAAAGACTATGTAATATGGTTTTGTGCTTGCACAACGCAGGTAGCGCGCAGGGAAGCTGGAAGATGTACGCTATATCCGCTTGGAAACCTTATCGATCACCGTGCGTTCGTCCCGGTTGAGAAGAACCTTATCGGTCGTCGGCTTGTGCTTGAATAAGATTGCACATCACATCTGTGTTGCTAGCTGTTTATATCGCATCCAGGTGTTGCGATGAGGTTCACGACGTTGAGGCTTAAAAACCGGAACTTGCAGGATGAAGAAGTGAGTCGCAGATGATCTCGATACTGCCCTTAATTCCGGATTTGTTGCGATAATACGTTCGCGCTCGAACGTTCTGGATGCTCTTGATGCACTCTTGCCAACTTACTTAATCGTAGATACAAATATCGCTATTCTTAACCCTTTGGACTCTGCGTATCGATTAGCTTGAAGTGTTTTGACATTCTACTCCGACATTCAACTCAATTGACAGTAAACAACAAAACTGTACACTTCAGATACAATGACAGAAAAATACTACTACATTATTTTCAATAGTCTGTGAGATGTTTCAAATAGTTTATGAAATTTTCGAAAAAAACTGCAGAGATCAAAAGGTTAACATTTGGATTTATATGTGTACAGTAGAAAATATAATAAATACTAAAAAACTTACCCTTGTGCCTATCGTGAGATTCTGTCTGTAATAAAACAAGAAAAATAATTGTTAAAAAATATATATATAAATTTAGAAAAAATATCTCATTTTAAAATTGTCGTACCTCCTCAGCAAGGAGATTTTCTTCATCTTCTCCGATTGTCAAGTTGATAGAGTCCTCATTGTCAATTCCGTTAGATTCAACAGTAGTGGAAGGTGCATCTGTAGATTGGCTGCTAGGGGGATTGGTATTAACTTTTTCTGAATCATTCTTAACATTTTCTAAATTTTCCTCTTGTTTAAGCAGTTTTGTTTCTTGTTTGGGACTTTCTTCTTTCTTAATATTATTCTTTACTTCAGATTCCTAAATAAAACAAATTTTTTCAAGTAAAATACAGTTTAAACCATATTTAAAAAGCAAGATATTTAAATTTGTCCTAGTAATAACATTCAATAAATATAAATCTTACCACTTCCTTAGAAAAAACTTCTTTTTCAACATTCTCTTCTGCTGCAGCTTTTGTTTCTGCCTTAGATCTAACATCGACATTGTCTTGTCCATCTGTACTTTCCTCCTTTTGACCATCTGGTGACTCTGTCAACTCTTCTTGATTTGAAACTCCTGTAATAACAAAACATATATCACATTTTTATATATTGTATAATAAAAAAAAAAACAACAACTGCTTTTGCAAAACAATAAAAAAAATATACATACCACTATTTTTTCTTGAAACAGATTTACAATTTCCACCAGATGGTATGAGCAGATATTCTTCTGGATTTTTCCCTTCATCTAATATTGCCTAAAAATGATTAATTATTATATAATTATTAACAATATACAATAAATTCAGCCATTTAAGTGCTTTAAGAATATAAATACATATTTTGAAAATGTAATCTGCTTGATGAAAGTGCATGTACTAAAATTAATTTTAATTATTTCTGCGAGGCTATTACAATTGCGTATATTATGCACATAGCTTAATTAAAGATTAATTTACAATCCCGTGATCATCAACTAAATAAACATGATAGTGATAAAAAATTTAACGAATCAATAGGGTTATCGCTTTTAAACGAGAGTAGATATGGCGTTAGTGTTCTTGAAGGACAAAACGCATTTGACATTGGACACACTCGGTTTAGAATAAACGGAGAAGAAAACGAAACCCACTTACCTTTGAAAGACGTTCAAGAAGCGCAGCTTTGTTGCCAGACTTGTCTAAACCGCGACGTTCAAGTTCCGTTTTCAGATCTATCACACGTAACTCCGTCAACTTCTTGCCTTCCATCTCGGCCATTTGTATTTTCGGCTGAGATGGACGTTTACGAAACACGGTCTAATCGAATACCAGACGTAGGAACAGCGCCTACGTCCTCGAGTTAAGTAGAGCGATTCCCTGCCGTACTTGATTCCAATCGAGCAACAGAGCAAATCGCTCGATTAACGCAATTTCAAACCCCTAATATGTCAGACAGTATACATACATACGACAATGTCCCATATAACGTTGAGTGTACCTATAGGTATATCGCATCGAGTCAAGCTAAAACGGCCATTGCGCCTGCCAGTCGTCGTGTGACTACGACGCGTTCCCAAAACCACGTGTTTGCTTATAGACAAGAAATTAGGGTGCGGTCACATGCGGTCCGAAAAAAAAAAACAGAAAAATATGACGAGATATCAATCAAAAACGCAAATAAACAAGCGATTTGTTTCGATTTTGATTGCGTTTCGTTGTTCACTTGTCAGTACTGACAATCTATAATTTACGTGACATATATTATAGATTCCCAGTACTGACAGTGAATTTTTTCGGAACGCAGCCTTTGGCCAACCCGGAGTTCACAAGACAGCGCCCGCGTCTTATGTAGATAGGCCTTTAAGGTACTGTTCGAAAGATTGTGATTGGTTGGAACTCCCAAGGCTTAAGTCTTTTTGCTCAAATTTTTTCATATGATCCTGGCTTAACGCATTCGTGACGTTATACACTGGAATGCTTTGATATAGGTTTAATGCGGTCGATCGACCGTACGCGAAATACTCGAGAGCATTTATAGCAATTTGCAGTGAGACTTTGACCGGGAGCATATATGCGTTTATGTTTACATATATGCATGATTAAGCTTTTTTTTTTTTTAGGAAGGATGGAATACCCTAGAATGAGAGAGAGAGAGTAGGAAAATCCAAAGTGAAATTAAGAACAAACAATTGATCGCAAATGTAAGCGCGAGACGCGATGCAATGACAATGACGTGCGGTGACAACCGGCGACGATCCAGAAGAAAATGTTGATGTAAATGTGTAATTTCGGTGCGCATAATAATGAAAAGGCTGCGCGTAGCGTCGCGTCGAGCGATACAGCACACATTATCGCCGTGTTGTGCCGTATCGCTGTAACCTTCTTTACATTCATCTTCTCTTCTCTCGATGTGATATCTTATCGTCGGTGTGTGACGAAATTAGCGCACTAGTTAGCCAGAATGTAAACACTCTACCACGGATGCTGTCCGATACTACTTGCTGTAAGAGATTTGTTTTTATTATCTGCTGAATGTTAGCTTGGAAAGTGCTTTTTTTTTCTGTTTGCTCTCACAGTTACACATTCTCTTGTACTTAATATTTTTTGTTGTAGACCTGTGTTTATCAAAGTTTGACATTGATGACTTCCTTCTTTTTTTGAGCAAGCTCTTAAATTTTCTCAAACTTGGATCTTAAAATGATAACACTCGCATTTCGAAAGTAAATTATGATTTATAATTATTTGCATATTCTCAGAAGAGAATGTGCCGGATGTGCAAAGCATTTATTATGTTTTTTTCCTCATATTGAATTATGTAATTCATGAAAGATGATAAAAAACAAGTATTTTGCTGTTACTAATTATAAACACTAATTTTTTGATAGAATTGTGTGATACACACTTGGTGATAATGAATGCCAAGTGTTATGAATTTATTTTACAGTGTAAATATATTGTGCACATTTTTATTTTTTAAATTATATGAAACTGTCATTAAGATGCACATTTTTATTTTTTAAATTATATGAAACTGTCATTAAAATAAAAACAAAAATATTTGCAATACAATGGGTACTTTGATGACTTGTAAAATGTTCTTTTTTTATTCATATTTCTTTTTGTTGCATAACTTGCTTAAAATTATTTATTCAAAACGTGTGTGTTTGAAGGAGTGCTAACTTAATAACTTCTTGATATGTAGGTAGCCTTGCATCAAATAAATAATCTTGTTATGTCATATGTGATGTGCATCTGTATGCTATTACTGACTTGCATAATAGCTGCACAATTATATGTTCACTGTTTTTTGTGTTCACATTTAAAATTGCTGATGTATTTGATAAATACTTACCTGCTTGGTGATAACATTCCATATATATGTAAGTTCTATAGCCAGATGTCAGCAGTAAGTGAATACCACTAGTGTGGTGAATATCAGCAGTAGTGATGACTGAAAGCTGAATCATATAACACCAGGATCACCAATTTGCTGTAAGTTTCTTATATATCAGACAGCATATTATTTATAAGAAAAAATGAGTATGCACAATTCTAAACTTTATAATATAAATATAAACCTTGATATATTTTATATATATATAATTTTTTTCCAAACTGTTTATTCTTTTTTTTTAACTATTATTTATCTATTTAATAATATTATCAATATCTTCAGCATTAATATTTTTTAAATTTTATATTCACAAGATGTCTTTTGAACAGGCATTACATGAAATAATAAACATTTTGTAATTATTTTTATTATTATTACATCGACATAAAATAGCAATATATATAAAAAGAAAATATTCTCAAATAGAAAATTATAATAATCTCTAGTAACATATTTGATATGATAATAACTGATAATGCAATAGAATAGTTTTAGACAAATAATGCACAATATTTGTTTGTTTGCATGAATGTTTATAATTATAGATTATATTCATTAAAAAAAAACCATTAATATTACGTGATAATATTAATGGTTTCCAAATTCGTCGAGGATAAATTTTGTTAAATACGACAAATTTTGTCATTATGGATCATGAGTATACATACTGTTATCTTTAAGACTGTTAAGGCTCGGTTCTTGCTGTCTTTATTGAATGACATCAGAGGCAAAAAAATATCACAAAAAATTTTCGTGTTGATTTAGCTTTATTTCTCAGTTTTTCTCTTCAAAATTATAATATTTACAAACAGTAGAACGCATTGAACTCATCGGTATTGTATTACAAATCGTTGAAGCATGCGGTTGCTATCAAAAAAGAGATCCGAGCTTTAACGCAATTGTGAACTAAAAAGCATAAAAAGACATATATAAAAAGATCAATTTACAAATTAGCACCAGATCCTGAGCAATACTGTTGAGCGCAAGCTCTATTGGAACTGATTGAAAGCAAAACCTGAGCAGAAAGAGAAAGAGATCTGTCGAAACCATAAGTGAATAGGAATATATTTATTATTTTTATATTTAATACAATGTTTTAAATTGAATTATAAACTATAAATATAACATACCACGCGATACATATATAGATAGCGCATATAATAATTTAATATAAAGCGCAATATAATAATTTTATATAAAATAAAACCATGTATGTTTGAAAATTAAGATTAAACCTAAAAAAATAAGTCTGATGAAGGAAAACTACTGTTAAAAAATATTTACAAGAAGGCTTGTATTAACACAGGTGTGTTCGGAGCAACAGATTAGATCTTTGATCAGCAACCCGAGGATCACGATTTTCGACATTTCCAAAAAAAGAATTAATTGACATTTTTCTCTGAATTTTTAGTTTGTTAAATTATTTTGATATTTGGTCAGGTTTGCTACCAATCTGCGTTCAACAGATCTATTACAGTTTTGGCCATTCTGTATTAGACAGATCGGGATTTGGAGCCAATTTATCACGATGATACAATCCGCAGGTCTGTTCATAAATCTGTCACACGCCTGCCTGTCTTACAGCTTGTCTCCAATTTGTTACAGTTTTTTCTGTTCGAATTTGTCAATGTATTCACGATTTGTTAACAATTTGCTTAATGGCATTAACAATTAAAAAAAAGTATAGATGTCATATTTTTCAGTGTTTTTTGCATTCCATATGATTATTCTAAAGCTCATATTTATACCTCACTTCTATCGATAAATGCGTCTCTAAATGCGCATATTATATGTTACATACTTATAGAATTCTATAAGTAAAAAACGTATTTATCAATAAAAGTAAGACAAAAGTACAATAAGATATACGTTTTTACCTTACTTTTATTGAAACGTATTTATCAATAAAGAATATAAATACGTTTATTAATAAAAGTAAGATAAAAATATAATAAATCTAGGTGTTTCTTAAATTTATTTTCTTCTATGTCTCTTTGTCAAATTGATAATGTAGTAAACAACAAATTTGATTTTATACAGAGAGACATACACATATATACACACACACATGTATATTGTTTTAGAAAACCTTGATATCGTATTACATCATGAATTTTTACAACCAAAAATGTGAGTGAATTTAAAGCAAGAGTACAACACTATAACAAATCTCAATTTGTGTTATCATTTATATCATGGTACAACAGTGGCTTCTCAGTTTTGATGGTAGGTGTTTAATTCTTGCACATAATAAATGTGATAAGAAATATTGTACGTTTACTTGTTTTTGCATGTGTGAAATTAACACTCTGACATTTCTTAATTTTCTATTAGTTCTCGCTTTATTTTGAAAAAAAAAGAAAGAGAGAGAGAAAAAGAGTTCCTTATAAAATAAATATTTTACATTTTTTATGTGCTAACTTCACACACGCGTTGGTAAGTTTAAATTTTAAGGCTCTCTCTATATCAACATAATATAGAGAAGTCCTTTAAAATTAAATAAAAGTGTATATATAGAAGAAATATATGTGTATTATAATTTTGCTTCAAATTAAAATATTAAAATCTTAGTTTTATGCACAGGTGGTCGAAGTGGACGACGATTTATATTAACTCTTGTTGCTGGAATGGTTTTTGGTTTTTTATCCGCATGTCTCCTTATTACATCCACAAGAGATATACCACAGATTTTCAATTGGATGCCAAGTACTTCTGGTCTTTCTAGAGATCCTCATCATTATTCAGAATTAGAGGCAGAGGTTGTTACATATAAATTTACATATTATATTTTAAATGAAGTATTTTCAAAGAGTTTTGTTTATATAAAGCTTATTCTATATACAAAAAGTTAACTCTAGAAAAAATTTCTTGTTCCGTCATAGATTGGTCCTGAAACAGAAGTAAAGTTTCATGGTGAAGATGAGGATTTTCACAAAGGAGAAGATAGGGTTGCCCAGGATATGGCAAAAAAAGTGCGTGTTCTTTGTTGGGTCATGACTGGTCCAAAGAATCATCAGAGCAAAGCTCGTCATGTGAAAGCAACATGGGGAAAACGTTGTAACATACTTCTATTTATGAGTTCCGCAGAAGGTATATGCGCCACTTGAAATGTTCATAGAAAAAAAAAAATCATAACGTAAAAAGTAAAAACTTTATGCATTACATTGCTGTTTATTTCATAGACACTAGCTTACCTACTGTAGTGCTGCCAGTTAAAGAGGGTAGAGATAATTTGTGGGCTAAAACCAAAGAGGCGTTTAAATACGCTTATGAAAAGTACAAAGATAAGGTAGATTGGTTCATGAAAGCCGACGACGATACGTAAGTGTATCCCTCTTTATATGTTATTTGTATAATACATACCGTGGCACATGATTAAACTTCTTTTTTATTTTTAAATTTACGTGGTTTTTCAGATATGTAGTAGTCGAAAATCTGCGATACATGTTATTATCATACAATCCGAATTCGTCATTATATTTCGGATGTAGATTTAAACCTTTCGTAAAGCAAGGCTACATGAGTGGTGGCGCAGGATACGTACTTAGCAAAGAAGGTTTACGTAAGTTTGTGGAAGAGGGCTTACCCGATAAGACCAAATGCCGGCCGGATAACGGCGGTGCGGAGGACGTCGAAATGGGAAAATGTCTCGAAAAGATTGGTGTACGCGCAATGGACACCAGAGATCCTCATGGTCGGGGAAGATTCTTTCCGTTTGTGCCAGAACATCATTTGATACCCAATCACGTAGATAAGAATTTTTGGTATTGGAAATATATTTACTACGAAACCAAGGACGGTTTAAACTGTTGTTCAGACAGTGCTGTTTCATTTCACTATGTGTCACCGAACATGATGTACGTTCTCGAGTATCTAATTTATCACTTGAGACCGTACGGCATTAATCACGGTTTGGAGAAACCCTCTCTGAATAGACCGTCGACACTGACCGAATACTAGTCCGTACGTATACTGTGTCATAAATAGATAGTACGTAAAATACTTCAACTCTTATTTTATACATGATACTAGTCCGTTTGAGCCAACGATACAAGCGTACCAAGATTTTAAAGGATAAACTATGTGTGATATATCGTACTTCGTAAATAATTCAAGTTTATATACGCGTATATGTTTAAGATGTCAGATCCATTATTGGTTGTTACTAATATTGGATGAAAAGTTATGATACAGAGTAAAAGGAGAGGGAAATTTATACTGCAAGCACAGTAGAATACGCCTGAGGGTTTTACAGTGTCTGATTTCTTCGAACATTAAGCCATATATTATACATTTGTAAAATCAGATGTGACTTTATTTATTATTAACGCACGCGCGCGCGCAAACTTTTATCTTAAATAAAATAATCCGCAGAACAAATTTTTATTTTATTGCCAATGCGCATGTCCTTCAAGGTACAATTTTTCTTTTTTCTGATACACGGCGTAAATATTTTCATATCTCCCTATGATTATATTATAGGGAATGTAAATGCAGCGCCATAAAATATGCATAAATAAAGAATAAAACCAATTTTTCTCCAAATGAAATAATTCTGTGTCACAATTTGCACTTTTTTTTTTTTTTATTTCTTTTGCTATAAGAACAAAAAACTATTGCTTATATATTTCTACTGTGCTTGCAACATAATTTCGCGGGCGCTGCAAATACAAAACAGCATATAATTATATATAGATATATATGTATAATATATATATATATATACACATAAAACTGTATTTCGTAATATTAATATAATAGTAATAATTTTAATAATAATAATTATCCCAATAATTGCGTACTACCCAGTAATAAATACTATAGATACAGAGTGAGAGTGGGTGTATGAGTAAATTAACCAATTAGGGAATTAGGGGTTCTATGTACAAGTCATATTTTGTACTATGCGACTGACGCAATTGGCCACAGTGGCTCCAATCAGACGCGCCCCACATTTCTCTTCATTTTTCTTCAAATTATTCATTAAATTAGGTTGGAGAAAAACAATCTCTGCATAACTAACTCGTTCTCACTTGCTCTCATTTATCTTCTTACTTCCTTTTTCTCCCCTTTCTTTTTCCTTCTCTCCCTTCCTTTCTTCTTTCCTCTCTCTTTCGCTCACTCACTCGTTCAGTCGCTCACTTACTCGTTCACTCGCTTATTTACTCACTCACTCTCTCACTCATTTATTCGTTTGCTCATTCTATTATTTACTCACTCACTCTCTCACTCATTTACTCGTTCGCTCACTCACTCATTTACTCACTCACTCTCTCACTCATTTACTCGTTCGCTCATTCACTTGCTTGCTTGCTTGCTTGCTCGCTCGCTTACTCGTGTCATTCGATTATTTACTCACTCATTCACTCGTTCGCTCATTCATTCATCCGTTTGTACATTCGCTCACTCACTCACTCACTTATTCACTCATTCATTCACTCACATACAGTCTCTTTCACTCTCAATTATCTAATCTCGGCGATGTCTCACTTCTCATAAATTATTTAAAAACAATATTTTACACTATATAATGTACGTGTATAATGTATAGGTCACCTAATCTGAATAAAATTTGTCAAACAGCATCGAAAAATTGCGCTAACGGGTCCAGGAAACATGATAACAGCGACCCAGTGCCGCGCGAGCATAATATAATATTATAATCATAGTTATTTTTACACTAGGGGCTTGTACGAGGCATCGCTTATAAAAAAGAAGTCAACCTCTTGTTTTTTATATTATCTATATAAAATTAAAAAACAACGTAATATCATTTGTATTACTTCGTCGTCATCAATAATAAAAGTTTTATACAAAATTTAAATTTACAATTAAAACCTTTTAGTTACATAATTTTCCTAGAGATTCTGATTTGTAATTAAACTATCTATATCGCGACAGAGAGGCAATCAAAAAATCATTTTCTTGTTATGCACTCTCAGTTTTCATATTTTTCTTTACTGTCAATATCTTGCTTGTTCTTTTCTCTCAACCTTTTCCTTTTTCCTCTTCACTCTCTCCCTCTTTCAACCGTAGTTTTTCTTTTTCTCTCATATCACTCGCAACCTCGCATCTCTATAATACGCAATCAGTTTTGCTCACATTTGTTCTCGCTAGCACAATAATCGTATTGGATGCTTTATTTCCAGATGAAATACGAGATACGGTCGTAAACACAAAGTACAATCTATTTCGCGTCTGTTATATAATGAGGAAACAAAGAAAACTGATTGAATCTGTATACTTGGTTCTCTCATCGGGTTTTGCGTTTTCAGCCGTTACATTCTCATCTTATTGCACACTATGTTGCGTATTAATATATTATATTCCGAGTAAAAAAGGTTTGATTTTCTTAACATATAGTCGAGAAGGATCGTACTCTGTACCTAGACAATCTCTGTCTCTAACCACCTAACTAATGTAGTATAGGTAAAGGGCATAGAAAATCAATTGCTCTCGTAAAGCCCCAAGTGACGATAAGGAGTGCGTGAGAGAGGTGCACATACTGCGCTATAAAGGGAGAGGGTGTGGGTCAGACGAGAGCTGCCGTTGCATGGTAGAGATGCATGAGCGCCTGTACGTGCACTGGTAAGCAGGACAATCGGTCCTTGGTATTCGCATCTAACGCGAGCCACGACAGTGCGTTGTATCCTTCCAATACGTATCTGTCAATTAGTAAATTATTCAGTGACAATTTGATCGGCACAAAGTTAATATCAACAAATATCTAAAAACAAATAGAAGAAACAAAACCAACGAATATAATAATTACAAGTACAAACCTGAGCACATCAGTGGTGTACTGCGAATCCAACGGATGTGCGGTTGGTGCGCTTTGTTGCTGAAGTAAATCGTCACTGTTCTGCTGTATCGCAGGGCTATGCAAATGTAATGCGTTCTTCAAAAACACCGGGCAAACGTTTTCAAGATGAGGACAAGCTGCCCAAAACCACGGTGGCATTCTTCCCGTTGGCGCAGTTGACACCAGATAACCAAGAGCGAGCGGTTGTTGTAGAAGTGTGCCAACTTCTTCTGCTTGTTCGGTTATCGCTATCTACAAATCGCAACAATTTCTCAGTAAACAGAAAAGGAAAGTAAAAATATAAGTTTATATTCTCGCATGTATGTATATAGTGTAACCATAATTCTATAGCCACTTACTCTTGGCGTATTGCTGCATGGAAAGGGACTACCAGGACCATCGTGATTGCCTAAACCTGAACCACCGCCATCTCCTCCGTGCGGTGATCCTTCAGGACGATGTGGACTTCCGTTCGGGCTTTGTCCACCGCCTGCTCCTGGTTCAGGCCATACGTTGAATATATCGTTAAAATCTCCCATTCCCTCCATGCCTTCTGGCATATCGTCATTCAGAGCAGAGAACAATTCGTCATCTCCTAACTCGGGTACGTTGTGTTGCTCTTGAAATGCTGTCTGTGATGACTAAGACATCAAAATAACAATATTTAGCATTCAAAACATTTTTTGTCCTTAATAAACATGAGAATAAAAATTCCTTATTACCTGAGTAGTAGCGGATGTGGGAAAAACAAGTATATGAGTGCACGTGACATCTTGCGGTGTGGATAACTGGCAGTTTACGGATGCCTGACTAAATCTCTCGTCAGGAGTAAACTGATCGGCCATTAATCTTAGAGTAGAGTCCGGCTCAAGCGAGACTAAACATGCGCTGAGTACACAAGGTGCCGCCGAAGGATACAAGAGACTGCACTGTCCGCATATTTCTTTCAGATGCTTTGATGCTTTCAAAAGTGCTTTTCTAGAAAGTAACCAGCTCCATCCTTTCAATTCGCCGTGCCCGATGCGTCCTACACGACCTACAACCAATCTCCATGGCTGCACCTGCAAAAGAAAAATATAATATAACCGGAGAGAAAAAAGAAGCAAAGAGCCACGTTCAAAAAACATGTCTTGACCACACACAGTGTGTCTTAAAGTTTAAACTATTAAAGTTTTACTTACACCCTGAGACATAACGCCTAGTATAAAGTCCATGAGTTTCTGAAGACCGATACGCCTAGCTGATGCGCGTTTTCTTCTCTTTCGATTGGGTATGTCAATGTTAATAGTAGCCGTCTCAAAGATTTCACCCCTGTCGTCGGTCGCGGCCGCCAACAGCCACGATTGATCCTCGCTCAAACAGTAGCTCAAGTAAAGCACTGCGCATTCTTCAGGCCTCGCCATACCGAATGAATCGGGAGCTTCGCTCTTCGCTCGTAGTGGCGCTAGCACGAAGGCTGGTGCGTAGAGCCGGTAAGGCGCCCGGTTCCGTTCCTGATGTACAGTTGCAAGAGTATTACTAAACGACTGAAAACGATTTATACTGTGGGTCTTTAATTTACGTTACTATAGCTATCGCATGGCGCGCAAACAAAATTCAGATCATCCACAACTGTGTGCTGTGGAACAAACGTAGATCAATCAAACAATAGCCTTACATCTTTACTCTTAAGAAAGAGGTCCGCGGCAGCGGCGGTACCGAAACCGGTGAGACTTTTTACAGTGGAATTGTGATTCAACAGTCGTCGTCCTTGCAAAAAGACGTTCAAAGCTAAAGCTCTCATTTCATCTTGTATCTTTCGCCTTTCTCGAGCTCCTAACTCCAATATGCTCTCCAACGATATTATCTGGAAGCAAGTTAAATCGCACTTGTGTAATTAGATACGCATTGATATTGAATGTGACATGGACTACAAGTCACTGATTTTTAAATCTTGCATTTGATTCTTTGTTATTACCTGGACATGAATATTTGATCTCATATTCTCGGGCATGCTATTGATTGCAGTGGAGTAAGCTCTGAGTAGAGCCAAGATAGCGAGCCGCCGACGATCAGGATCCTCGGTACCACCTAACGAGAAAGGCTCGACAAAATAGACAACGATAGCTGGAGGTTCAACTTCTTCCTCATCTGGACCTGTGGTAATCGGCGTGCTAGTACTCGTTTGTGAAGTCGGTGTTGAATTACCAGTTGTATTGGTAGTGGTTTGACTGGTAGTGCTTGAGGAGGGAGTATCGCTCCTCGGATTCTCCCCTTCTGTAAAAGATAACAAAAGAATGTTCAACAATATTATCCTTGATATCTCGCATTAAAAAATGAGATGATATCCAATAAAACCTACCGATAGACTCAGGTTTGGTCGTTAATACATCAGGTGTAGCCGGCATTGTTTCGGAAACGGAAATAGTGGATTGCGGTTGTTGCTGCTTATTGGGTGATTGAGAATCACCGGGATCTAACAAACTACGATCTTGTATGACCTGCGTCAGATATGGAGCTAACCGATGATTACACACTTGGGCATATAACCTCAACAACTCGCCTATTTGATTCTCTCCTAAAAGCTTAAACCAATCGTCCATTGGTTGTTTCGCTATTTTCTGTACGGTTGATTTACCGACACGTAAGATTCCATCGCGCAACTGCTTTGAAATTGGCGTGTGTCTTCCTAATCGGCAAATCTATAAAATAAATTAAAAACAAAATCAGGTTTATATATATTGTACGAATTTGCGAACATGACATTTTTTATGCGCAAACTATTTCATTATTGCACTTACCTCATACGTGCAGGAAAGCTCACGAAAGAACGATTTGACTTTATTTATAATATAATCGCTATCGGGCGCAACTACCACGTACGCAACATCTCTAGGTCCAGCAAACGGTTCCAGCGAAAGTTTTTCCCAGAAACAGATTGCGTATGGCGACAATGACAGCCAATCACGATCGTATCCAACGACTAGAGCGGGTATCGGTTGTGGTTCACAGCGATCATCAGTGCCACGACCAGCCAAACGATGAAATTGCCGCCATGTAAGCGGTCCAGCAACCGTATACGGCGCCTCCCACATGCGCGTCGTACACTTTTTCTGTACCGCATCCTGCAGTAATGGTTGCAACGATCTCATCATTCGCACGATATCACCGCTGCACTGAGGTCCTTGCGCTTTCAAAAACACCCATCGATGTACACCGTTAACGCGCGCAGCCCGGTCGTTATGCGTACTGTCAATCTTGCCTTGATCGAGCGCCGCAATACATACTTCATTGCTGTCGTTAAGTTCCAAGGTGTTTACCGTCGGCGCAAGTGTCGGATAGCTTTTCGTGCTAGCACGTATCCTGGCCGCTCGATACAGACTGCTGGCCGAGCTTTGAACGATCATACATTGCTCGCGAAGCAACTCCAGAACATTCTGCGGTATCGTATCGAGACCTTCCTGAACCGTTTTTGATCCCGGACACGCGATTGCAGCAAGCGATCCTTTTTTCTTTTCCGCCGGATCTTCGGCGACACCTGTTATTTCCATCTCGTCTTCGTAAAACAGACCTGCTCGGTGTGCAAGTCGACGATTCACTACGGCACTAAAACCGCAACTGCATCTGATTGGATCGTCATCTTGAAAAAGCGCGGAACCTGCCCATGAATTGTTGAGATATACGCCTGCGTCGGCACCCTTAATATTGCCCACAACCTTAGGCCCGGCGTTACACACGCACAGACTGCAACTGTCGAAATTGTGATCTCGGAAAATATTAAGCGCCGTGTCACCGAGGAGAATATTCACTACGAGAGAATTTGACTCGGGTGCGCGAACAGGTCCTGGTGTGTCCGCTTCGATACTGTTAAGATTTTTGTTGAGATACGAAGAAGTGGTGGAAGTAGCCGGACTTGGCTGATCATACGGAGGTGGTGGTGGTGGTGGTGGCCTACCGGGGAGAGTTGTCGAGCGATAAGGTGGCGCTGGACTTGATGGACATGGCTGTTGCTGCTGCTGTTGTTGTTGCTGCTGCTGTTGCTGCTGCTGCTGTTGTTGTTGTTGTTGTTGTTGCTGCTGCTGCTGCACGGATCCAGGTCTAGTTGGTGGAAGAGATTTGTCCTGATTGGTGGAAGCAGGATTGCACTGCCAGGAAGGTCTGTATACGCAGTGCGATGGCAGTGTGATGGATGGCAGAGATTGGCTAGGCAGATTTGTGAGGGGAGCGTATTTGGAAGAACCAACCATCTTGCAGATGACAGATGGTTTGAACACGTATGACCAATCATCGATCGGCTCTTCTTGTGGCGAGCCCATGTTGGGATAGATATCAGGAAGATGTCTTAACGGTCGTACGGGCATCATCAACTCAGTCTGGTCCATAAGAGGATCGTTCAACTGACAAGGAGAAGCGACCGGATTATGTTCCAAAGAGGGCGGTGTAGGAAACATTTTAGAAAGTTCCTCTGGCCGCAGAACCGTAACTCCACGACTGTTGTTCTTGCTTGTACTGTCTATTCTCGTTTCCTCATGTAATCCACCTGATTTGTTAGAACCTGGTGGTGTCTGTATTTGCAGTTGATTCAAATTCTGCAAATATAAATATACCTTATCTAATATGCGCGCTATATCTTTTGAGCATAAATGTTAGCTCTCTCATTTTTACTTTCATGTCACGCATCACACATACAGATTACTTCAATTATGCTAATACTTACTGTTTCGTCACTGGAAGTATCAGGATCGGAGTTGTCAAATATTTGATCTAGATCTTTGTAAGATGGTTGAAGACCTTCGCTAGTAAAGAGAGATCCCGGTTTAGATGGATCGTCTCTTTGTCGTCTGAGACTGTCGACATTCGTGCCGTTTTCTTCACCCGTCGCATCAAACTCGTATGGATCACTTCTTCCGATACATTCACCCTAAAACACAATTTATTAAAAACATTTTTATAAATTTTCTTTTTTGTATACATTACATAGTTTTATCTATTATAGTAGTAATGTTACTTACAACTGCGACGGGTTCTTGCTTAATTTCCAACTTGGAAACTTGAAGTGTTTGAGAGTTGGTCGGTGGATACAGAGTGTTATTGCGGTTAGTTGATGGATTAATAGTATTTGCAGCTTTGAAACGTTTAACGGGATGATTCAACCATGCCTCCTGAAGAGAATAATCGTACAGCCAAGACAACGGTTGCTCATCTTCTAAAAGAGCATCCTCATATTCTCTAGATGTCAAGATCGGCCGTTTGAGTATCGGTCCGGGTATTGACGGACTGTGCACCTGGTTGTTGCACGCGGAAGAAATAGATTTGGGCCCTTGTGACGGAGTTAGGGGCAGTGGGGCAGTGTTGGTGTGACTGGGTGGAGGTTGCGGGCTCAGAGTCGGCATCGTAGGCTCTGCAGGCGGAACTGATGCTGGCTCCGAGTGTGGAGTTAAAAGAGGTGACGGTGCCGGAGAACCCGGCGAGCCGACCGATGGTACAGGTAGACAATCTCCTCCCGTTGGTGGTCCGCGTGAATATGAAGGTGGACCGCCCGGTGGTGTACCGGGTGCTTCTATTCTATTCAATACTGACCTGTTTGATTTTTAACAGACCGATTATGTATGCCTCAATGATATTATTATATTGTTATATTATTTATTTGTATTTCAAAATATTATCTATATTTAGATAACGCAATAGTTAATAAGTTATTAATAAAAATAGATATATAGAACACTCCTTCCATTAAGTCGTCGCATCTAGCAACCCTGAGTGCGGAATGTCGAGTTGGTTTTTCATCTGCGGGAACATGCTCATTCGCGAATCTTTATAAATTAATAACTCGTTAATTATTGCGAAACTCGCAGAATGATAAAGAACTTGTTGACAGTACAACCCACTTAACCTGCGCTTGAGAAGTGATACGGTTATTTCCAGACACTGTATATGTACGTGTATACATATGTATACATGTATACATATATATCTCGTATAAATACGAAATTGTTTAAGAAAAAGCTATTTTTATATGTAAGATGTGCATAAATACATATAAAGCTTGTTATAGATACATGATTTAAACCTAAGAAACTTGAAAGTGAAATAAATGTTATAAATATTCTCAAACAATATTTGCATGCAAAGCATATAAGTACTATATATAGAAGCACGAACTACAATATACACACGCACGCACACGTTTGTACATACGCATGTGTACGTATGTAAATAAGAACTCAGATATGTTTACTTAACTATCACCGAATCATGCAAACTACGTTTTTGAAAAAAAAAAAAAAAAAAAAAAAAACATGTCCAGTAACTAAATTGTTTTTTAATTTTATTTGTTGTGTAACAAATTAATGCATAATTCATAAAATTTTATGTATATTTATGTATCTGTGTAGTGATGTTTATATGATATTAATATATTAGAAGAGCTTTTCCATTTTCCCAGTGAGCAAGTTTGAATAATCGATAGGACAAGATTTGCACAGATTTACTATCTCTAATGCAAAAATATTAATCTGCCACTTTCAACTCCCTTAACGTACATCATGATTAAAATGCATTTTTATAATGTAATGTAAAGACTGATTAATGCATTACACCGTGCATGAAGTCCAAATATGTGAACAAATTGTATGATAGTGTCGAAGCGATAAATCTGCGCATGTAAAGTTATAATCACAAATCACCATTATGATCATATGAAAAACTAGCGTTATTGCGATAATTGATTATGAAATACTAATTCTCTTCTCTCTCTCTCTCTTTCTCTCTCTTTGTATCTTGGACCTAGAAATTACCCACCTGGGGGCATTAGCAGGGACAGAGGGACAAGCATCCCATTGGGTGGTAGAGCGTCGGTGAAATGGTACGACCCTCCGTCCACCTTTATCTACTCTCTCCCTCTGAACCTGAGAGGAGGCCAGGCTCTTCCAACCCCCGGGGGTCGTATGTAACCTGCAACCGATGTACTTAACATCTTGTCCGTTTGTGAATGCATCTTCTCTATTATTTCTTAATAGATTCCTGAAGTAACAATGTTTTGTGTGCATGTATACGTAACTGCATAAAAGAAGTACATATGTATAGAAGAGACAAGGTGAAAATAATATAGATTTTGCAGATCTAGAAACTTTAAATTTTCAATTTTAACAATGATTATTTAAAATGTGCAGTCAAAGAAAAACGCGTGTTAACTAAAAAATAAACTCATATTTATATTGATTTAGTCTCCTTTGAGTGTAATATATGTAACATCACAGATCAAACACATCTGCACTAAAATAAATCTAATTACTGAAAAAAAAAATCTTGCAGCTAATTCCTTAATTAAAATATAATACTTCAGGACTCTTCATAACTTGTTTGGAGAATCCATATTCTGATAAATATTCCATCTTAAACCATGTTTTTGTATAGCAGCTCAAATGCAATATATAATAATAATTTTGCGTTTTATTATCATATGTAGACGATACATTATTATCTACCTGTGCACATTCTTGTCCTATAAGACAAAACTCTGATAAATAAGAAATTTAACAAATTTAAAATATATGATAAATGTGTTTTCAAGCAAACTACTAAAAATAATTGCATTTGAGCAGTTTTCAAAAACTAAATATTTTTCATGCGCACATTATAAACCATTACTACTACTATTACTACTACTTTCTCTTTCTCTCTCCCTCTCTCTCTTTCTTTCTCTTTTCTGTAATCTATGACAATTTAAACATTCTACAATTCTATTTTCTGTGCTATGACATGCAAATAGAAACCAATATAATGACAAATATTGCTAACATTATTTAACTGGCATAATATACAGTAAAAATTAAATGTTTACTATTGCGTTCTTAATATATGCTATAAAGAGAAATCTAAAAAACACAAACATACTGAATTAATTATGAAATAATGAAATAATTAAGACAATTCACTAAAACTTGTTGTTAATACGTGTGTATACACACACGCACATGTATACGAATAGTAAACACATAATTTTTACAGTGTAAATAATCGAGATATAAGAATTAAGAATAAGGACAGTATCTCGCATGATGCAATAAAAAGAAAGCTACCAACTTTTACCGCGTCCTTACTTTGAACAGGTACAGGAAGACTTTTGCGTTGGTTCCACAAATGTCCACGTTCCATGTTCGGTGGAAGATTCTGTTTTAAAAGCAGACATTGGTGAGCTCAAAGTACATTCTGCCCATACTCGTTCCGGCAATTCGGTAGCTGCGCTCAGTTCCTGTTGCGTTAAGAGAGGTCGTTCGTAAGTAACGGGACTGCTCGGCGGTGAGAGAGGAGTTTCGGGTGGTGTATCATCCATATCCGTAACTAAGACATAACAAGAAGGATAACGCATGCGCACACCACCGACGAGAACCTCCACGAGAGATGGAAGCCCATTCTCAGAATTAATGCCAGTACTGATCGGATAGAAGTGTTTCCATTCTTCAAGAAGTTGGCTCTCCATGCGGCTCACCTGGCCGGTTAATGTGCCCGCTAGTCCATAAGGGGCTAGAATCACTAAGAAATAAAAAATAAATAAATAAATAAATAAATAAAAACAGTAATAATAACATTATATTTAATTATTCAGCTGTATATTTTTCTTTGTGAGCAACAAATGATATTTACCTTTAACACCAGATTGGGAGGTCTGTGTACGTTGTAGACATGTCTTTGTGAGATGTCGCACCGCAGGATGTTGCCTAACATCCACACTCGCGCACACTGTACTTTCTCCATGAACAAAGAATGCAAACGAGAATGACAAGTGGCTACTGCAAAAGAAATTAACGCATTTCAATAAATTTTGTTTCTTTTCAGATTTATATACACAATATAATTGTATACTGTGTCGTAAGAAAAAAAGAAAGTTTGTTAAGTAAATGTGAGCAGAAGCGACTGCGACAATACTGTACTTTATTTCTATTTGGTGTGTACACACATGTCGCAATTTAAATATATGACAAAACTCAAAATGTAACAAAAAAATCTCTTATAATCAAACATACCTGCTGCAACGATGTTTTTCATAGCCATTGTAAGGTTGCACGAACCACTTTCCTAAGCGAACGAAGTCACGGGATAGCAAACACCGTTCGATCAAGTTATGCAGAGCCTTGAAAAGAAGTGACCGGCATTCGTACGATAATCCGCTTTCCCAAGAACCTTGCTCGCTTTCTGTAACACAATGGTAAATAATATAAACAGATCTTTTTAATAAAAATAGATTAAATGTCTATAGGAAGGTCGTGTGTCTCAGAATAATAATTATAACGAGAAAAATAAATCCACAAACGCACTGACAAATAAATTAGTCACATATTAGTCTAAATAATAACAAAATTTAACGTGAAAGTAATGTGATTTAAGTATAAGATCACGTTGAGTGAACGTTTCGCGGAAGGCAAAGAAGTTGACCGAGAAAACTGAAAAGTTCTAGAATCTCTCGAGTGGCTCGGAAATCACAGCTTTCCCCCCGATTTTATTTTCTCGCGAATGCTTCAAAGAGTTTGCCTGTTACAAATACAAGTGCGATGCTGTACGCATATTGTTATAATTTTACTAAGAAGCCTTTCGCTTTAAAAATCTGAACATTTTCAATTTTTTTATAGATTTCGATGAAGTCGGATCTTAAAAATGTGTTTCTTTAAAACAATTTTTTTGAACCCTCGCGATAAAAAAACATCAATGTCCAGTATGAACGAAGATGCGTTCAACAGGCCTTATCTAAAATTTGACAAATGTTGAATGTTCCGATAACGATTGTCACCACGATTATCACCATCAACCAAAGCAGCATAACATTTTTAATTTTAACGATTCATCGTACGGTCACTCAGTCAGTCGCTGTTTCGCAATTGGTGCACTCCGGCGCAGCGTGGCGCGGCATGATGCACAACACACAGTAGATCTATACGTTGAGCGCTGCAACTCATTGCAGACAAGTGCATGGTTCAGCGACCCCATGTCGAGAAACGCCGGTGGGGTCCCGGCGCGCTGTGTGACTCGAACACTGCTTCGTTGCGCGACAATCAAGTAACACCTTTTCAGCAAAGACACAAAGCTTATCGATCATTCGAATCATTAAATATTCATAAAAAAACAGCCGGTCAGAAATAAGCCAAAAGAAAGAGTATTGCATTTTTAACACAATTAAGAGTGGAAAACCGTTTGAAATAAATGCCACAATAATAATTCGCGCGCAACTATTTACTAAGACTAGGAGCAATTTGCATGCGTTACACGTCCATTGCGAAGAGAGGTCAACTGATAGAAAAACACGAAGAGAGCAAAATACTTGATTGAATGATAATGTTATATGCGTGCTAATACGTTTATGTAGCTTATGCTTCTTATCATAATTATCTAAGATTGAAACAAGTTTCACTTTTAATGATAATTTTTTTCTTTGATTTTTTTTCTGTTATGTTATGTCTAGTCGACCACGTTGATATATTACACAGCACAAGAATATTATTTGCTAAGCGCATTTGTAAATCCGTAACGCAATGTAATCCCTTTCTATGTCTTTTTGGTGTTGAAACTTCCTTTTGGAAAGTACGTAATAAAAGTTAGCTTAATCACGGTGGCTTGATTTCCTTGGTGTTATACAAAACGCTACACAACAGTAAATAAACATCTTGTAATTGTTGCACAAGCAATAGCACAGGTTTACATTAGTTAGGATTTTTGTAGTGCGTGTATCTGTGTTAAAAACTAGCTAGAGAGAGTTTTATGATATATATCGATTCGAGACTTCCAGGATGAGAGTTCGGTATAGCGGATAATGTTCCCAGAGCAGAGCAGAGCAGAGATACACTCACCGCAAGCGATCAACTCCGGTGATACGAGACCGGAGAGATCGGGTTCCTCGCCGTACCAGAAGATCCAGAGCTCTTTGGCGGCAGTAAGGGAAAGTGGCGGAGGTGCGGGTGAGGGTGCGATGCCCAGGTCGAAGATGCCAGCCCCGGGCGCCGAAGAGGCGGCTGCAGCTGGACCAGAAGTGGCCGGTGTAGCGGCCACTCGTCGCCACACACATAATATATCACCAGCTAAACATCGCGAGAAACTCGACAGCACCGGATCCTCGAGGGGCGTGCCACCGAAACCGCCGGTCACCTCGCCCCACACGAGTTTTCTCCATTTGATACCACAGAGGGATGTCTGTCAAACAACAGTAGTAATTAGTACCTAATAGTAGTACGTGATAGTTACATGAATGTAAGAGTATGCGCGCGACAAGATAACAATGACCATGACTAAAAAATAACTAAAACGAAGACAATTTTACTTACAAGGTAATATATGTCATTCTTTTTTTTAGACATGGCAAAACGAAATGTTGTGTGTGTGGGTGTGTGTACATAAAATACATATATCTACAAACTACGACTATTCGGTCGTCGAAAAGGTAACATTGAATCGGTCCTTGACTTTATAATGTTTCTATTTGTCACACGACACGTGACAAGATTGCTAATTTATTCAAATATATGTATGTATAATTCATCATGTATGAGACTGATTAGCTATAATATACTAAAAATAAACAGTTCGTACGTAGTTGGCTCGCTAATTGTTTCATTGATTAAACTAGGTATTGTCATACTACTTTCACTCTATCTCATCTCATCAATCTATTTATTTATGTTTACAAGATTTCGATCTGCTGGTGTATAGTGACGAGTATCCCCAATTGATACTCGAAGATATCATCTTTTTGTATCAGATTCGCGCGCTTTTCACGAGTGTATTACATACATACGCGCGCATATATGTAATTACGCACGCATCTCGCGATTAGTCGATCTATCTTCACGCGACTGACAACACGTTATCAACGCGTCATAGTTTGTTGCTATACACTCGTGTGTGTCTGGATGTAATTATATAAATATAAATATTATATGCAAAATAAACAATATATTTTCTTTGTTATTACGATAATCATATATATTCCTCCGGAAAATATACATATCATGATAGAGATATCTCTTGTGACGCCATTACTCTGATGTGTGCTATACGAGAATACTCTCTTCTCCCTCTCTGCACCCTCACATAAACGTGCGCAGGCGCGTGCACAATCGCCAAGTGAGTGCGCGCTCGTCGTCCAATGGAGATCAGTCTTCTTGCGTCTGAGAACCAGCTGACATAATTCGAATGTGTACAACCACCGCGTAAACGAGTAACAAAATCTCCGTACTTTTGACATACATGACTCTTTTTTATGTAACACGTACATATTGCTTATTTTTCACAACAAAATGAAAGAAAGATGACGCATTGTTCATGTAAGTTTTGTTGTAAGTAGTGAATGCAAACTTTCCTTTCAGAGTGGAACGATCAAATGATAAAAGTTTTCTCTAAAAAATCAAGGACAATGACGAGTATGTACTGAGCGGTAATTGAATCAGATAAGATTTTACATTATCTTTTTCTCCTGTTCTATCAAAGATAAAATAACGTGATGTAATTTTAGAAGCTGATGTTGCTCCGATCAGAGAGAACAATTTTTTTTTTCAAGAAACATGTGATATGCGACAACCGTAATCTCATGGAACCAATTGGTCTTTGCGCCTTCTTGAAGAGTACATCGCACACTGTCGGAAAGGTAGATACTACGTGCATAGTGGCGTCTATCATCACATTGTTGCAGTTGCATGTACCACACCACTGTGGCGTTGAGACAAAATTCGCGTATCGCTTCTAGAAAGAAGAAAAATTGAAAGAAAAAAAGAGATAGAAGAGAGGAAAGAGAGGGAAAAAGGAGGAGGGAGGGAAAGAGAGAGAGAGAGAGAAAGAGAGAGAAAGAGAAAGAGAGAGAGAAATACCGAAGCACCCGCTGTAACGCTACAGAGCTGTCAAGCTCGCTGATCAATACAAGCAAGGCGACGTGCAAGGCCGTCCGCGTGGGCTCGCGCGTTTGACTCGACTCGGGAAAACCCCCATATCCCCTCGATCCGTCCACGCTTACCACCGTCTCTCTCACTCTTTCTGTTACGCTCTGCTCTTCTACCTCTTCGAATAGCTTACTCCTCCTCTCTTCCACTCCCCTGTTCCTTTTTCTCGCATATTCACCACGAAAAGATCCAACCGAGTCAACGGTTTTGCGCAAGATTCGCATTCTAGATGACTGCAATATAAAATTCAGATAAATCTTTAAATAAATGTGGCAAATAAACGTAAAATTTAACTACAAAATTGTATGCAAGATAGAAAAGACTAACTAATAAGGCCTAGATAATATTAAATACAAAAATAATCGCGATAATTTACGTGCGACAGACAATAAACGAATATTGTCGAAAAAGCATCAAGTGTACAAAAAAAACTGTGACTTATCATCGTGGTAAACTCCCCCGCATAGTATTTTTGTTGTATTACACATATATTTACGGTACTCGAGTATTCTTGCCAGCTATATAGGTTCCCATTTCTTTTACTGCCCTCCTTATGCCTGTCGCCGTTAAAGCCGCACGAACGTTATGCCGTATGCGTGTGCGTAATAAGGCAGAATTCTCTTGCGATCGGGCGAGCCGTTCGCTCGAAAGTAGATTCGCGGATTCTCGATACAACCGCCTGGCAACTTTATTTGCTGCGGGTTGATTCCTGCACTTGCGTTTGTTTATTTCTATTTACAGTTTTTTTCATATGGACTTTTAACATAAAGTGACACTATTTTTAATTTTATTTGGAATGGAAGTCCTATTTTACACTATAGTAAAACAATCTGCGCACTGATGTGAAACATGTAATAATAAAAAAAACAAAAAAACAAACGTGTTAAAAGTGCATCGAAACGTTTCACTTATGCATGAAACATATTTGCAGAGCTATTGTAAACTATTACTTTGCAATTAACAGCTTGTAATTTACCGGACCGTTCACAAGATCTTTTTAACAAACATATAGACTCGCGAGCTAAGTTTTTTTCATCGCGCTATTTCACGCGTCAAACAAATTCGAACATTCTTTCGCAACATTTCGAAGAAAAAAAATTGAAAACAAAGGTGGCTTTTTCTTGCAGCGATTAGGTGTTTTTGTATAAGACAAGCTATTTTATTTGTCTTCATACGCGTAAATCTTATATTGGCAACACCAAAAATTCTTACTTCATTTCTTTTCTTTAATTGCTGACTTGTATTTATTTCTAGACATTACGAGACCCAACCTATCGCTCAACACATCCGATTAATAAAGGTCAAAGACGAGATGGAAATGAGATAATCGATTATATCATCCTTTATCATATCAACTCTCATTATCATCACACTATAAGTAGAAGAGAGAGGTAAGAGAGAGAGAAAGAGAGAGAGAGAGAGAAAGAGAGACAGAAAGATACAAGAGCAACTTCCGAGCTGGTTATTGTTTTATGTATAGCACACATACGTAACAGGAGAATCGGCGGTTTTTCTGTTTTCTGCTCTTTATCTTTACCACACACACCTTGTTAGTGCAGTTTTTTCAAGCGTGCAGCTTGGATAGTTTAAAATTCGTCCGGACAGTAACCTTTGTAAACTAAGCTTGCGCGTACTCGGTCAATTGCACCAGTCCCGGTGGGTGTACATCTTCCAAAATCGTACGAAATTGCAATCTCTCACAGCGAATTCCACTTTTGCATTACTCTAGATTTCGTGTCACAATATTTGCGTCATTTTTCTATCATTATCTTTGATATTAATTACTGTCAGCGATCAAAAACCAAAGACTGATTTTTCAGTTCAAAAGAATATCTAAAACAAACAAAAGACATATAAATATTTTTTTGATACAATTTCGACGATACATTTTCCAAAATCTAATTATTAAAATTATTATTGAAGTTACATATATAAATATCTAATATTTTGTTGTATTCATAATAAAACAATCTTCACGCTGATCATCTTTTTCTCGGTGATTTGAACACATGTATAATCATCAGAACGAATTGTTGCGACAATATAGAAGACAATCTAAAGGATACGGCATAAAAGTGAGCGAAACTCGATTCCGAAGCTCTTTTATAGCAACTCGCATTCTCTCAAGAGTCGCGGTGCAAGGCTTTCACCTAAGCTAGGCGAGAGACCTCGTCCGTTGCTTCCCCTTCTGTCTTTCCTACCGCACTAGTTTCAGTATAATCTAGCCGAGTGAGACTTGGTTGCGAAGCCACAAGGAGCTGCTGTCGTGTACTTTACGTACTTACGTGCGTATTACACCTGCGAAAGCGGGGGAGTCATCGGAACGCTACAACACGTCACATTACGTTCGCAATAAAAAAATACACCTGCTGACAGAGACTTTTTATCACAAACATCTGACAAACAGATTGCACGCGATTGAGAAAAGTCAATTCGATGATGAATAATGAAATTATTTTTTGCTTTGCCTTGTAGGAACGACTTTTGCGAAATCAAATTTTGCATACGTACATATGTAATGAGAATGTTACTTTTTTGCTATTAAAATGACAAGCTACTTAAAGCAATTTTAAGGACATCATTATCGTAAATCGTCATTTCCTATCGACGTGTGGAATACGTGGGTGTGACATTTTTACAAGAGAATGCCGATTCTGTTATGAAATAAGATATTCGATTTGTGCTGGCGAAATAATATAATCCTAATGTCAGGTCTTAAATCTCGCCGCTTCACTTTTCTGTGGTTTTCGGAGAACCACCTTACGAAAAACTGTTAAGTCCGCAAGAAAGAATACAGAATACAAAAATCGGCAAAGATAATGTAAATCTATCTAAATAATATAAAACTGCTCAGATTCGATTTGTCATCATCAATGAATGAAATATAACACGACTTCGCGTTGGAAGCGGCGGGCTGAAGACAGAGACCGCAGTTTTATTACAAATCTACGAAATGTTGAATTAAAATAAAAAAATCTCAAAGACATTAAGACACAATCATATTTTTGCAAAAATTGTTCTTTCACAATCACGTAAATTGTAAAAGTACGCACGAACGCGTATGTACGCGTCTAAGAAACGAAGAATTATCTATATGTTCAATGTTATGAATTGCAAATCATCACGACTGTGTGCAATAAATAATATGGCGCGATAAATAACAGAAAATTTGATGATGCGCAAACAAATAGATTTCCTCACGCGGTGATTTTGCAATGATAATTAACTGGCGGTAAAACAAAAACTACTAGTTTTATCTGTGCGACACAAAATGTACTCGGCGTCTCGTTAAATGCAACACCGTTGCCAAACAACACGTTCTCTGAGTAAAGGATATTGTAACACACATTTTTCAAAGTTGCTCCGGAGAAACGAAGTCGCGCCATCTGCTCACAATGATGTTTAGCCGCACACTCTGTGGAAATGCAACGAGCAGCGGAAAAATGCGTCTGCTTTGCCGTTAGCTTGTGTCGAGTACGCGCGTATGTGCCTACGCGGGAGGAATGGACGCACGGAATGAGACATAGCGCGAGAAGCGGAGAAAGAGAGAGAGAAAGAGAAAAAAAGAGAGAAGCGCGAAGATTTGTCGTTTACGTAGGTAAATTGGACGCATACCCAACCGCATGTTACATATCTGTCTTCAAAGAAATAATCGTGTTTGTCAAAATGTTGAGCTTGTATATAAGAAACGGGACCTCGCACGGTCTCGTCTTCTAGAAACAAACATAGCCTGACACAGTTCTCATTGCACGATGCCCAAGCGGTGTGATTCAACGTGTTGTTTCCCCCGGTGACAAGTTGACAAAAAGATACACAAAACAAAAATTAATTTGCACCAACTTCATCTTGCATCGCTTCCTTTTTCTCTTATTTCTCATCTTACTACGTGTTCACCAAAATTCTGGAAGAAACAAAAATGTTACAAATCAATTTTTGTGTAAATTTTCTCTTGAGATTTTCGCGTGTCTGCTATTTCGAAAACACCTACCGAGAAATGAGTATCTTTCACGGCGCACTGACACGACATTACAAGGATGCAACCAAGAGACAGAGACAGATAGAGTGAGTGAGAGCGAGAGCAAAAGAGAGGGAGAGAGAGAGAGATGACAGGACATGGCAAAGCCTGCTTGCCTATGTTCTTGCCCTCTCTCCGCTTTCCTCTCGCGGTCACTTCTCTTCATCCTCCTTTCCCTTCTCACACCTCCCACTCTTTACTTGTCTTTCTCTCTCTTTCTCTCTGTCTCTGTCTCTCTCTCTCTCTCTCTCTCGCATGCACTTGACTTTTTTTTCTGTCTCAACTGTAAGACTTTGGGAGCTGACGTGAATCAGGCATGACATTGGCTCGACACAACAAAACTTCAAATCTCACTGACGTATGTAGGCAGGCGCGTATACGCACGTACGATGTCGCCGCAGAGGGGAGAGAAGACTGGCGATACACAACACTAGTATGGATAGCGGCAGCAGCGACGACAACGAGACGAAGACGACGACGACGAGGAGACGACAACGGTGACGAGGAGGAAGTCGACGACGACAACGAATAACAACAATGATAACAATAATGATAATTAATAATAAAGATGATGATGAAGATGATAATGATGGTGATGATGATGATGATGATGATGAATGATGATGACAATGACGAGGGCGATAATAGCAATGGCAATGTTGGGTTGCAACAATGAAATTACGAAACATCGACTACGAATAGGTTAACGGTCGGAACGCGACGGTGGTCGCATTCTCGCCGTCGCTCGTATTCGCGTCGTCGGCGACGTGTGACGTACGGCGAGATGCCGGCGATCATCTAAGGCTTGCTTCGTTCTCCATTAATCGGTCGCCGCGGTTTCTAAGCGCTTACGAGCGAAATCGCGTATCGCGTCGCGTCGGATAGAATAACTCGCAAACGAAGAAAGCGGGATCTTTCCGCAAGGATCTCTCGCGCGCGCACGACGATCACTCACCAATGCGAAGAAATTCGTGTGGCAGTCCTCCAGGCTGGCGCCGTTGGTTTGATGCGATGGATGCGTCATGGCTTCTCCATTGTACGCATTAGTCTAAACACTCGAGGCGACGGATTTCGCGTCGATATCCCAAACACTCGAGAAATCAACGAAACGGTGAGCTTCACCGCACTTATTCACTCGACCCGTACATTTAGGAGGGTTTTCACTTCTCAATGGCGACCGTAAAATGGCGGCGGGCGGCGATGGGAAACAACAAGCGCAGCCGTCAGGTGCGCCCCCTAACGCTTACTGCCGCAATTCTAGTTCTCGTCGGGGGCTACCGTCGCTGCTGCTGCCGCTGTTTCCACCACTATTACTGATCCGCGACGACGATCGACGAACGCGAAAAAGATGGCGGCGCTCATCAGGCATGGCTCGTTCGTCAACGCGTTTAAGAGTACATCGGCTATAATCGCTATTAACACGGTCAGTAAAACAAACTTTTCACACGCAACACACTGGGCGATGTATTTGCGGCCGTGTCGCGCGCAACGAGCGAAACAATTCCGTCGTGATAACAGAAGCGCTAACTGTTGGTACGCGCGCCACCGCTAACGAGACCATTGTCATTTTTCTAGACAACCGCGCGTCGTGATGTCATCCGGCACAAGAGCAACAAGACCAAGCGACAACCCGTCAAGACGCAGACGATATCAAGGATCGATTCGGTCGGTGAATCCCTGGCTGCTCGCGGGTAAGCGCATTCGACTTTACACGCTCCGTGTCACGCCAAAGTTCGCGTTACGTCGCGGCGCTGCCTACAAACGGGGGCCACACCGCGGCCATATTATCGTCTAACACCACATCCCCGCGCGTCTATTTTCCCCCGCGCTTCCCATCGACCAATCACCCGGCGAATCTGACAGGTTTTCAGTGCCGTGCTAAACTCTCGCGTATGTAAGTTTCCTTTCGTTTTCAACTTTTTTCTTCGTATATTCATGAATTAATTCAACGTTATTTTGACAACGCGCTCTACATTTATTTTGCATTTGAAATTCATATTGCATCTTTAGATAGGTCTTTTTATCTTTCGATTGTATCTTATTTATCTTTTATCTTACGTATTGATCATTCGTGGCATTGACAGGACTTTTTCGATCTGTCAGCGAAAATCTTCATATCGTGAAAAAAAAAACACTACACGCTTGTTTGAACAACTGTTTCAAGATTTAAGAAACTTCTGTTGTAATCGAAACAAGTCAAGAGATTTGGCATAAAATAAAAATGTAATTTTATCGCCTGTGTATCGAGAGAGTTGGAGGGAACGAAAGAGAGAGAAAGAAAATAAGCAGAAGAGATACATGTGATGGCAGCACCGTTCGATCATCGATCACCTCCCTTCTCTCTCGGCGTATCCATCGATGTATAGGATGGACCGAGCATCGCTATGACAGACCGCGTTGAAACAGGAGAGTCGGAGGAGCCTCTATTGGTGATTTTATTCCCCTCCATGAAATTTGCAGTAACGTACCCTTCGAATTCGACACTTGCTTTTGTTATTGTTCAACAGAAAGAGATTTTTTTTTCAGTAATGTTTGTTTAATAAAATTGCATTAATTTTGAATTGATTTTTCATCTCTGGGAGAAGAATACTATCGTATTTTTGCCAGCTTTTTTCATTTCTGTTATACTACTGTCAATCACTGGTCGGTATGTATTTGTATGTATACACGCAACTTGTGCCAAAGTGTGAGGGAAACAAGGGAAAGTTGCGAGTCAAGGGAACAGTTTGGTCTCGAAAAGTTGAATCACCCGAGATTCTGCATATTGTACACAGTATAGTGGACAACAGAAATTTGCAGAATAGGCGCGGGTATTTAAAGGCAAGAGGAGAGATAGCTTCTCCTCCAGCTGTCAGTAGCGCCAAAAATCCGAAATGAGTTTTTCGTGTAACATGTATATATGTATAAACAAATATTTTTCTTTCAGTTTTTTAAGGCCACAAAAGGCTTACGAACCTCCTGAAGACACGTCTAAGAAAATTGACAAAATCTGTGAGAATCACAACATTTCTTCTCATGATGACAAAAAAATAGAAGATTCCTTGCTTCGCTTTAAACTTTTTGTCGCCTGTGAGAACGAATTTAAGCATTCCATCCCAAATTCGTTGCTTCACACTATCGAGAATATCGGTTAGTAAATTATTTGTACAATATTTGTACATCAAATTGCTTAATAAAAATTAATAATAACAAAACTATGAATTTTCGCACACATACGCGTATAGGAGATTTAAAGCAGTTTTATTCCACATCTGTGGATACTACGACTCCGTATGACGCATTACGTAGAATGGATTTGCCTAAGAATTTGCACATTCAATACGAGTATCATCGATTCCATCCAGGTAAAATGTTGTGTGGGATTTATATTATTATTTCGCCACTTTATAAAAAATGTATGTGTATATATGTACAGTCCAAATATTTCAATAGCGATATATATATTTTTTTTTGACAGATACCGATACGATGTTTAATGGCAAAACAGCTTTCCCGAAAAGTTCTACTATCGTGACTGGTCTCAAGTATAAGAAAAAATATCCTGGACACGTGCAGGATGATGTATGGTTAGAAGAGCAGTTGAAAATTTAAATTATACAATTGTAAAATAAAGAACGTTTGTAAATATATGAAACAATATTCGTGAAGTTTAATCTGAGTCTGTAAAATTTCACTTCCATCTCGCTACTTTGTAATAGCGCAGTGAAACATGTTACAAGATTATTTTCTTTCTCCGTATGTGTGATTGTATGACGATAGTACGATAGTGGGGGTGTCGGAAGTAAATTTTACTGAAATGAATTCTTTTGCTTTAACGAAGTTCACTTTAGTTGAGTTCAATTGTATTTCTCCTTATGCTCGTGATTAAGAAAGCAAATACGATTTTTTAGCTGTTTTACAGCAAGTATATATTTGTATTATTCATAACCACAGGTGTCTATTATGACTCCATAGTTCTTTCAATCGACCCATCAGTCAAGCGTAGCAACGTGATATGTAGTATCGTAGTAACAAACGCGTGTGTATATAAAACGCGATTCTGTGCACGTGAGAAGTGCTAATAACGCATCGAATTTCAATTGTGTCTATTAAAATCAATCTCCAGAAATTATCGTAATCAAAATGCCTGGAATTGCGAGCGCGACCGGTCTTTTATCGGCACAAATTCGGCCGATTCGCAGGCCAAAGCCCAAGGTGAGAAAAATGCTAGCAAAGCACTAGCTGTTGTGCTACCTGATGTATCTCTATTTACTGATAATTTCGCGGTTTTTATTTATTGATAATCCCGTAGAAGATAGAGTTATCCGGTAGTACCAGAAGAGCACCATTCGCTCTTCGACCGTTTGCCAGTCTCTTTAATCCTTATCCTTATGGTTGCTCGGTAATGTGCAATCATCCAGCGGACTGCGAGGCGAAAGAAGTGGTTCGACGTGCTAAGGATACATGGGTACAGTCTATCATTGAAGAGATGATGCGGTATCTTGTTCTGATATTCTAATTTATATATTTCACAATATCAGGCAACCGAGGGAAAAGCTCTTTTGCTGCCGGAAGAGATGGAAATGATAAGAACAAGTTTGTTGGCAGCGGGCACGACCGGAGATGGGGGCGGAGGTGAAACAGCAGCTGGTGGCAATAGTTGTACTGCCGAGATGTCCGCTTCTGCGGTACCCGAAGAGCTTTTCCGGAAATACACAGAAACCGATTCGCGACCTTTCACTCCAGCGCCCACGCTTGCAAGCGGACCTACGGCATTAACTGGTCGCGCAACTCAGGAGGATTTACCAGTGACCTGTAATCCACGCGAGCGCACTACTCTGGTTCTGGATCTTCGAGCAAATTCGCGGAACCAACAGGTGGAATAATTGTTGGACAAACCATTAATAAAATAATACCAATAATATAATAATTGATCCATAATACAGAAAAATATCAAAAAAGAAATGAGAGATCATAAAAAATTTAGTTTTGAAAAACTCTGGCTTCTTTTTTTTTCTCTTTAGGAAAATGAATCCTTTACCTGGCACGCTCTTACACTGGAATTACCACCAACGCCTCGGAAGAGTGAAATATCCGTGTGTAAGCCGATCTCACGACCACAACGTTCATTAGCACCACCTTCTCCATCACCTTCACCCATCGCTGAGAGATGCGAAACAGTAAGTTTATCCTTTCTTTAGAAACTATACACACCACCTGTGGTTGCTTTTCTCATTTAAAGAATTTTTTGTCATTTAAAAATCTAATGCGATTATTGGTGAAAGAGTTCATCCAAGAATGTAGAAGAGGAAGCTGACAGCGTCGGCGAACAGCAAGCAGTAATTATTCGCAGACGGGGAAAGCGATTACGTAAAAGGAAGTGTAGGAGGGGCTCAACTTACGGTCAACAAACGGAAGTTCGCGATCTGCTCGAACCTACTGTAACGCAAGTTTCGCAAATTGAAAACAGCTCGCGACGATCATCGTAAGTATCTACAAAAATATACCTATCATATAATCACCTTTTGACGACAAAATATCTGTTTTCGACTGATTTTGCTACTTATATCTCTAATTACATAGATTTATATATTTCAAACACAAATTATATATGTCTTCGATATTTAAAATTATTAAGAAAAAACTGTTTTCAATTAAATATCACAGACTTCATGTAAATATCAGCCCAGTCGATAACTTGATGTCTCCTAAAAAGACTTCCGCGCAAGCACCAAGTCACACAATGCCTCCGAGTTTTCTCACACCTGATGTTTTAAAACACTTGTGTCGAGAACTCGATCGCGATAAGATAGAAGCTGAATTTTCAAGTAAGGTAAACGCAGACTTCAAGCTGTCAATTAAATTATATATGTAGCACACAAAGATAAGCAACTTGATTTGTACACACACGCACACACATGTAATCCCAATATATCTTAGAAAAGAATTGCTTTGGAAGAAGCATTGCGAGTTAAAGGTGACACTTATTCGACTCTACGTAGACCTCGACAAACTAAGGACAGCCTATTGGCGCAAGATGCTCCGCGAGTATTTTCTCGTCAAGCAGCCCGATTTGAATTACTCGATAGCCGAAGTCTTCATGGTATATCATAAATAGCACTAATGATAGTTTATCAATATCACTACATAGGTTTCAAATCAATCGAATTTAACACATCATGATGAATGATTGCAGGATTAACGCCGCTGCAGTATATCAGTAAACATGTATATGTTACATCAGGTAGAAAACTGATATTTGGTCGAATATTTAACAAATTTAACGAGGAGTCATTGCACAGTACGCGATGTATCTCCACGGATGATATTGAAGAAGCTATTCGAGAAGTAATGGGAAAAGCGTTAACAGACGAGCAACGATCTTATTTAAAATCTGTAGTAGGAGAGATAACGGAATCACTGAACTTTAGAGAATGGTGCGGATTGTGTGCTATTGTCGAGAGGCTGCTATGTCCTTTACCGCCGAAAGAGAGCGATCCACCGACGTGGCTTGAAAAGGCGGACTTTGAGAATTTAGAAAAAAGACTAAACTCAGTCGACTCGGTGAATCCCACTTTGGCATTTTTGTTGAAGGAAATTCGCGACAGGTAAAATTTTTTATACATATAAATATTTATCATAGTAATTTCTATTGATGTTTGTATCGTAAAACTTATTTTAACCGTGGATTAATTTTATTCATAAGATTGATATGTAATTCTCTTTCACATAACCGTTAATTAGAGTGAATGATTTACTGATTTGGTGAATGTGATAATATAAAAATGGCGATTTATTTAAACATAATATAATAAAGATCATATTTACTCTATTTTAGCGCCGATTTTTACTAAATATGAAAAAAATGTAGGACGAAAGAAAGATCTTTTCTATGTTCATCGCACATTTTTATTGCTAGAGCAGATCCTTATCCACTCAAGCATACATAAGTTGTATGTATCCGATCCATTATTGCCTAATATACAAATAAGTTTTGTTTTTTTCTCTCACTCTTCCGTACTTGACAACATAATAAATAATGAGTCATTTTTATTTCATCGTAAGGATAATATAAAATCGATATCTCTCTCTCTCTCTCATACACACGCACACACACTCTCTTTTTCTCTCTTTGCGCACAGGCGCACGCAACAGCAAATAAATTAAGTAAACTTGCAGTACGATGAAGACGCACAAAAAAGAAATAAAAATACAAGATCGCACAAAGAATACTAGATTATAACAATATACTACGGGATGTCTCGTATTTGTGAGTTGCTTGTATGTTAAAAGTTTTGTTCATCGCTCGATTGGTCACTAGTCGCTACGTCACATTTTACACATACAACTAACGTACAAATATAACGAGATGTTTACGTACTCAAGCCAGCGACCAGAAGAAATCGCGATTTTCTGTGTGTTTCGTGTATGTGCGTTATCCTCATGGTCCTGGAAGAATATATGCACAATACGATACTACTTAGCTAAAGTCACTATAATACACAGGGCAGCGCTATCCGCCATATAACGGGATTTTTTTTTAGGACGTTCCATTTGATCGAGATGTGATTAAAAGAGGAATTTTATCCGCTGTTTTTTTTTTTTTTTTTTTTTAACGACACAACAAAAAGTCAAACAGCAAGCTTTTGGATGAAAAGAAACTCATAACACTGCTCTCACAGTATTTTGTTTTAGAAAAACAGTGCCGGCCGTGTTATGATTGCCTCTAAAAATTTATTTCTTCATCTATGCTTTTTTTTCTCTCTCTCTTTCTCTCTGTCATCCGTTTAGTATAAAAAAAGTTGTCGCTGCTGCTGGGCAGTGGGACTGGAGTATGAAGGTGCGACATTGCGCATGACGGCAATGGACTAGTTGCCATTTGTGGATCGCTGTGTCGCCGGAATCAGAGCGTCCCGCTCAGTCCCGTAAATTTTGCCCGCCTTTCTCGCCATATTACCGAGCATCTCCGTAGAACATTTGTGAGCAGATCGTAATGAAAGCGCCCATTCTTTTAAACTTATTTCATCCTAGACACAAGATGTAGTTATTATATTAGTGTTGTCTTTATTATTATTATTAGTAATAAGTAGTAGTAAAATTTGGTGCTCGAAAAATTCACTTACAGCATTTGTAAGTACTATTTTTGCGTCTCTCGTACGCATTACGATACATTGTTCTCCTTTTACGAGCTGCAAATCCGCTCCGACTTCCTCGACCTGTATGAAAACAATCAAAGTATAATTTTATTTTGAAAATATATTAAGAAAAGTTCTCCTTCTCTCTTTAAAATACTTGTTTCTTATATTTTAATAATATTCTAGTGTAAAGAATTCATTGACAACTCTCACACAAACGATATACTTACTTGGTCGAGAAACACGAGTTCGGGCTTCGTCGCGGATTCCGGATGTAGCTCTAACCGATTCGGATATAGTTTCGCATAACGCGTTTGCCATGCGCTCGCAAACGGACCTCCTAATTTTTTTATATAACCGTGTAATATACAATCCGAACCTACGAGTCAGACACACATCCCGTAGTATCGATTGCGTAATTCCAATTTAACTTTTAGAATGAATAGAATACAAAAGACACGTACCCTTTTCATCCGTATCAAACCGCTGCTTTTGTTTCGCTTTTTTCTTATTTTCCAACTAGAAATAAATATTAAAATTAAATTCACAAAAGCTTACCGTACGTTAGTTCAGATAGGCGTGTTGTTTTTCAAATAATAATAAAACAACTATTAGAATATATATGTACACATTTATGTATATATATATATACATATATATATGTAATTTGTATTTCCTACTTTGTCTGCTTCGTTATTGATTGTTTCGAACACAGTCTCGGCCACTTCAGCCTGCCATCTTTCGGAGATGACTAGAGGAAAGTTCTTATATAGATCTTGATCCGCTTCCGTCAGTTTGATTCCTTTCGTGTCCTCTTCGTCGAAAGAGCCGATGTCAAAGGCATCGGCGGCGTTAACCTCGCCTCGTGGCGGTATTAAAGGCGGCGTGTACTTTTGTAAGTACACCTGCTGCCAATCGATACCACTGAAGAATGGGTGCGCCTTTAATTCGTCCGCGCCATTGCCACGGCAACCAAGTCTGTTGCTGATATCTCGTTGTAGCAAACCTTCCAATAGTGACCGTAACTCTTGCGAAAATGTTTCCGGCAATTCAACGTTCTGTAATGGTGTTAACAAAGATAATATAGTTACAGTAAATGATCAGAAGTCTGAAACACTTTCTGAACGCAACGCACCATAGTCAACGTCATACGATCTATCTCGTGCTTATCCCTGGTTTTGTGTTGTCTAAATGGACTGTGCCCTTTTAAGAGCTTGTATAACATACAACCGAAAGAAAACCAGTCTGCGCTCGAATCGTACGCGGTGCCTTTTGAAAGTACCTCTGGTGCCATGTATCCGTGCGTCCCGCTGTTAGAGAATCGAGACTTGGAGTCGTGTTTATACGTGAAAAAGCATTTGATTATTTCAATACATGTTGTACGTACACGCTTGCATGAGGCTTCTTTTTCGAAAAGTCACATGCCAATCCCAGATCCGATATTCTGACGTGACCATGTTCGTCCAATAGTATATTCGCGGGTTTGAGATCACGGTAGACGATGTATCTGCGATGCATATGCTCTAAACCGAGGATCACTTCGGCGGCGTAGAACTTCATTTCCGGCTCATTGAAAACCCCGTGTTGGCTCAGATGATAATGCAAATCGCCACCGTTCATTAAATCTAATATGAAACATAGCTTGTCGGCGGTGTGAAACGCGTACGTCATGCACACTATAAACGGACAGTCCACCTGCAGTGACAATACAATTTATAACATTTGTTGTATCAAGTCGCCACGTTTGATAAAAGTTAATCACTCACCCCGGTACTGACCAAAGAGAGCATTATCCTTTCGTTAAGAGCTAACGTTTCACCCTGTTTCATCTTGATGCGCTTTTTATCCAAACATTTCATAGCGTACATCTTGCCTGTGTCCGCTTTCCGGCAACCGTATACCTCGCCGAATCCACCTCTGCCTATGATTCGGTGCACACTAAAGTCGTTCATTGTCAACTGCAATTTTTCATGTGCAATTATTTAATTTTCTTTCGAAACAAATTACGCTCTTAATTATACAACCGATTCGTGTGTATACCTGGATATTTAGTTCTAAATTTTTCCATTGGCAAAATCGAGTGTATTTATCGCTAGAAAAGTGCAATATATCTCTTTTTAGTATCTATTATTATTTATCGTAAGTTATATTTTCGCCGCAAACTCTGAGAGTTATATTATTATTATACCTTTCTAAAAATTTCTGAAACGGTTCCCCTCGCAGATGATTAAAAATTTCCTCGATGTATGGCTACAAATAGAAAGAATTTTATGTGACGCACACGTCGATACGTAAAGTACACACACAGTCGCATAGATATAAAACTGTTGAACAATGACTTACCTCAAATAAATTAACCGGAACCTCATTTTTCATCAGATATTTGTGTACATGAGATACCGCTTCTTGCGAATATTCCTGAAAAGGAATAAATACGTGGTTGTGGAGGAAAAACGTTTCTGAATAATCATTTTAAAAATGTACTTGATATGTAATACGTTTGTTCGTTGAGCGCGAAATGCATTTCCTCGTCACATTTGCGTATTACTACAAGACGAAATTACTCTTGATTCGCTGTATCCTATTGTTGTACTTACGTGAGAATGCGCCAACAATTCTTTCATAATATAATTGTCGTAGATCTCTCTGGCAAGTTTTCTCCTGTCTTCCGGACATTCGAGCTTTTCGTACGCTTTGATCTACAATGAGAACGCAATTTATAAGGACGTTTTTGCATTAGTAATGTTTGTCAGTACTAATAAAAAAAAAAATAATAAAATTTTTTTAAATTAAAAAAAAAAATAAAAAAAAAGCGCGATATAGACTAGACACTGTAGACAGAACTTGATGATAATATATCAAGTGGACTAAAAAAACACGAACCTCTTCGTAAAACCTAAGTTGCGGAATTGGTTCCTCCGCTACAGTTTCGCAGAAGTCTTTGAATAAAAGGTAACCTGTAGAAGTATACGTAAAGTTTGCTTGCGACCGACCAACTTTATAAAGTAGCTATGTTTATTTATGAATAATGCATATGTGTGTATGTGTTATCTCATATATGCCACGTGGAAATAAGCGAGAGAGTATTATTATACGACGAAGAAATATACATATAAGAACGCACGTTTACTCTTCTGTCAGTGCATGAGCTTTCAATAAGCCCTATCGATTGAAACCCTTTGACAGACCAGTGCGCTAAGAATATTTGTCTCCACGAAGCCGAAAACTGCAATTAATTAGACTGGCGACGAGGGGATCAAAGGCAGCGAACAGTAGGACGCGAACGATAATTTCTAATTTTTTCTGGATGGAAAACTTCGACGTGTCTTTATCACATTCCATCATGTCTCGTTATCGTGAATCTATTGTTTCGGTGACCTTTCGAATTCCGTGCGAAGAATTTTTCCGATAGAGTTGCGAATGTAGAATCTTCCGAGCGTTACTTTCGAAAAAAAAAACAAAAAAAACTGTGTTGGTTGTTCAGGTCTTTGTGTTACGTGCTAGAGAGATCTCTCTAGGTCGTAACAGTCATCTCATCTTTAGTCTCTAGCGTTTCTATCTCGCGCATATATCGGATTACCGTGCGTTCTTTGAGTCGTGTGTGAATCTCTATCGCGTCGTATCGTATCAGTATCGTAACGTCATGTTTTTGTATCGCGTTCTAAAAATTCTCGGTTAAATACTAGCTCTTCAAAATTTTCATCACGAAAGATCAAAAAAGATATCGGGTACAATGACAGAAGGATTAAAAGCACAGTTCTCTTCTCGTTGCACATATTCGATAATTAGAGGAACGTGAAAGATTCTGAACAAAGAAATCACGTACGCAACTTACCTAACATTTGATTGAATATTTTGTCAAAGTTTACTTCATTATTCTTTTCGAGATATCTGTGCATAACGCTTCTAACGCTGAAACAGAAAAACACATAGTCTTTGTTAGTGCTTAGCATTTTGTGAGGAATATACAGAGTGTAAATGTGTACGCGCGAACAATAGTTCTACGATTTCTGATAAGTTTTAGATCGATTTGCGACCTTTTTTTTGTGACTTGGAAATTCTGAAGCTGGCACGGCACCTTCACAAAATCACAGTATTGGCATGTGTGTGTGTGTTCGATGATACAAAATCTCCATACGCAATCAGCCTTATGTCACAGCGATATTGATCAATATGCAAAACGATGGAATTAAAGCGAGCTAAAGCCGCTTGACTAATAAAGCATCGCTTTGTGATGCGGACAAGATACTGCAGTTATATTTGACGAAATATAATACATAGACTCTTCTTACTCTGTTAATTATTAATTAAAATAAGCTATATACGAAAAAAAGTACACGTACAGGAACTTGAATTATTTTATGTATTTGAACAAACAAATTGAACTGAGTTCACTGGATAATTATTAATTTACTATGAACTCTTTTATTTCTTGCGTTATTTGCTACAAAAATATTATTGATAAAATGTTGAAATGAATAATTAAGCGTGTCATTAATATTCTATTAGCTAAATAGATAGCGTGCGCACTAGCTACGTGTAAAAAAAATTATACGACTGCAACAAATCGCGTGAAAAACATAATTTAATCTCGTTCTCTTCCTTTTACGCTTGGAGTATCTTTTAATGACCGGTCCAAGTATAAAAATATACGCAATAGATCTGATAAAGATACGAACAGTTCGGACTATTAACATTCTGACATTTTAATTCAGCTAATCGTGTTACATAAGCTGTGAAGAAAATGCCAGATCTAGTGTTGAGTCTCATGTCGAGCATTGCTAATATAATATCGCAATATCGTAATATCGTGATCACGTGCAATTTATGTGTCTTATACTGTAAAGGAAGCGAACAGTGCGATTTGTCTTCAATTGCTAACATTTATTTCTTCGTTGAATAAATAACTGAATAATCAAGCAATTTAAAACAAGAATTTGTAGCAATAACGTTTTTACAATATTAAAATTCAATTCAGCCAAAATGTCAAATGTTTTTATCAATGACGCATCGGGTACTTTTCGCCGTCAAGCGCATACTTTATCAAATGGTTTACAAGCGTCAATTTTTTGCTCATCATCTCGTTCGACTTCTTTCATTTCCAGTAACTTTCCATTTGTCAAATAAAATACTTGAATTCGCGCAACGACGACGCACGTTTCGCCTCCTGTATATTTGTTAAGCAACAACACCTCAAAGTCCATAACGTGGTGAATACCGGAGATTTTTTTTTCTTGCTAAATTATACAATCAGAATTACCGAGCTGATCTGCCAAACAGTCAAAATTTTAATTTTACTTGGATGTAACAGAACACGAAGCGTTGAAAGTCTCGGAGTCAGTATAAAAAAACCCGACTATTTATAGTAAAAATATTGAAATTTATTCCCGACTGTTTAATCAATCTTGATTTCGAGTTTGCATTAATGTATAGAAACACTTTATATATACATATTTATGGTCGCGCGCACACTTTTAATTATTACAGAAACTAAGCTCTAGCAGAAAAACAATTGCATAGAAATAAAATTCTCGAGAAGATGTCAGGAAGATAAAGCGAGCGGAATACCTTGAAAAGCGAGTAATCGAATCACGCGGATTTTCCATTCGAGTCTCTTTATTCGCAACATATATATTGATTGGCGTTTCGGATTTTCATTGAGAAATGTCAGCCTTCATCTTCTCGTGAGAGACGTGAATGCAAAGAAATTTAATATCGTCACTGTGTGACTGAGTTTGCGGTCGTATCTAGTTTACGGTCAGCAATAAAACGATGAATCTGATCGGACAAAAATTAATTCCCACTAGTGGAGCAAGAGCGTCGAACGGAGGGTGAACGAGCCTTGCAACCGATCAAAATAAATCCGTATTTCCAGCGATTGGTTGGAGAGTCGCCAGACAGTCGTACGTGCATGCAAGTACTCGGCATAACGACTTTATTCGCTTGATCGCATACTTCCTATATTCTCGACGACGATACTGCGCGTATACAAAGGCTGCGTTTCAATATTTCACTCTGCAGCCAAGTGCAGAAGTGACATGTGTGATTAGCGTGCGAGTGTGTGTAATAGTCGGCGGTGAGTTAACAGCTTGGATAGTGAATAAGTGAAATGAAGAAATCACTGTCCATAAAGAATAGGGAAAATATATTGTTCCGATCAACGCGATTAAATTAATCGCAATATTATACAATTATGGAAGAAAACACTGAAAGCATGTTTAAATTCATCCGTTTAAATACAAAGTTTATGTAGTTAATTGATTTAAAATGTAAAAAAATAAAAAAATAAATAAAAACGAACATGATGAGAGGACACGACAGAACTCGTGAGATATGTAAAAAGATAAGATATTCTTCGATGCCCAAATTAAAAAACTTTGAAAAAAAGTGCGCATAATTATCAGCGGCTATGTAAACGGCGCACAAAATATTAATCACTTCTCTAGAATTGCTTCTCCACATACACGTCAGACCGAAACCGCGAATGCAATTAAAACCGCGTAAACAGCACATGCGAGGATCTTGCGCATAGACCGGTATTTTCATTTAACAATACCGCTACAATCTACTCCCAACTATTATAGTCGTATAGTGGGTATTTTACTATAGCAATTTAGCGACAAGAAAATTACACTTCGCTCGTGAAGAAAAAAGCTGCTTCGAATTAACGAAGAACTGTCGTTCTCAAGTGCTTTCTCGAGGTACTTTAGGCTTCGCGGTGGAAAAGCGGATATCTACCCCGCCGGGTCTCACCCCGTTTTCTGAGGCTTCAATCTTCCGAGCCTCCTTCTTTCTTTTGGCTTGATTGCGGTCCTTTTTTTTCTCCAACATGAATAGAGATGATTTCGCGGCTACCATTCAGCTGGATAAACGTGCGTTGAAGCGCCGATAAAAAAAAACAATTATTAATGCATGTAGTGCCAGTGGCGCACCAATCTGTTTCACGATGATAAATATGAGGGATATACATTTTTGGATCCAGCCTTGTTGGATTATCTATCGCATTCGGAGCTTTTCCAATACCTCGTCCGAAAAACACACATATTTGCTGTTGCGTTTATTCAAAGTTATTTTTGTCCATGCTCAAAAACCAGATCGTAGTCATTTGTTCTAAATACCGAGCGGATGTGTTCAACCAGACGGTCTATCGATTTCACGTGAGAGCCGATGTGAGTCAATGAATCAATCTCCGTCTTACAGTATACCGAATGGAATAAATATTGTCGATATCATTGCGTTTAAAATCCTGCAGAAAAGAAACTTAAAATAGAAAAAAACACAATAGAAAAATCTCTAATACCTATATATGTAAAATTAACAAAACAACACAGAACGCGAGGTAAATCTGCGCATTATAGCGAGTGGGATGCATCATTCTAATGAGAAGATAGAATTATTGTATTCATAATTCTTGGAATGAACACGCTTACGGCTCTCGTAATAATCCGGGGATTTATGAGAGAGATGATGGCGCCGACACAATGCATAAAAAAAAGGGAGAAGAAACCGAACGAGTGTCACACGTCAAGAGAGCAAAGACTCGGGCTTTGCCGAGCGATGAATCAACACGGCGATGATCTAAATCACTATTTGCGGATCGAAAGTATTCTCTCTTTTTTTTCACAGCGGCACTAGTTCGGTCTCTTATTTCGAGAATTTGTTCTCAAACGTTCCGAAAATTGTTCCGCCGCCAATCCGTGGTTTGGTTTCATCACAGATGAAGAAACAAAAAAATACGGAGAAGACGAACAGTTTACATTTTTACCGCGTGTACGATTACTCTAGCGCGCGTATATTTTTTCTATACGCAAGCTGGAGGAAATTTACCACGGATCTGTTCCTGACACGAAGTCGCAGTAGGACATTGGGGATGTTGTATCAGCATGCGGAACTATACAAATGTGTGTACGTTGTACGCGCGTAACAAAGACGGCGGCAGTTAATCAAAGTCGAAAATTGAGTTGTTTCGAGCTTCTGCTATATTAGACACCGGCACAACTACGTGTCGCATCATATGATATCATCATATTTTGTAGTTTAAGATGAGCAGCACGCGCGCACAAATATGTCTCTCTCGTCTTTAAAAGGATAATATTTATGAGATGTCAAATACACACACACACACACACACACAAGAAATATATATATATATATATAAACGCGTTCGCGCATTTCTAATAATAATTATATTATATTACGTGTGTGTGTAAATTTTTTTTCTTTTTCAGAATCTTATTTTACACAAGGATCGCGGTTCGATCCTTGTTGCAAGGTTCGCACGGAAAGCTCGAAGGGGTAATTATCCCGTGTTCGTAGACACGCATTCACGCACTTTTTAACTTGATAGCATGCTTAGCACCCCGTGAAAGGACAAGAGAGAAAGAGAGTATGCACTGCATATTACATATCTATATATTTGCCTGCGCATGAATGTTAATTGAATGTTATCATGAATATTCTGAACACGTCCGCGTGTTCCGCGACATTTTTTTAATTAACTAGCAACAAACGAGAGAAGAAGGCTGCGACATTGCCGATGACAGCGTTAACGTTACGACTTATACCGGATTTACAGTCGATGTACGGTCGACTGGGCCGGTGTAACAAGTCGAGTATACTCGACCAGTGTCAACGCTTTTAGTCGAGGTTAATTTTAGTCTAATATTAGTTGACTAAGCTTCTCAGCGATTACTACGCTACGTAAACTAACCATATGACCTGGTTATAGTTTATTTGAGAAAAAAAGACCGTCGGTATTGTGTGTCCCCATTCGGTCGTTTAAACTCGCCACCGGATGGGAGTACCACGCGTACACTATCCGTGCTATTTTTTCTTTCTAATAATGTCAACGACAGGTTGTGAGAGTTCGACATTTTTTTTTTTCTCACAGAGTAATGATCATCGAACATGTGAGAAATACGTGGAAAATAGTTTTCACGACGTTGGTGCTCTTGTTAATGATTAAACTTTCCAGTGAATAATACAGCCGTTCGTAAAGTATAACGGTGTTACAAAAATAATGAGCTAAAAAGAGCTAACGCGCACTCTGACATTTTCTAAAATTCTTTATCTTGTAGTATCAAGATCTGATTCCGCCATAAGAATCAAAAGCGTTGTACGTACGCGGAGAGAAATATATATATTGTTCATAATGCAGTCGAGAAATTCCCGGTTTTTTCTTTCTTTCTTTTTACTTTTCTCTTACGCGACACGTCGCCTACAAATATTCTACTTGCAACACAATTAATAAAACACAACGTTGTGTTTTATTAATTCACATTACGTTATCACGATCGATCAGCTGGGTGCATACGCAATAAGCGTTTTATTTTAAAAATACGGAGGATTTCGCCGGTTAATACGAATTTAATAACTACACGGGGAGTAAGTGCACGAGGAGACTATAAGGGGATTAATCTAAAACATCTAGAAAGGAAATCGATATAATATGCACATTCACGTTATAATTCCATTAATTACACCTGCATCCATTAAAAGTTTTAATATTTAAGAAAGAAACAACAAACAAAACTCGCAATCAATCGATCTAAACAAATTCACGCAATTTTTGATTATCTGCGGACCGCAAAAATCACGTCAAACAAACGTTAATCCTGCGAGATTTTAGTCGCGCGATTACGTCAAAATTCCTGTGCAATGTAAAACAAGCTCATATGCATTTCTATATCGATGACGTTTTGTTGCATTCTATTCTATTAACTTTGATCTAATTTCTGTGATTGTACACAGATGTAACGTTACATTTGGCTATGTAAGAGATTAATCTAATCCATAGGTATAGAACAGCGTTTCGATTACAGAGAGATACACGTACGTGTGAAGTGTGTGTGCGTGTGTATGTTTATAGATTGCAGAAGATTAGATAATATTTGGTGCGGCACAAACGTCTATATACGATTAATTGCGCGTGTTTTACTATCTGATAGCTTTGATTTCTCACCTGATTGTATGATTTGGCGCGAACTTTCGTAAAAAAAAAAAAAAGATAACCGCGCGGAATAACGTCACTTGCGTAAAGGCCTCATTGAAATGGCAGATTGAGATAAAAACCTCTGCCCCGCAGTATGTTTAAAACGATTTAAAGTTATCAACTTTAAAGCCCCCCATTGTTGCATCAAGCGTGGTAGTGGTGGTGATCGTAATCCAACATTCAACATGACCCGTTTCATTGAAAATATATTCACTGCACGCGTGTTCCATTACACAAGAAACTGAATAATCTCCGCGTGTGTGAACGCATGCATTAATTCTATTGTCACTTTGTTGATTTTCGAACGGATCAATTTATCTTGGAATTTATTTGTTCGTGCAACGCGCAAACGCGATTAAAAGACAAAAATTGCAAATATATTATGTGCAATCTTGAGAGAGAGAGAAAGAGAGAGAGACAAAGAAAAGAAGATTAGCTCATTGGCCTCGCTACGGTCAAACATTACTCTTTACACCGGTTGCTTTGCCTTATTCAGTGTTTCGGTCGTGCACGTGAAACATTTGCTTGGCAAGCTGCCAGCAAAAACGAAGCCTGCTACCGAGTCGACTTATTTTCAAGAGGCGAGAAAGCTTCGGTAACATCCGCGATTCGCAGACCGAAAATAACGCCACAGTGTAAACATTGTTAAGTTATAACCAATGCAAGTATCGATCGACAATACTACTTCGCTAAGAATCGACTGATTTTTGTAGATTTTGTAGATTTTTCAAAGAAAACAGAATTATTTATATTTAGAGACGTTGATCACAAATGGACTTTTATATAGCAATGTGAAACTTTACAAATTGCTTTTGATGTTGTCCGAATCCATACAAATCCCTGACAGAAAACCTACAAAGGAGAAACTCTCTAGGAGATTAGAGAAGAGTTTGTACATTCAGATTTTGACTCTAAACCGGAGTAGAGAAAATGGTGTGTGTGTTGTCATTCTGAAAATGACATCACACAGCTATTTGTAAACATCGTTTCTCGAGTGCATAAGACTTGAACTCTTGCACGTTGTCGCGAAGACAATGCAATGGTAAAGTTGTTGGAGGAGAAGACCGAGAAAGAGAAGAGGAGAGAAGGATTAAAAAAAAAAAAAAAAAAAAAAAAAAAAGCGGAGGTAGACAAACCAACGAATGAGCGACCGAACGGAAAAACTGACGGATGGACAGGAGAGCGGAAGGGAGGGCGGACGCACTATCCGCCTCCTCGTATCGAACCGCACACACCGCTACTGGAAATCGTACGGCAAGGTGTGCGTGAGTGTGTGAATATATGTATGTATACGTGTATACCTAGGATCCGGTAGAACGATCTTCTTGCTGGCACGAGCGGCTGGCGTGCATTTGCTCTTCTCCATGGCCATCAAGTAGCTGACATCGGCCAGCACTGCCTCGAGGTCCGCCATTTTTCTTGGTAATCCTTTCGTTGATGGTCTGTTGACCGAACACGGTGATCACTTCGTCGTCGATCCTATCTTCTTCCTTGTCCGATAACTTCGGACTTGGCACACGCAGCCGAGGACTAGCTGCTTCGCTCTACGGCAGGCGATGATCCGCCTCTTCTGTTTCTCGCTATCGCATATTTTTAGCGCAACATCGACATCAACAACGACGACGATAACGGCAGCGGCGACGACGACGACGACGACGGCGACGAAGATGACGACGATGACGACCAAGACCACGACGACGACGATGACAACGATGACGATGACGACGACGATGATAATGATGATGATGATGATGATGAGAATGATGATGACGTTAATGACAATGAGAATGATGATGATGATGACGATAACAACAACGAAGAGAACAACATTCCGCAATCAAACGGCGAACTTTTAACGTACCTCGTTTACTTGACAGATTCGAGATAGAGGATGAAACGTCTATCAACGAATGATCATAACACGGAACGTGCGGCGGTATCACCTGAGGTTAATGTCGTGGCAGGGATAACACACGACACACGTCCGGAAGACGACGGTTGTTCTGTATTTCCTTCTTTTTATATCACACTATCTTCATCGACTAGTTCCACTAGCTTTATATTTCTCTTCTTTTCTCTCAAGACACGTCACTTCTTCTTGTTTCACAGTATCGTCTTTTGTACGCATGGGATTTCGGTGAGCGATGATGAAGCTGACCTTTCCTTGTTCGCTCCCATTTCGCCACGATATCGTTTCTTCTTGCCGTGCACGCCCGTTTTCGCGTTTGATTCTCAAAAGTACGAGAGACGATATTGAGACTGGTCACAATTATACTTTGACACGAAGAAGATTCACGCGACAATTTCAACAAATTCCTGATATAACAACAATCAGATCGACCACAAGTCTCACGACACTCCACTTTGCTCCAATACTGTTCACCAGTGCCAACTGCTCACCACTGCTCGCTATACCACTTGCTACAACGCTGCAACTCAACTCCATCACATCATGCTTGGCTAGCGCCCTAATTGGCCTAAAGCGCCTCGCGCGGCACATACCTTAATTAATGTTCTCGATAAATAGGTTTTCGGTCTTTACTACAGTCGATACATGAATTCGCACAATACGTTATGGCTCTATCGATAAAATAGTTTGATTATGAACGTGTTGCGCGCGGCTAGGAGCGACACGATAGCCAATCACACTGTCTTCTCTATGTTTGTATATTATTGGCAGTGAATTTTGGAACACAGCTGTAATATCTGACAGATGCAAACACACAAATGTCAAAAATAAGGGAACGCAACAGGATGTTTTGTTCGAACGAAAGTGTGCTCGAATAAAATGGACGAAACATGGATGTGATTAGGGAACATTTACTCGTACCAGCAAAATATATGATACTGACAGATGGAAGAATTAGTCTGACAGTTCATAGGAATTGGCTTGCTCGATTACTAATAATCGGTCCGTTTGCATTTATTAATCACGATCGGCTGTCCAGCGATGAAATCGCGGCGCAACCCACTCTCGATGAATTGGGCTGCGAGTGGCTCAGAATTTATGCAAAAGTACTTTTGTAATATTTTATTCCTCATGCTAAATATATATCAGAGAGATAGTTTATGAACTTTTTCACACATTCGTACATAAATGTTTTTTTCATTACATATCGTAGGTATATGTAAAGCAGCACAAACATGCGATTCCACTACCAAGAGGAAGACCTCCTAGTAGCGTAAAGAATCAGGCGGAATTAATGTTTTCGCAATTACTGCATTATGTAGCTGAAACCAATTATCGGAACCTATGGAAAGAATCGTACAAAAAATATTACAGTATGTATATTTCGATATATTTTGTTTCTTTAGGTTTGCACGTATGTGGAAGATTGGAAGGAAGTAATCTTTCATCGTTTTGTTACTCAATAATTTTATACAATATTTTTGTAGATCCCTGGAATTTTGTTGAACAACGAGAACAGTCTAATATTACCGCTAATGTGAGCGATACTGCCATTATGCATGAAGTAATAAATAGAATGTATAGCTGTACTTTGATACAAGTGCAACATGGTACCGTTTTATCAGTGTCAAATGGAACGTTGTCCGAAACACATTGCAATTTAGTCCCAATTCATTTTGTTGTAGAAACAACATCTGCTTTTATAATGTTTTATGAGCAAACTGCCAATTATTCACTTCGCGAGTGAGTATAAATGCAATGTATTTTACTGTGTATACGTGTAAAAAGGAAATATATAGATGTTGTTTAATTTCAGATGTGTAATGTACAGTCCAGCTGCTCTCAATACCAGTCACGGAAAAGCATTGTTTATAGTTTATCAATTGCTGAGATTATCCAGAGATTTGCACGATCTTGGTCTTGCGTTAGGCGAAATTACGCTCAGTGATATATTAGTCACAGAAAATTTTACTATTCAGGTCTTACTTGCGAAAAAATGAACAGTAGAGAATATTTTATATATAAAGGAAGAAAAAAAGGAATTTGACACAAGATCAATTTGTTTTTAGGTATTGCCAAAATTAAGCGATAATATTTATCTGAAGCCTGAAGATGAGTGTAGTAAAGAGAAAAGTCCAACTAATGACGTTATCTGCATCGATAAAAAAAATAGTGTATCTCGGTTGAATAATAAAGATTTTGGTTTAAATGAAAGTATTGAGAAATTATGCGAGATGTGGATCTACAACTGTATTAGCAATTTTGATTACTTAACTGCGTTGAATAATTTAGCCGGTAGAAGATACGGCGATCCTAGTTGTCATCACGTTATGCCTTGGGTAACAGATTTTACATCGAGAAATGGTGGAAACTGGAGAGATCTAACAAAGTCGAAATTTCGGTTGAATAAAGGAGACAGACAATTGGACCTGACATTTGATTCGCAGTCAACTGAGGTATAAATCGATCGATTGTAAAAGTTTATATAGAAAATTAAGAAATAATGGGACATCTTTTTGTGTGTGTTATTTAGGTTGGACATCACGTCTCGGATGTTTTATCGGAAATTACGTATTACGTGTATCTTTCACGTCGATATAATAAATCTGTACTCTGTAAACACGTACGACCTTTATGGGTGCCTGGAGAATATCCAGCTTCGATTCAGAGATTATACGATTGGAGTCCTGACGAATGTATACCACAGTTTTTTACTGATCCTAATGTATTTAAGGTAAAATATACATTTGTAAACACACATTTTTAATGTTTTTTTAAAAAAAAAAAAAAATATATATATATATATATACGTATATATATTTACAGTCTATTCACGAAGATTTGCCAGATTTAGAAATTCCAGCGTGGGCAACCTCTCCAGAGGATTTTATTGAAAAACATAGAGAAGCATTGGAAAGTTTTCATGTTTCGGAGAGATTACATCACTGGATAGATTTGACTTTTGGTTACAAGTATACAAACTTTATTTTATTTAATGAATTATTAATTGTTTATAGCTTTGAGATATATTATGATATATATTATGTATTTTTTTTTTCAAAAATAGATTGTCCGGTTCCGCCGCGGTAAAATCGAAAAATGTTTGTCTACAGTTAGTTGACAATCACACTGACTTGACTCATTCTGGAGTTGTACAACTTTTTACACAACCGCATCCACAAAAAATAATTCCATCTCCATATTGGGGTAAAGTGCCACCTCGTCTACGATCCGTGAACAAAGCTAGTAAGAGTTTTTTTGTTATCAAGAATTAGATATTTTTTGAGTAAATTACTTGAGTAAATTACTGAATTTGTTACATTGTAGAGAATGACCAAGTGATTAGAATTAGCGACGATGAAGATCACAGTTCTGGCGTCGAGGAAGAAGAATTGCAACCGGTGACGGCAGCTACGGCATCGAGGTCATCACCTCTCGTACTGAGTCGCCTGTTGAGTCGTTCCAGAGGTTCTTTGCTTTCAGAGGATAATGTTAAATCGGATAAGTCCGTTAATCAACCTATTGTTCTTCCAAAAGATTTCAATCCCGTTGCGGCGATCGTGCAAGTAGAAACTATGCACGCTTTCATGAACAAAGTCAATCATCGAGTTTACAAACCCTCATTAGCGTCGCACGATTTGTCCACCAATTACAAACAAATTGTAGCTAGTGGACGTATCAAAGAACAACAAATACTTGGTTGTCTGATAGTAGAGATATTTCTAGCTGGCAAGTTTCGCGCTACATGGAATGTTGAAAGAATGTCGTTCGCGCAAAGACTCGTTACGTGTTTAAATACCTTGAAAACATCAGCGGATCATTTACCGAAATGTATACGAAACATTGTGACTTTGTTACTACAGACGGACATTGTACCAAAGAGTTACAACACCAATGACATTTCAACGGTAATTGCAATGTTTCTTATTACTCGTGTTTCATTGAAGCGAATTGTATACAAACGCTTGATAATATAGTGTATATTTTTTATTTACAGGTAAATGAGATACCATTTCGTTATCCAACGATAACGTACATGGGTCTTCCACCACCATCCGCGCATCAGTTTCTTCAACCGATATTATCTGGCAGTTTATTTCCGTTCTCCAAATATTATCGATACTTATATAACATTGTAGAAATGTTGCAAGAATATAACGGCTTGATACGGGAGTTGAATTCTATCATAAAGACTGAGGATGATGTGGATTTTGTAATTAAAACAAAAACCAAGTATTTGTGTAAAATCAGTGAATGTAAAGTAAAAGCAATCGCGAGGGAACTGGAACGATTGTTACCTTACACCGGCGGAGCTAAAGAAGCTACTTTGCAATTAATAGTTCCTCACATAGTACAAATTATGGAAGAACCTTATAGCGCGGTATTGGCGGTATGGCATCTCTTTGATCCTATCGCAAAGTAAGTTTTCTAATCTCAGATATATATATATAAAACGCATTATCGAAGATCTCTTTTCTATTTTATATTGCAGAACATTGGGACCAAAAGATACGGCCGATACGTTTCTCTCGTCTATTATAAAATTGTACGAGAATGGTTCTATTATGGATACCGCATTGTACACTGATATATTAAGTGCGGGAATACTGGCCAAGTTTCGAACCACCCGATTGTATCACAGAACTTTTCTACTGAAATTGATGGTCAGGCTAGGGTTACGAAGATTTTTAGAGTATTTTGTAAACCCTTTGGTAGAAGCGGTAGGAGGATACAAAGATTATGTACAGGGTTCGCTCGGTACATGCAGAACTGGGAATCTCAAGTAAGAAAAAAAGAGAATTGTGATGTGTCTGTGAAAGAAAGAAAGAATGCGCGTACATATAAAACATTTTATCAAATTATTATGTACTTTTGAATATCTCTCTCTTACTGTCACACAAAAGTTTTTGCATGTGAAGCTAATATTTTTATTTTATTTGCAAATATTTGATAAAGAAGCTGCGATTTAAGTGGGCCGTGCAGTGACGGGGAAGGTATTTTATCTCCGTTGGATGAAGATTCATTTGCGGACACTGAACACAACGTTGCTTCATTTTCTGAACCAACGACCAACGAGCGTACATCTGATATGACAACCGATAATAATGTTGAAGGTAATTGATATATTGTTTCTCGAATAAACAATTGATAGTCCGATAAGAGAGTGGTCTCTGAAAAAGACTTGAATATTAAATATTTATTGAACGTATTACAGAAGTATTTGCCATGGAAACTGAAGATAATTCATGCATTTCTTTAAATAATACCTGTACGCCATATGATATCGAATTACCGATAGATCTTAACATCAACGACGAGTTGATTGACGATGGAAATAAACATTCGCCTAGTGATTCGGCGAAATCGCCAACAATTCCAATACCAAAACAATCAAGTACAGTCATTGGAGCTAAATCAGTAACCGAGTTTAGTAGCATCGGTTGTAACGTCGGTAGTAAAACGTCCAGTGAGGATTTCGCTTACATTGGTGTGTACACCGCGAATATTCAAGCTGGTAGTAATCTTTCTGAAAATATATGTTCTGCGGAAACGAAAGAAGACGATTCTGCTACGAGCGAGCTTGATCACGCGTACGATGTTATCAAATATGAGGAGGATCAATTGGATCCTATCTATCGAAGATCTGTTCCGAGCGAATGCACCATTTCTGAGATGAGTGCGCAATCTGTTATTTGGCTGTCCCACAGACTCGGTCCGGTGCTCACAGCGCGACACTTGTCGCGAAATCTTTTACGAATGCTCACGCTGTGTTACGCTGGGAAAGAAAATTTAACACCGATTGATAAAAATAATTTTGCGTCTTTTGAAGATATTACAAAACCGATATTAGCTGGTGATCAAAATGCCGTTAAAGTTTTAGAATGTCTCACCACTATTGCCGGTATGTGTGTACGGTACAAAACACGGCTTTGCGCGGATAAGAAAGAAACATAATTCCTTTCGATTATTTCATTTAGGATTATACGGAGAACAGATTATACTGCTACAATATTTTGCACATATGGTCGAATTGTTGGCATTGTGCAAGAGAAAGCTGACGCAGAATTTAGAAGGAGGTCTAGTCTCGTGTTTGGCTTTATTGAATCACATCACAGCGTATCTTAGCGATTCTACCGTGATGGATGTACTTCATGTAATGTATACATTATATTATTCACATGATTTATTACACGCATCAACGTAAGAAAATTTAAACAGTCTTGTTTTTCGGTTTATAGGAACCGATAGTGAAATCTATACTGCATCCCACGGTACGCATATTGTCAACCGCGAGATTTACATTTCCAAACGGAGCTCTCGCGCGCATTGCCTTGGCTGAAAAATGCTTGGAAGCGATGTTCACTCTTGGCTCACGACTGGGCAGTGTAATTACGAAAAATCATCTAATAGTGCCAATTCAACGTTTTTTTCTTGCCTTTGACAAGGTTTTCAGTAAAAGTTCAAGTACCGAAGGTCCGTCGGATAAATTTGAACAAAAAACAACTTGCGACCATTTTGCACGGTAATAAATAAATATATCGGAATCTAATTCTGTTTAATACATTGTATGTTGTACTGACACACACCGATTTATATAAAGAGGAAGAGAGAGAGAGAGAGAAAGATTTATATATTATTTCTAATATTTCATAGGATGAAAGCTGAAGGTGGATCTGAAATCTATGTATGGAATAAACTTGATACAGATGTTGCAGATTCGTACTCTCCTCCAGTTTTAGAAAATAGTGACATATCGAATTTGCAAAAAAATAAAGTAAGATTAAATATAAAGATTTTACTTTTTTTATTTCTAATAACGCAAGCGTTAATCGTCTCTACTTTACGTACAGGCGTTCGAAGAATTACAAGCTGTGTTCACCGCTGAGTTTGCTCACAAAGCATATATGCTTTTTTATAGATGTGTTGACAATGAGGTAATGGAACAAATACTGAAAAATCATGAGCACATACAGCAACTGTGTCGTAATTACGAGCAAGAAAGAGATACAATTTTGCTGAATACAGGTACGTATTGAGAAAACAATGTTTGTTTACTCTCACTTTTCTCTTTTCAATTAAAAATGAGATGTATTTGTGTTAAAGATAATGTGGAAAAGTACAGCGTATTGGATCGCGAGGAAACTGTAGACCCGGTTGACAAAGGTGTTTGTAGTTTCGGGAATATCTCTGTGATAGGAAATAGATTCGAAATACAAACAGATGACTCTAGATCTCAATCGGCGGCAACAGAGACTAGCGGAAATCGCACCGAAGCTTCAGCAACCGCTGGCAGACAGTTACGCGGTAATTGGCTGGCCTATTGGGAGCATGAGATCGGAAGACCGGAAAAAGATACTGTACTCGATATAAAGCAAATAAAGCTCCAAACTTTCAGTGGCCATGCGAACAGTATAAGATGTCTTTATGTATTAGACAATGAAAACAGCTTTATAAGCGGTGGTAGAGACAAAACTGTGAAATTATGGAGTTTACGAAGCCAGGTGTGATATATGTTGTTCAATTTTCATCAAGATTTTATATCTCATTAATTTGAATGTCATTTAATTTTATTGTTAATTGATCAGGGTGATGGGAGTACAATTTCATCATGTCAATACACGTATACCGGACACAAAAAGTCGATTCTTTCGCTTACATTCCTAGAGTCTTTACGATACGCGGTGACATGCGATGGTACTGTTCATTGTTGGGATCCTTTCATGGGTTCGCTTCTCGGGTGTCCGGAGAGCAGTCGTCCTGCTCCTGTAAACACATTAGCTCCGAGTCCTTCCCCGTCTACAACTCTTCTCGTTGGGACAACAGATATTACCGTTCGAGTTATTGACTGTCGAACATTCCAGTACGTTAATGAAATGAAAGTAAGCACGCGACGAGATATATCTAAAACATATTACTTTCGGTTTAATTTGTTATACATTTAGAATGCGTTCGCTCTGGATTCAATCACGTACTTTATATTTGTAATCACAGGTTTCTATGAACCCAACTGGCTTGATTAGATGTATCGCAGTGTCGCGTAGCGGTAATTGGGTTGTTTTGGGACAAGCATCAGGCTTTTTGACGATACTAGACACTCGTACCGGCCTGATTATTGCTTCTTGGAAAGGACACGAGTGCGAGGTGGATAATATTTTTATACAATATAAATAATTCGTCATATATATGTATTGTAGCCAGAAGTATATTTATATATATCTTGGCATGTAATTATATATTAGTTTTAAACGTGTTACAGATACTGCAGTTGGAAGTCATAAATGAAACTACTATAGTTAGCTCATCGTTAGACCAAACTATTGCTGTGTGGAGTGCAATAGACGGAAAACTGAAATTTCACATCAAGTGAGAAGAAATTTATATTCGAAAAAAATGATTAGTTATTTTCAAATTTATCGTATGTCGAAAACGACCTTGTCATCATTATGAATTATTTTTCAGGGGTGCTACAGAACCTGTTCATTGCATGGCAACGTACGAACAAGAATTAGTCATAGGAACAACAGCGAATCGGATTGGCGTGTACACTGCTGTAGATGTGGCTGCTTCATTCTCTTCATCTAAATTAAAATCTGATGCTTTCAAAGGTGTTCTTACCGCCATGGCTGTCCTTCCTCTTAATCGACTGCTATTGTTAGGCGCTGACAGTGGTGGAATAACATTGATGTGTTGAGAAAAAGAAAGCGTATGTTTCAGGTATTATTTATTATATTAAATATGTGTACACACACACAAGTTGAAATAATTTATATACAGAAAAATACAAATTATAACGTTTAATTTAGAATACATAGAGTAAATTTCAGTTTTACGGAACATGTTGAAAAACACAATTTCTTATACACAAATGTCGGTTCTCATCGCGATTACTTTTAAAGCGAGCTCAGGAGACATTTTGTGCACTCCAATGTCTGCTAAAATTTCTGATAATGTATTTTCATTGTTATTCTTTAATGCTTCTTGAAGCAACATGGCTGAACCTATTAGCACATTTAAAAGTATACACGCTTCTTTGATTCTGAAACATTTAGATGAGATTAAATTGACAAATTGTCTTTTATCAAAATACATAAATAAATAAAACAGCGGACTTACAACGGGAAGTGTGATTCTGGTTTGTCGATATAAAGACCAAATAACGGAAATAGATTCCGCAAAATATCGTATTGCAATTGCTCGGCTCCGCCGTTATTGAAATGATTAACTAGTACAACTTCCTCGAAAAGAAACTACAAAAAAATACGTTTCAATAAGAGTTTTGTGACAATATTAAGAGAGATAGCGTGCTTCTAATGTAACTCACGTACTTGATCAAAGTGAGCAGCCAAAGTTTTGCAAGCTTGAATAAATAACGGTGAGGCAAGAGCATTGTGCATATTATGAAGACGCGCTGCTAACTCTTGGAACATGGGACAACCGCTTGGCGTTATCGACAGTGAAGCAACTTCTTTCGAAGACTGCATTGCAAACCATCTTCAAATGGATACAATGGAAAATATTTAATCAGTAATAAATAATAAATCGAGACGATATACACATAATAAAACCTCATACTTATCAGTTCTATAAGCTCTGCTTTTTGCCTTTACATCTAATGCTACCGCGTCACTGATTTCGTTAATCAGTTCCTTCTCTAATCGTTGCAATAGAGCTACAGCTTCATCAAATACGGTGCCCTCTACTTCTCCAATACTTTCGGTAACATCATTACCTCTGTCAGTAGCATTCTCTACAGCTTCAAACTGCTTCTTGAAAAACTGCAGCTGTAGAAAGTGCTACGCAAATCGTAATAATAGATATATAGTTTTTTTTTCAAACTGTAGTTTTTTGTTTCATTATAAAAGTAAAAAAAACAAAATACATACAACTGTCACACCCCACTCTTCCAAAACTGTTGCAACGTAATGTAGCGAATTAAGAATATGCGGCATGAGTGATGTTAACGGATCGTCATGATTTTCGTGTAATAATTGTAACAATCTTACTCTCCAATCGTCAATTAATTCTAATTGCAACTCCAGAAACTGCAATCTTTATTAACTCATCATATCTATATCCCAGTAACCAATTATCTCACATGTTTCATTCGTATTTACCTATGTCCAGGTTGAGGCAGGTGTTTATACCTATCAGAAATTGTGGTGAGTAGTGTGAGAAAAGCGTCTGCACATTCGGTAACTTTCATGTCATCTATATCAAGACCTGCCAATCTTTCCCAAGCTGTGTTTGAGCTTAATATTGCATCCATTTTTTCAGTTGCATCTAAACAAAAGAAAATAATTCTTAAAGTAAAATCTTTCTTGAAAGAAAAGATTTTCTAGAGTTTCTCTTTTATATTCACATTTCTTCTCCATATTAATCCATTTTACAAAAATGTGAGCTTGTGTAAGAACAAAAACAGTAGCTGGTTGACTCTGAGGATATAACAAGGTTTCTCGCAGTTCTCTTTCAAATCCTAATGCTTCATCTATTAAATGAGCGAATAAGATGTCGTCGTACTGCACTATAGGTAATTCGGAATGAAGTTTTTCAACAGCCAACTGAACGAGAGCACGCATAAATTCGACCTATTGCGATTCACACACAATTAATGTATAAATGTCAGCAAAATAGTGTATGATTCATTTGGTATATCAAACCTTCGTATCCAAGTGTTTCAAATTTATAGAATCCGCTACAGGTTGAATGTTCTTTTGCACCCATTGAATGTGATCTTTGATCCATGTTAATATCTGGGTGAAAAACCATTCTGGTTTATCTTGACGATTTGTCAACTTAGCTCCTGTAAAATGATAAATAAACCTTTGTCGAAGAGGACGTACTAAAAGGGCAATCGGCAAACTAACTGGTGCAAAATCTGTTAAAAGAACCGACGTTACCACAGGTTTTGCCATATCTTCTCTGAATAGACATAATTAAAGACAATAATATAATATGATCACATACACATAGAGTGCAATTTCTTTTAATCAATAACAAAATAATCAATAAGGATACGGTAGTTGCAGGTGAAAGAGATATTCTGTAAGTATCTTAAATCTTATCATTGATTCTGGTAAAGATGCATTTATCGCGGCAGCATTGCTTCCACTAAATGGCCATTTTAATGTTTTCAATAATTCATTGTATTCCCTGTAAATTGCTTGATTAAAATATCAATTTAAATCAAAGTAAACACAAAAAAAGAGAAACAGTATACTTTGATAAATTTTCTTTGAGTAGATTGTGCCAAAAATGCAGAGTTTCGTGAACGTAATTGACCAGATGATGACACACAGATGTTTGCAATTGACAAGTAATGTCTGTCAAATTTGTATATAAAATTATCATAGATTCGTCATTACCAGATGACAGGCACATTTCCATTTCGTTGCTAAATAAATACAAAAATGTTGTGTATATATATAATATATACTACAAATCTTTTGACACTACCTGATATCCTCTATATGTTTGATGAAGTACGCATAAGACAATGACTTGTCCAATTGACCTATCTTGTCAATAATTTCCTGCAGTTGTAAATTTTTCTCATTCTCACTGAACGTTTCCTCAAACTTTTTTTCAAGATCGGCAGCAGTGTCACGCAACTGTTCAATTTCATTATTAATATGTTCTATATTTTCAACAAATGCTTTTACTTTGGAAGGAGTAGTGGTAGATGTCAACGATAACTATAACACAACACATAAGAACACTAATATATTTGTATTGCGTACAATTTGTTTTACTAAAAAAAGTATATACAAACTGATTTTTCAATCTCATCCTTTTCTACTTGGAGATGTTGATGGAAATTGTAGATTTCTTCGAGATTTTTTAAATTTGACCCAAATTGTGCATTGAATTTTTGTATGACTTTTTGTTTTATATCCATTACAATGTGTTTTCATTTAACCATTTAAAATTTAAACGTCCTTTTATCTTTAAATGTCAACTATATGTTTAACTTTTCTTACGTTGACTTTTACCTCTAACCCTAACCTAACCTAACCCAACCTGTAAGAATCGCTATATTTTGTGTGTATAATGTATATAGATATATATATATGTATACACACTGTATATCAATCCTGTATTACAAGCAGTAGATTAAGAAAATCGCTGCTATTTTTTCGTTTTTTTTTTTTACAAAAGACATATCGCAGACGGCAAATTATATTAAACGCCGGAAGTTTACAGAGCAATCTGTATTTTCTTTATTCAGCATTGGTAATAAGATAAAATGAGTCTCGAATAATTTTATGTTGCATAACTTTGAGATATATAAAAGAACTCATTTCGAACGATAACGAAAAGTATCACAATGCTTCTCTCAATGTTCTTCATATTCTTGTTCCTAAGTAATTTAGTTCTTTTATATCCGGTTTCGACGTTGTAATAAAATAATACAATAACTTTTCGACTATATAAGTTAAAGACAAAAATATCCATTTTATATATTTTTCCATATTTTTATTATTTTGTTTACCTTTTTTACTTTTTAGATGTACCATTCAATATAGCTGATCTTCCGGTTCGTCGGCCGTCGATTCAGGACCTTCATCCCGAGAAAGATATTTTAAACGTTTTTTTGAATCCTACAGTTGTTTCAACCGATCATGTCACGATTGGCAATATTCTGGATTTAGATTTCAAAGCAAAGAACTTAAATTACGAGCTTTATACTAAGGATAACACAGAACAACCTGTTTTTTTACGAGTGGGCGATACTGCCCAGCTGAAGGATTCACCGTTTAATTATACGTTGCCAACCAAGATTCTTGTTCACGGATGGACAGATAACGGAAATACTTTTTGGCTAAACGACGTTCGACGAAATTATCTCAGTGTTGGGGATTATAACGTAATTTGTATAAATTGGTTCGCCGGCTCAAACAAGGAATATTTAACATCCGTCAGACTTACACGTCAGGTAAACCTTTTTCCATCTTTTGATTAAAAAAATAATTGAAGTGATAACAAAATCAATGTAAAGACCTTTATAAAATTTTATTTTCTCTCAAGTGTTTTTTTTTTTTTTTTTTTTTTTTATCAAAACGTCCTTTTTCAGGTGGGAGAATACGTGGCTGAGTTTATAGAATTTCTCACATCGGAGACTGAACTCTCCTTCGATAATATTCATATTTTGGGACACAGTCTGGGTGCTCATATAGCCGGATATGTCGGTAATTATGTATCAAAGAAGCTCGGTCGAATTACCGGACTCGATCCGGCCAGGCCAGCGTACGAGACACCCTATCTGAAAGATACAGAAGAACGCTTGGATCCCACAGACGCTAATTTTGTGGATATTATTCATACCTGTGCCGGTAGTTTAGGCTTTCTCAGACCTATTGGCCACATAGATTTCTATCCGAATGGCGGAACATTTAGACAACCTGGATGTCCAGTATTTTCATCTCGTACAGTATACCTTTATATCTGTTTTATTCAAGTTCTCTACAATCTGGAATAACGAAAATGACCCAGTTGGCATTTTCGCAGAGTATTGCAGTCACGGTAGATCACATCAATTTTTTGCCGAGTCTATCGTGCATCCTAATGGATTTATCGCAGTGCAGTGCGCTACTTGGATAGACTTTCAACTAGGTAAATGCAATAATTCCAATACCGCTGTTATGGGCGAATTTATCAGTTCTGATGAACGAGGTATTTTTTATCTGGAAACCAACGCACAACCGCCGTTTGGGAAAAACGAGATACGATAAAAGTAATGAACATTTTTTTATGCAATAATATTTCACACGCTTATTTATGACACAGATACGTATATTTTATTATTAGTGATATATGTATCCCACAGAGAACGTACAAAACTGTAGAAAGTATTTTATTCATTACAAATAATATATTGCAATATAAAATAAGGTCATAATAAAAATTTATACGTATATATGTAAGACAAATTGCATGCAAAAGTAATAGAATATCGCATCAATTTTATTGTTTAAGCCATTTCAACAAGCGTTGTTTCTCCATCGAACGGTTTCTCGATTTCTCCTCCAAATTGCGCGCGATATTTTCGGCGAACTATGTCCCAATCGACGACATTATCTATCCTCAGAATATTTCGAAAAGACGTTTGACTGTTACCCGGGCTTAATTGAAGAAGCGAAAAGTTAATATCGTCTTTTGCTCGCTGTAATGAAAGTGTTTATTTACAAAAACATTAATAATGAAAAGACCGAACATTACATAGTTAAATGATAAAAATTTACGCACAGTAAGTGAGTACTTTCGGAAGTTGTTTTGATGCACATCAGGTTCCACGTATCCCTGTGATTTGCCAATTTTTCGTCGTGTAATTATACAAGCAGTTTTAAAAGACTTCAACAATGTAGTGATGAGATTTAGCGGCGACGGAGCAGTTTTTGTTCTTTTAACAAAAAAAATCAATATATTCTTCTTTTTTCCACATAAATTTTTAATCGAACATTTATATGTTTGCTTACTTTTGCATTTTACGAATTAATTTACTGAGACCGTACTTCCATTCGATATCACTCTGTGATTGAATATTGTGATACGTGTCGCTCATCATAGCAATTAATAAATTAATCAGCACTATCACGCTGACGAGCATGTATAGAGAGAATGACACCTATTGAAAAAAACTTGCTTAAAATCTGAACAGATAATTCTGCATTTGTTTCTTACCTTGAAGAAATAAATCGTCCACTTGGGTCGAAGAAGTTCTTTTCCTTTCGAAATTATAAAGTCTTCGGTGTCTTTTTGGCCGAAAATGGCGAAGAAAAGATTCTCAGTGATTTCGATCGGATTAATTTTCACTGTGCAGACAGAAAAACACATTATTAAACACAACAAAGTCTATCTTATTTGAAATAATTCTTAGCTATAAGTATTATTAAAAATATGTAGCGATTAGATTAAATTTGTTCCTACGCTAATATAGCCGTGTAATATAACTGGGCTGGTGTGTATTTATAAGTAAACGCTATTTAATTGCACAGCCGTAGTTGCGGATTTCAAACTGTACCGCTACTAAAACATGATCGTATCATGTTATCTATTTGTCGTCATTCTGCTTGTAAGCAAAAAATTTGTATATTTACAATTTTTGGACAATTTTATTAATCTAGAAAAAATATCATGTTGACGATAGTCAACTGCGTGTGTCTTTTGATATTTGATAAATATTGCAATCAATCAGAAGAAAATTCAGCGAGATTTGTTATCAAACCTAAAACAAAACATGCGATGAACAGAGCATTATCAATTTTTTCATGAATATATAAACAATTAATAATAATAAACGACAAAGGCAAATATGTTCAGATTTAACACTTCGGTGAAAAGTTTCAAAACGCATTCAAATGCAAATGCAATGAATGCGGCTTGCAAAGTGAGAACTGCGGTTTAATTTGCTGTGTATGCATCCTGTAAAAAAGTGAGAAACAAAAGGAACTGAAATGTTTACTCTGCAAAATGATAATAATATTACAATAAAAGAAAATGTAAATTTTTTAAATTTTATCTCTAATGTGTGATATTACGATTAAAAAAATGCAGATGTTTTTTAAAAATTCAAAAACCAAAGTCTGCAACTTTTTGTGAAGAACAAAAAAATTTTATCGTATACACAAAAAGAGAAACATAGAAAAAATATAGAAAAAACTAAATTTAAACTTGAAATATAAAAAAAATATAAACGATTTTTTTACAGGATATATGTTTATAGTGTGTGCCAATTAGACTTTTTACAACGTGCGAATGATCGAGGAGTGAATTTTGCGAATGAACGCGTTCAACTTTAATAAACGTTTCAACAACATATACATGCTGTTCATCAAGTCTGCGTGTGTATGATAACAATGACGTGAGCTTTGAAGGCACGTTTTTCTATGTACATATATAACGTGATATATAACAGTTCGTATCCTATGTAGATATACATCTTACAGACACGCATATCGAATGCGACGGATTCGTTATACAAAAATATCGCAAGCAACATGATGTAGGCATAATGATCGGTGCGTGCATCGTTGCGAGAGAGAGAAAAAGAGAGCTCGCAATTGCGCTCCGTATATACATGTCGCATGTATAAAAATAAAAAAAAACATTCCAGGTGGGAAGAAAAATTCGTAGTTATATAATAATATCAAACTGACTAACCGTCAAAAGTAACGTGGAATCCCTATGCACACGGGTATTCCCCATGGTAGCCTCTAAAACGTGGTATAGGCAATCGATTAGACTATGGATCACAGGGAATGGGTTTGCTAGCTAACAATAACTGTACAAGCAAGAAACAAGTTCAGACTAGGCGTTTATTTCTCGAAAATACTGACAAGAACCTCCGGGGGGCGATATATACAAATAGATTGTGCGATCGAACGCGTTAGAAATGCGGTAAAAAATCCGCAGAAGAACGAGAAAACTTTGACCTCTCTCTTCCGCGAGAGTTACAGAATATTGTCGTCGATTTATCTTCGTATTCTTTCTGTCGTTCAAGCTCCGAGTAGTGCCGATTTCTCGGCACCGCTCGATCCTTCCAAAGCCGCTAGCGGATTCGACTCCATCGATTCTTTGCTCTCTTCCACCGGCTTCTCGATCTCTTCGCCGTAAAGATCTCTGTACTTGCGTCTGACGACCTCCCAATCGACGACATTGTCGATCTTGACGGTATTGGTGAAGGACAGCTGGCTGCCAAGTGGGCTTATGGGGACAACCGATAAGGCCACACTATCTTTGTGCTCGACCTGCGTGTTCTTTCTCACTTTGGACAGCCATTTAGCACCCATCCTCGAACGGGGAGACAGGCGAGTTGCGCCCATGAGATGCATCAGAGAAGGCCGTTGCTTCTTCTTGGTGAAGCGTTTTTTGCAAAGCTTGTAGAAATACGAGATCCACGTGGTCAGCAGATTAAGCGGCGACGGTGTCGTGGTGGTTCTGTAGCGTGTCAAGAAACGATTAGTGCAACGTATTGTATCATTTATTAACGATAATATATATAATATGAAAAAATATGTGTGTGATAAGTTGAGCATTGTTTTATTTTGTTTTCAGATTTCATATTTCCTTACCTTACCATGTTTCGGACCAGCTTACTGAGTCCATACTTCCATTCGATATCCGATTGAGCCTGTATCCGTTGATAGGTATCGCTCATCATGGCGATCAGAAGATTAATAAGCACCACCACCGACACCAGCATGTAAATACCGAAGGCGAGTTTGAAGAGAACAGTTGTCCACTCGGGCTGGATATTCTCTCTCGACGATATCCTGAAGTCTCCGTGTGTCGTCTGACCGAAGATGGCGAAGAACAACAACTCGACCGCGAATATGGGATTCATTTTGACTGCAAATACGTGTTAACGGTGTGTCTCGTGAAGTGTTTCATGAATGTGAACGTGAATGTGCTTTATGCTTTATGCAACATTCTCTGCTCAGACGCATGCTAATGTTGCTACTACCAAACGTCACAAAAAACAGTCTCTTTCAAGCCATACAACATATGCTGCAACTCGCACGCGAATCGTTTTTGGTTTTTTCGCGGAAAAAATCCAAGCGCGTCTAAAAAAAACGCACTTTATCTATCGCGACTGGTTCTAAGCGTATGAGACGTAAAATGGACTAGAAGACTGCATGGTTTGTACGTGCAATTATCTCGAACATAACACATATCTTTTAAACACTTGAGATATTTTGTTTTATTATGAGGAAACGTTTTTGTTTAAATTAAAATCGTATACTGACCGCCTAATAAACATTAATTAAAATCAACAGCCGAGACTTAATTCTAAAGTGGTTTTTCTATCTAGTTTTTTCTACACAAAAAATCTGTGGATTTAGAATCAAGTCTTATCCAAATTTTAATTAACGTTTAAGATATGATAGTTTTGTCTAGCAAAAAATAACTTTTTTTTAGCCACGAATCGACTGAGATTCTGCATCCTACGAGTGGAAACACTCTATGAGATCGTGAACAAACGATCCAATAAAAGCATCGAGCAAACAAATGTGACGCGGGTTTATGGTGAATTCACAGGCAACATCCGGTTTTTCCGTGCCGTGGAAAAAATATGTATGAAGTGTCGACGAGAAATTGATCCGTATATGTACGTCACAAACAACAGAGGTATGCGTTCCTACGAAATTTACCAATCACGTCGACAGACTTTACTTACTTAGATGCTTAAACGCTAAGCTGGTCGCCGACGCGAGGATCGCGCAAGAATCCTCTATGGTGGTCCCGCTCGATCATCGGGATTTGTATCTGAGGTAGCGAGGTTTAGATTTTACGCGAAACTGTACATGAAGAGAGAGGGGGAGAGAGAGAGAGAGAGAGACAGACAGAAGAGAGAGAGAAAGAGAGGATATATCTTTTCAGCACCTTAAATTTTTCTATAAGCGATATCGAATCTAGTCGCTCGCGTTTGCTCGCACTCCGATTGTGCTGTTTTTCGCGCAGACTCGCTCTCGACGGCATTTCGACGAAGATAATAATAGGGTGACGACGACGATTTATAAGGGCGGATTCGGGACCGTCGCCGGTATCGTCGAGGCGTTCGAAGCCGTCGGTCCGTTCTCGTCCTCATTCTCATCCTCGTCGCCCTTCTCCTCCTTCTCCTCATCTTCCTTCTCGGGTTCGTTTCCGGTCAGAGCGAGATATTTCTTCCTGATCATGTCCCAGTCCACAACGCTCTCGATTCTGGTCGCGCTGTTGAAGGACAGCTGGCTGCCCAGAGGGCTGAGGTGCACCACCGAGAGAGTGACGCTGTCCTTCGGACGGACTTGACCCTTTTTGATCTTGGCCAGCCACTTGGCGCCCATCTTCGATCTGGGCGACAAACGGTCGGTGCGATGCAGCCCCATCATGTGCACTAGCGAGGGCCGTTTGCGCTTAGAGGCGCGCTTTTTGCACAGCTTGATGAAGTACACGGTCCAGGTGGTGAGCAAGTTTAGCGGGGACGGAGCTGTGGTAGTTCTGTAACACGCAATCGCGTTTCCAGCACGGAATGCTCCGTTAACCCCGAATGCAAGCTACTTTAAAAAGACCAAGTCGAGACTCACGAAAGTTGTGCATAATTAAAAGTGAACGATACACCGAGCGTCTTTATTCGTTCGCGCGTGAAAACGCGATGGCGGGGAAAACGCGAGTTTGCGAAAGTGACGTTTAACTTTCTATTTATAATTCCGCAAGGCTCCGCGCTTGAGGGAATGAAAGAAAAGATAACGTAAATTTACTATTTTCGCCGGCCCGTGTTTTTGGTTATCGGTGGCGATTATCGTAGTGGATACATGCACGTCTACTCGTGTCTGAAGAGGTCGCGGGCTTACCTGTGCATGTTTCGGATCAGTTTACTGAGCCCGTATTTCCACTCAATGTCGGACTGCGCCTGTATCCGTTGATAAGTGTCGCTCATCATGGCGATCAGCAGATTAATCAACACCACTACCGAGACCAACATGTACACGCCAAAGGTCAGCTTGAAGAGTACCGAGGTCCATTGCGGCTGATTGTTCTCAACCTTCAGCTCGCTGTGGGTTGTTTGGCCAAAGACGGCGAAGAACAGGTACTCGAAGGCGAGTACTGGGTTCATCTTTACTGGAATTACGAGGCACACACACACACACACAAGACGTTTCTTGGGTAGCTCTACAGGCTGATGTTTTCTTTGACTTTGTTTTAGTTCATTGCTTTGTGCCATTACAGACTGGCTACTACTGGTGGTTAGTACTCGCTATTGTATGCGCACGTGAGCTTCCACAACGTATATAACAAACGATCGAGCGAGCGAGCGAGCGAGCGAACGAACGAGCGAACGAACGAACGAACGAACGAACGAACGAACGAGCGAGCGAACGAACGAACGAACGAACGAACGAACGAACAAACGAAGAAACGAACATGCTCATGCTTGTACATATAGGCTCTGGCCATGCTCTGCAGCTGCGGCTGCGAACTAACGCCGGATGCATGCCATAATCTTCTTATTGCAGGTTGCGATCATTGTTTCATGATACATAGTACCACTTCATCTTTCAGCTTCGTTGCTCTAATCTGTCTTGCTTTTACATTCTATTCGCATTCTTAAATGCTTTGCTAATCCTCGTTTTTGTGTTCTATTCGTCATGTGTTAATTTATCTTTGTTTTTTTTTTTAAATGTACAATGGGTCCATTTTGCTAACCAGAAATACGTTATTTCAGTTCAATGTGCGCTCTCTTCTCGAAGTGGTCGAGATAAGGGACTACATTTTGGTCGATCGTGCACTCGGTGCTGAATGAGAAAGAAGGGCGCGAGATTTGGACACGTACTGCACATACGTTTTGCAGTGGAGGAAATGATGCGGCATGCAGCTCGAGAATGCACGATTTCCTTGCTTTGTCTGGCTTGCACGATTCCAAAGGCAGACGCATTACATCGCGCAAATATATACGCATGCAAGGACACAAGAGGAAAAGGAGAAACATTAATTTTCTTTTTGCTCGAGGTCGTCCTATGACGATCATTCGGTGGGGGGAAAAACTGTGCGGACTGTGACAGGGTGACTGTTTTTTGCGGAAAAGAACAGTCCGCACAAAACAAAATAAAAAGATCGGTCGGATTGTCACACACATAAAAACAACCGTGCGATTGTTGATGCACATCATGAAAACTCAGACACCATCGGTGTTCACTAGCATAAACGGTTCTAACAAACTCACAAACAATAATACAACGCAAGATGTATATTAAGTACAGAGATACACACACACACGCGCGCGCGCGTACATACACAAATATGTGTGCGTTATGTATGTAAGTCCATAACGAAACATATACGTACAAGAGCGAGACACGGAGATGCACACGGGCAGAGGCTGTGAAAGAGACACGAGTACATATGCTCCGGCAATAATGCTAATCGTTAACTAATTGTCCACACGCGCGTTCGAGCTCTCAGATCAATTCAATTTTATTCATTCGGTATGCTACGATGCGGATGCTTAGTCACCTACAATCAAAGTTTTATATAAATGAGCTTCAGATCCGAACAAGATCTGATCTGAAGAAGTGTATTGAAGAAAAAGAAAAAAAAAGATACTTCTGATCTGCGGCTTTATGTTGTACTTTAGTTAAAAAATTTAATTGCATTCTTAATTATATCTTCTGTTATTGTTAACATAGTCTGTCGAGTGCTTTTTATAACTTTTATTGAAGCTTCCGAATCATAGCATACAATGAATCAAGAGAGTGATATATTCTTGAGATATTGTGTAGTTTCTGTTTTTTTTTTTGTTTTTCTTTTTTTGTCATATCAGGCAGCAGTCTCAGCAGACAACACACACTGGCCAAATGCACGATGCAGACGAAACGACACCGAAATGGATCGTGTTCTGCATTCAATTTCGCGCGTGCCGTTGGTTTTTTAAATTTTATTTTCCGTTCAGTTGTCTGATTAATCTTTTCCAACCAGCAAAACTTACTATCTCTGCTGTTATCGTCACAACACTCATTCTTTTTCTTGTAGCGGCCGTAGCGACGAGGAGTCGCCGGTGATGGCGTCTCCATCATCCATTCCGTAACATTGGCCAACAAATCTATCATCGTAATTCATTCATCATTATGATTTTGTATTGATCCGCAATTCTCTGAATGTGATCGTCATAAAGATTTATTTGAAAAAATTTCGATAAATAATTATCGCAAAAGATGATAATCGAAGAGATAAACGATCTATACGCAAACTGATATCATCAGTGAGTTTTTCACAAGGAAATAACTTTAGCGGAAGGGGAAGATGGAAGGTTTACAATCTAATATTTCAAAAAAAAATATATATATATATATGATTTCGATGAGTCTTGTTTTCGATGATACATGAAGCATCGAAATATACAACTTCATCGAAATTATATCAACTTTGAACTCTCTTCTACCATAACACAGAAGAGAAAGAACGCGATTGCCGATGTATGTAAGAGAAATTGTTATTTTGATACCCACGCGCGAATTAGCATCTGCGTGGGCGGAAGCAACTGTCTACATCCTGTCAATAAAACCGCGTCGAAGCGATTGCCAATCTAAGATCTAGCCCTACGTAAGTTAGGTATATCTACATGTCTACGGTATCTACACACAGTATATGTGCGCGTATATATCCTATTAGAAGACGAGACTGTAAGAAATTAATTAACTACGCCACCAGCTCTGAATTGGCGTCACACAGGACATGTAATACGAGAAAAAAATCGACCGTAGGAATGAGAGAAATACTATAACAAGATACAATTGCTAAGTTTTTAGAACTTACCGTCGTAGAAAGGTTTCTTTTTCTTTCTGTCCTCCTCTTCTGCTTCTGTAGGCGTCTGGTTCTTGAACGCTTGATTGAGCGCGACAAAATGCATGGAAAAACCAAAAACGAAGATGGCTAGCACCGCGAGAAATCTAGCGAGGTCCTTCATCAGATTGCCGATGATGATAGCCCAAGGTCCGAACAGATGATGGAACGAGAGGAAATCCAAGATCTGCACGCAAGCTAGAAGAAAACTGATCGCGAATAGCTGGTTTCTCAGGTAGAGCAACGTCGGCCAATACGGCCTTCTAACGGCCACGAATCCTAGTAGATGAAACGCCACGCCAAATATTCCAAAGAGCAGCACCGCCAGTTTGATCCAGCCCAGGCCGCTCTTGTCGCTGGGATTTGTCAGTTCGAATAGCAGCAGCCCCGACAGCATCACCAGCAGACACCACTCGTACCAGTACGGTATGAGACTGGCTCTCACCACCGGGTAGATTGGCGTGATGCCGACCAGTAGAAGGAATATCATCAAATAAATGTGCGACGTGAGGTACGACATGAACTTGATGATGGGCACACTGTTGTACTTGTGACCGAGCGGAAGAGCAAACACTATCCAGACCGGGGGACATATGAGGAAGGCGATGAATAGCAGACTCGTCTGAAATGTGCTCCAATTAAGGCTGCCATGCCACAATTCTTGAAGATAACGCTGCACCACTGTGTGCGCGATCACTTCCTTTTGTTCGTTCTCGATTAAAACATCGAGAAACTCAACGTTCCTGCGATCCATCGATGTCAATATCCTACCGGCCGAGTCTGCGCCTGCTGCCAAAGCCAATAATTCAGTGGCCATGGCTTCGCATTGCTTTCCAGCTGCGATTAAATCCTTAGCACGTTCTTTCTCTTTCTCGGAAAGCTTCATGTAGATGTTGGACAGCTTAGCAGCCGTGTCAACTGGAGCTGGCGATACCAAAACAAACTCTTCTATGGGCTTGTTGTTATGACTCTTACTGCAGACCATCATGTTGTAGACGAACTACAAAGATATAAATTGTTGAGGTCATCAAAAACTAAAATTAGAGAGACGGTCATATTCGGATTAATTTTTTCAGGATTAATTTAAAAGACTGAAACTTATTACGTACGTTTTCTGCAATGATTGTGAGTTTCATATATATATATATAAATATACATACACGACAATGATACCGATCTTGCTTTAGAGTTATTCGAGTTGTACATTCATTATCAATAAATTTTCGTTCACAAAATTATCGTAATTGCGTCTCGCGTGCGCACTTAACATTAAAGTGCCAGTTTATTAGATCGGTTTATACTGACTTCATTTGACGAAATGAGTAAACTTTCCGAATGTCGTGCAACTCTTATTCTCACGAAACATTGCTACGGTGTTTAAAAGCTAGCGCATAAAATAATTGGTCTAAGTAGTACTACGACAATTATTTCGACGCGCTGCGGACAATTTGCGTGTAAACTGACTAATGCAGAGTATAATCGTCATAAATTTGGTAGTGTATGTGTCTTATCAAATCAAATATCTCACCCGTCTATCTTCCATCAAAGCGTACGTGTCGTGCTCTTTTTCCATAAGGTACTTGAGCACATCGTTGTGACCCTCGGATGCGGCAAACCAAATCGGAGCACAGCCGAGATTTGTCTCGCTTTTCGGAGACGCGCCGCTTTCCACGAGCAGTTTCACAACATCGAGATGACCAGCGCGCGCCGCGCAGTGCAACGGCGTCCAGCCGTTCTTGTCGGTGGCGTTTATTTCCGCTCCTTGACCCAGAAGAACCTCAACCATCTGATAGTGGCCGTGAGTGGCAGCGATGTGCAGTCCTGTTTTGCCGTAACGATCCGCGCTGTGCAGCAGCTCAGCCGATCTGCTCAGCAAAAGGCCCACGACGGTTATGTGACCACCGAAGCAGGCCAGATGTAAAGGATTCCATCCATTTTCCGTTGTCGCCGCCTCTACCTTCGGTCAGAACATTCTCGTATTTCAATCTAAGTCTTTTTAATTTGACATTACCTATGGCTTATATACAAATTAAGTGATTAAATTATTTAATAAGATATATTGCACAATTTACATCTGATCGATTTCATACCTGAACTCCCGCAGAATTCAAAAGAAGTCGTACGACGTTTTCGTTTCCAGAATAGGCAGCTAGATGAAGCGGAGTCATTCCTGATTCAGCTCCTAATTCTCCTACTAGAGATCCTCCAGTTGGTGGGTCAGATTTCACGGTTCCGGGTATATGAGTTAACAATTCTCTGACCGTATCTAATATCAAAGTGAATTAATTTTCATTTATCACATAATTCATGTATAAATATTGGAAGAGAAGTTCGTCAACTTTGACTCACCAGCTTGCCCAAAATAAGCAGCAACATGAAGCGCGGTGACGCCAAGCTTCTTGCTAGATATCCTAAGAGATTGTGTGGATCTCATCACTTCGAGTACCTGACCGTGGCCGTGTTGAGCTGCCAGATGAACCGCGGTGAAACCTGCGCGATTTTCATCCGCGCAGGACGCTCCAGCTCTAACCAGAGCTCTTACTACTTCAGCGTGACCGCCTTCCGCTGCCAATTGCAGAGGAGTCGCTTCCGTTAACTTATTCCTGGCGCTTATTACACCTTGTCTGTCGAATCTCATCAACTCTTCGATCACACGAACGCTTCCCTGCATGGCGGCAATGTGGGCACAGGTGTTGCCATCTTTGGTACAAGCCATCACAAGACTCGCGTGTCTCTGCAAGAAGAGCTGCGCCACCTCAGCGTAATTGTTCATGGCCGCAGCGTGAATCGGCTTTTGTCCTTGATCGTCTGTGGCGTCTATACTGGCGCCAAGTTCCAGCAATAGTCTACAGACCTCCAACTGACCAGCACCCGCCGCCAGATGAAGAGGAGTTTGCTTTCTCAAGGTGAGCACGTCTATCGCGGCACCATGATCTTGTACGAGAAACCGCACCAGATGTGTGTAGCCGTTCATTGCGGCCAAGTGCAGAGCGGTTCTGCCTACGCGCGATTTTGAATTGATGAATGCCTTGTTTGCTAACAGCGCGTCGCACACTTGTAGATACCCGTGTTCAGCGGCCAAATGAAGAGCGGATCTACCCTCGAGATCGAACACGTCGACTCTGCCGTGATTAGCGAGCAAAGTGGTGACCAGTTCCATGTGACCGCGGTGAGAAGCAATCAACAAGGGCGTCCAGCCTACGGCACTCTGACGGTTCAGAGCTTTTTGAACGTCCGTAGCCGACATACGACTGATCATCTCTTGCAAGACCTCGTTGTTGCCCGCAAGAGCACAATAATGAAACGCCGATTCCTGTGCCTGTTTAGTTTGCACCGAGACATCTGCTCCGTTGTCGAGAAGAGCGCGTATGATAGCGCGATCTTCACCAGGTATTTCGACTTCCGAAGGTTCGATCTGAGCGGCATAATGGAGAGCACTGGCACCTTCATTTGTCAGACTGTTTACGTAAGCAGTTGCCACTTCCGGACCCTTCTTCTCCTTTACGAACTCTATCAAATGCCGAACCACATCTGCTCTGCAACCCTTGCAGGCTAGATGCAAGGGCGTTTCTCCGTTCTGAGGAAAATTAAAATTATCTTGTGACAAGCAAAGACTTTTAATTGCAAAAAGCAAAGAAGATAAGACGGTTGTAGAATAAACTTTTATTTTCACAGAGATTTCTAAAAAAACTAATCAATCGTTGTTTCTTTTTTGTAGATATACTTTTGACTTAAACATCGGATCTCCTCCATCGTCGAGGAGTAGTAGAAGAGTCGCCAAATTTCCGTGGCTGGCTGCCACGTGCACCGGCGTTTGACCGTCGTCAGTTGTCAAATTGGGACCTGCTCCGGATTTCAGCAACATCAGTGCGCATCTGTCACCGTCGGGTACTCTAGCGGCTATGTGAAGCGGAGTCTCCCGAAGTTTTCCACCTCTGACGTGCACCTCCGCGCCGTATCCTAAAAGGGTTTCTACGACAGCCGGTTTGGCACTTTCTACGGCTATGTGGAGTGCTGTGTAGTTATCATTGGTTATCGCGTCCACCTGTTCAATAAAACGTAGAAAAAAGAAGATAAATTTATCATGATTAAAAAGTTTGATTGAACTATCGCACAACGCGATAGTGAATATAAAACTTACTTTTTCTCCTCGTTGCAGCAGAGTACTGATAATGCCCACATGACCGTACTTTGCGGCCGTGTGAATGGATCTGGCGCCCCGTTTGTTTGGCATGTGCAGATACACACCCTTCTTGAAGAGCATGGTGGCACATTCCGAGTGTCCGTTCAGCGACGCTATGTGCATTAGAGTGGAACCGTCTTTCGTTCTTTCAAATATGCTTGCTTTGAATTTATCGGCCAGTAATTCGATGATGGTTGCGTGGCCGTTCTCTGCGGCCAGATGCATAGGCGTTCGATCCTGATGATCGGTGATCGAAGCGGACGCTCGGACACCGTAAAAATATTTCACTAAAGTCTCATCACCCTCGGCGCTCGCTATGTGTAACGCGGTCTGTCCTTCGCCCTAGAATTATTTTCCTTCTTGTTACTTTAAATGTTACTCAACAGCGTTACATTGTAACGTAAATATAAAAAATTAGAAAACTACTTTTATTTTATATCTCTGTGCCGTGATTAGAAAATCAGAAGAGATTTCGCGCGTGTTAACGAAATTTCTTCAAGAAAAGTGCGATATTTCTCGGACACTAAATGCTAGTAGTTTTCTTTAATGCATGTCGTTGTTAACTGAGAACTTAGTCCATTATACTTGGCCGACGCAGTGCGACAGTTGTACTCATTTATTACGCATGCACGTTTTCACGGACGTCTTATAATTAATTTTTTTGACGCGCAACTATGACTCGCGCCGCGCATATAGTTGCGCGACAACGAAACGAGAAAATGTTAAAGGTCAATAAAGAGTAATTTCGAAAGGTATATATATATATATATAAGTGCAGTTACAACGCGAACTTTGGCGCTTGTCGCAAATTTTACGACCGTCGTGTTCCCATTATTGCTCATTTTAGGTACATAAACTTTGTTGTTTCGTAGCGATGTTTGCAGCAATGTATAAGTCACGTGCGTCACTTATGTACGGCAAGTATGATCGATCTGAAGTTTCGTTATTTACATTACTAGCGGCGTTAAAGCTTAAACTGAAAATGGAAGTTCGGTAGTTGCAACATAAACCGCAACGTAATCATCTTGCATTCAAAACTCACATTACATTTTCATTTTACTCTAATCTTTACGTATAAAAATTTTGTACATTTTGTTTGTTTAAAATTAAAACAGTCAACAACATTTTATATATATTTTATAAAATGTTTTAATTTTATTTATTTTGTTATTTAGACAATAAAACAGATAAATCAAACGGTTGTAAAACTACAAACAAGCTAATTAAATATCGCATGTGGTGATTTGCTATAGTACAAAGACGATAAAAAAGGAAATGTGCATGGCGTTGTATAATTTGCGTCGAAATACTACGTAATTGGCAAAGTTCCGACAATGCCGTTCGATCACTGGCTTAATTTCAGATCTTCGTGTTCGAATTTCTAACGTACATTTTGCATGTCGACGGATGTGCCGTAATCCACCAGAATCCGCACCATATCGATATCTCTTCTTCTGGCGGCTAAATGCAAAGCGGAATCACCTGACGGTGCGGTGGCTCGAAGCTGATCGGGCGCTTGTTGTGACAACAGTTCTCGACACATCGACTGATTACCAGCCTCCACTGCTAGTAGAAGAGGTATTTTTCCTTTCTGCGATGGAAAATGTTCAATAAATTGATAGAAGTAGAAGATAGAAAAGTTTTCTTCTACGAGCTATGTGGAAAGATTTTTTATTTTCAAAACAAATTGAGAGTAATTGTAACAGTAGAAATTTATCACCTTGTCGCGTTTGAAAGAATTGATATAATAAATGGCTAGAGAGAGAGAAGAACCTTCATGTTTATCCAACATATCTAAATGGAACATATTGAAATATCTCACATCATTGTTTTTATCTATAGACGACCGGCGGTCGTGATTGTTGGCGTTCGTCGACTTCTCTTCGGATCGTCGTGGCGTCGTACGACGACGGGGTGCATGACAGGGAACAGGAGAGACAGAAAGGACAAAGTTACCAAGAGAAGAGTTATGGCGCCGTTCGGTACCAGGTAGCGATCTCTCGGCGCGCGGCACCTGTCACGCGAGAAACGCGGACGCGAAACGGGAGCATCGTGCCGCAGAAAAATCTTTATCCTCGTATCCAATTTCGCGTTTTGGGGCCAAAATAACATGCATTTACAATAGCATCGCTCGCGATTAATTTGTTCTAAATATCGATGAAAATTGACTTGAACTGCGAACTCTTAAAAGAGATACACACACGTTTGAGTTTCTCGTTCATCTTTTGTTTCCAAAATAATTGTTTTTGTTTTACTTACACCGTCGATCTTTAGTCTGATGTCTCGGCCAGCAGCACCCAAAAGAGCTCGTAAAATCGACGTCGCGGTGCCTGTTTGTCTTGACGCCACCAAGTGAACCGCCGTTTGTTGTCTTGGCTATGTGTGGTAATGCGTAATTATATCTCTCGAGAAATTATGTGATTGTTTTAATTCTCTATACATAGGACAAGTAATTATGTAAGTTTTTTTGCCGAAATAGATTTCTTTAAATTAAAAAAGTTTTCGTACCCCTCCCGTGGCGTAAGGATCAACACCTCTCTTGGACAGCAACAACTTGACAACGTCTTCTCTCGAATACATAGCAGCGATGTGAAGAGCATTATAATTATCCTGCGGAAAGCAATAAAAATTCTTATGTTATCTCAGAAACGTTCGTCTCGAACATTTTATTCAAAAGTTGTGTAAATATCTAAAACATGTAACGTACATCATTTTGACAGCTCTATAATTGATAAACTTTTAATTGCATCACGGATCAAATCTTGATCTGTGAAAAATCTTGACTCGTGTATTTTATCAGTCAATCTAACATACGACGATATTTATAGAAATTAAGTAATAAGATGATGTTGTGAAACTTTCGCTATCAATAAGCTCGGACTGATCCAAGCAATATTTCTAGCTTACGAGCGTATCAGCGCACCATTTGAAAATTATATCGGAATAATTCTGGGAGTGGTAGGTGGAAGATCGATAATGATGTGCTACGCCTTGCACGCGTTTACAAAGTGATGGTCTAATGTAGGCTAGCTATTCATAAAGACACGCACTCTTACTCACATTACAACGGACGTAATGTTGTTTGTAAAGAATGTTTAATTTTCTTCATATGCTATACCATAATGTGCAATAACGAGAATAAAAGTTTTTATCAGTAACGATATCGCAATAGAGATTGCAAGCTTTTGTTCTGTTACAGTTCTACGTCAATTCCTGGTAAAGAATTAAGGCAATTTACTCGTTCTTTTTGTTTTTCCTGCCTTGCTTAGATGAACGTGTAGCAAAGAGTCGTTACGAGTTAGGCTTAACAGCGGACAACTTTAATGATTGATATCGGTCAAACGCCAATAAGCGCCAACAGCATACTTCGAACGAACTTCCAAAATATCTATAGATACCATTAGCAATAAAAGAGTTAATCTAAGAATCGGAGCAGTTTTTTGTTGCGACTACGACCGGCCTACTTGTCTCTTGACGCGAGTTACCCCGTCTTGTCCAGTCGGTCAGTAAGCACAAGCTCCTTGACCTTGGCCCTCCTTCACGCAATCGTTCCCTCCACTTGCCACTTGGGTGACTCGACTTTAGCACAGATTGCGGCCTGATCATTAGCTGTACACGTTTCGTGGCACGCGTCACCTTCGCCGGTGCCACGTAACCCCAACACGAAAGCTTATCGCGACGGCAATGAATCAAAGACCATGATGATGAATCAAATCTTTTTCATTTAAATTCAATATTTCTACAATTCACACATCGCATTTGTTATTACTTTTTCTTTTTAAATCCGTTACAGATAACAAACTTTCTCAACGTTATTAGTCAGTGATTAAGCGATTTGCTTCATTCGCTCGTTTATCATTATCATGAAGTACTTGCATTGTTTCTGGCGCCTACGTCGGCTCCGAGCTCGATCATTCGGTCGAGCAGCGCGCTGCGATTGTCCTTTACTGCGTACATCAACGGCGTCATTCCCGTCGTCTGCAAATCAAAAGCTTTCGTCGAAAAATGCGTAAACGTGGACGTGAAATATCGTCAGCAAGAAACAATCTGTCAATTAATCTTTGATCTGCATGATCGTTTTATCTAATAAAGATTTTCCAAAAAGTTTTTAAGAATTGATCTTCCATAGCTGTATAGTTCTTTAAATATATATTAAAACTTTTCTTTAAACATATGTTAAGTTTTCTTTGATGATATACGAAACTAACCGAGTCCAAGACGCCTGCGAGCGGCGCGATAAAGTTATCTTCACCCGCGCTCTGCACCGTCTTCTCCAGAGACTTGAGCAGCTGGTCCACTGGGGCCCATTCGCCCCTTGCGGCCAGACCCAAAAGTCTCTGGGCCCCTTCTCGAGCGGTAGCGCCAGCCGAGCTGGGCTTACTTCCGGGTTGCGATGGTTCACCTCCGGTCGCACCGCCATTGCTCGCTGTTGAGGCTGAACCACCATCATCTTTGCCACCCGACGGACTGTCCTCTTTACTAGAGGGATTCTTTTTGTCGTCCTTGCCTCCCGGAGGTTTCTTGCTGTTACTACTCATGCTAGATCGTACGATCTCTCCGCGTAGAATGTGAACATGATTAACTCGAGTGATTCACTCTCGTGAACAGAACTGCACACCGTTTACGAAGAAGAAAATTACGACACTATTAAGTAGATACGTCTTCGTTTGGTGTGACGTACACGAGCGAATAAAGAATACAATAATTCACATTTTCACATAACAAATATGTCTCTCTAAAGAGCAGATTTGCTTTATCATGGAGATGCGACTAGAATATTTATAATTATTGTATCAAACATCCGCAGTTTATACTGATAACAAAATGTAACTACAAAGATATGCCTCCAAATGCTACAAAAATTTAATGTTCCTTAATAATATAATTGATGCTTTTTTTAATTTTAACAAATTTTTTCGCGTTTGCGACATGAAAAAAGTGTCTTATCACAAATTTAAAAGTTTTCACAGTTTAGCACTGCTGATTATTTTCTTAATCAGTCTATTGTATCGAAAGTAAAAATGATGTTAACCGCACGGTTATCCTAACGATTCTGGAAACAGTACTGTAATCGAGAGGGTTGAAAAGACGAGAGAGGGTTGCCTTCCTTCGGGGCTCGCTCGCGCTCGGCAGGATCGACCAATCGCCGACTTGTTCTCGGACTTCGTAGGGTAACGTTGCACCAACACTTCGTTACCCGCAATTTGCACGGATTTGCGTCTCACATACATAGGCCAATCTCGCGGTAGGCCGTGCTGGTCGTTGGTAGCAGGGTAAGGAAATCAAGCGGAGGTGGTGGGCTCAGGGTGGAAGAAGGGCGAGAGCCACGGAGGGGCTGTTATGGCTGCCGTCGACACGCGACTTCCGGACCAGCCTGGCAGGCACGCTATCCGTCTATCTTGAATCCACGGACTTCTGCCACGGCTTTGAATAACGCGCGGGTCTCTCGGTTTTTTTTGCTTCTTCTCGCTCGACATCAAGAGGATCGAATTCTCCGTATATTTAGTGGCGAGACGAATTTTAAGAGGCTGTATCAAATGATAACACTGACGTCTGTCTTCTCTTTCCTTTCCTTTTTCCTTACTTAGAAATGATCGTAACGTTCTTCGAAGAAACTTCTTTCCTGCTACTGTTGACGAAGGCGTATAAGAAAACGCGAAAGCCGCGTGATAAGAACGTTACACGTTGGGATTTGTAATTTTAATTTTATAACGTGGAAGTTTTCAATCTTAAATTTTTATTCAATTTTCACGTTACTAGAAAACTCTCCGCGGGAAATTCTTCTTTCTTGCGTAACGCCTAGCGGAACGTTATTATATTTAACTTGCTAATTGATACCTCGAAGCGAAACGAAGAAATGACATTGCTTATATGCAAAGATGTCAATGTTCTCTCTCTCTCTCTCTCTCTCTCTCTCTCTCTCTCTCTCTCATTTATGTACATATATTTATACATATGTATGCACACAAACATATGTACATATAATATATACATATCTGTAGATAATATTACAAAATATTACAAAAAAAAAAATATTTTCATTGTTTCTATAAGATAGGCATTAAAAAAATATACATTACAACATTGCAATATTTTAACAACATATTACAAATGATTGAACTTGCAATAGTTTCGCAAACGATATATGTATACATGTCAATGACATCTGCAATAACCTTGATAATAATATCGTTGACCTTATTGTAGTTTATTACGCGTTCATCATTCCCACGGATCTTCTAATAAACGATAACAAAGTTCAGTTCGTCTGCATTACGTTCTCTTGATCACGTCATCAATATAAGATGTGAAGTAAGTCTTCGAGAGCATTTCATTCAGTAACACACAGATCAGTCAAATGGCAATACCGTCCGCATTGCAGTGGAACTTCTGCTCGTGATATATTCCGCACTAAACGCATTAAATCACCGTAAACGTGCCGGATAGTGTTTCGTAATTTATTTCTCAATATCGTGTACGTATACATGTGTGAGAGAGAAAGAAAAGGTTGATATCATTTATAAGAAAAAAAAAACAGATAAGATTGATAGTAAGAGAACATCGTGTGATTCTGAGAGTAACAGCATGATGCTGCATTTTTAGGAATAATGTTCTTTTTCTTGATAAAAGATCTATTTATGCTTGCTTTAGTGTACTTTTATGCTTTAGTTCGAAAGGAATGTACTCTTTTTTTTATGCTTTAGTTAATTTTACCGACCAGCCAGTTGCTTGCTTGAAACGTTGTAATGTTTTGAAAGAACTCACATTGCCAATATGCAAGACGTAAAGTTTCAAAATTTTAAGACGTAAATGTACTGAATATATGCCATATACATACAGTAAATTAATTTACTTCAGTGTAAATAGCAGATGTTTCAATGTAAATAGCAGATAACGCACAATGACTATAGATAGTACTGAGAATGTTGTTATAACTTCCGTTGTTACGTAACGTTGTTGTAAACTTAATCATATGTTTAACTAAAATCATATTTTTCGTTTCTTGAATTATGCAATAGCAAGTAAATTGCATTTTGCTCTTTTAACTATTTACAAAATATTCTTAACCGTTATCAGATTTTACTCGTGGGGGAAACTGCTTATAACGCGTGTGAAGGTTGTACATCAGTGTGTGCCAAGTGATTGTAAAGTTAACGTTTTTGTGTTTCTCTCTTCACCCTGACAAGTATTTCTTTTATTTCTTTATTTTAATTTGTAACTTTATAGTGTATCTATGTTATTTATTCGTTATTTATTTTGTTTATAGCTAACAATTATGTTATAGTTCTCGATTTTTTACTTTAAACGGGCCTGATGTACTTTCTGCAATTTTAACCAGGTGAGTGTTCATATATTTTTTGGTTATAATAAATAAATGAGGCTGTACTATGATTATTTTAATTTATAATGAGCAAACTAAAATTATTTTTTTATATTCATTGATGTAGTTTGTCACTGAAGAAGATACAACACAAGGATCTAAACGTCTGACGTTCTAAATAAAGTATTCCATTACACACAAACATCAAGTGTTTTGTCTCGTAATGGGCTTCTAATTTCTTTACTAAACGTTTCGACAGCAATCTCAACTTTTTCTTAAAATGTTTTCTCTCTCTTCGTTGAGTTTGCAACGTATGTTTGCATCCGGAAGTTTAAAACACAACTATTCGCGATGTTTTTCAATATTGCACATCAGACTCAGAGGTAAGTAAAGAACATTTATTAGTAATTGTAGCGTAATCGAAGATCGCGTAAGTTTAAAATAATCTATATGTGTAAATAAAATAATATACATAAAGATACACAAAGTTCAAGGTCATCATATACGTGTAAGCATTACGATCAATTGTTACAGAGAGACATCAAGTTCAAAAAGCGAACATTCAAACGAGGGCTAATTTGTCTCAAGCAATCAAGGTCTCTCATTTGATCAGTTCAAATGATTCACCTTTACTAGACAAAACCATTGGACAGATAGTGAGCGAGGCGGTTGCAAAATGGCCTGCGCGAACTTGTATAATTTCGAATCATCAAAATATTCGTTTAACTTATTCCGAGCTTCTTCGACGGGTGGATTCGTTGGCTGCGGGCTTCAAGAAGTTGGGTCTGAAGAAAAACGATCGGCTGGGTCTCTGGGGTCCGAATGATCTCGAATGGTACTTGACCGCTCTGAGCGCATGGAGAGCGGGATTGATCGCTGTCGCAATTAATCCCGCCTATCAGCAGAATGAAGTTGAGTACTGTTTGCAAAAAGTTGGCGTGAAAGCGATCGTCTCTCCCGCCGCATTCAAAACGCAAAATTACCCGAAGATGTTGCTTGCCGCCAAACAAGCGTGTCCTACTCTGGAACATATCATCATTTATTCTCCTGATCACATAACGTAAGTGACTTTGCCCGAAAGTGCAAACTATCCGCATATCTGTCTATAAACTGAGGACGCGCTTCTCTGCGAGAAGAGAGGGGCGATTCTTTCGTGTGAGAGCTTTTAACGTATTAGAACGCTTTTCTCGCTGATTCGTGAATATCGCGTGAGTTCTCGTACTTTGGCTGACGGAAACCTTTCGCTCGACGCGAAATGGATTAAGAACACGATGTGTGGCGGTTATTGTATCGAACATCTTGTGTGCTCACATTTTATGCAGCTATCTCTTTTATGCATCGAATCATTTTTGTTTTCCATCACAGAAAGTAATTGAAATGTCACATGACATGGCAATTATCTCTTAAAAAATAATGTAGATTCGATTATATTGTACACACATGGAACAACATTCTGTACAAGTCATTTAGATGTTCATTAGATGTCACATGGAACGTCCATTAAACGTCTAATGTCTGTGTAAGGTGGTATTATAAATAACCAAGATATTCGTCGAAGTAAAAAGCTAAGTGCATAAATATTCTGTTTCATGTTACAAGAATAGTGTATCGATCTCAGTTCTTATAAAGGAGACGAAGATTGCGCGACTTTTCAAGTACTGGGAAGGATGATAGGATTTAAAATAAAACAGTTGCGACATCGAAGCGAGCGTTCTCGATCTTCGATCTTACGAGACTTTATGAGGAACGGAATCCCGTTTAACATATTTTTGTCGTCGTAAGATTTCGCATACCTCAATTTTTTTTTGCTGCTCGGCCGACTTGACTAACAATCTCGCGTATTGGAAGAATCATGGTGCAATTAGGCTAATGGCTTTGCCGAGGTCTACTCATTCGCCACGTCACTGAAAAAAACGTTGCAAGCGATATAAAGCACGTTAAATTTATAGAGGCACGCGTCGTTTGGCCGACGTCGAAGCTTCGCCAACGCAAGCGGAAGTGGACGCGATCGCCGCCACGCAAAACGAGATATCCTGTCACGACGGATGCAACATACAGTTCACGTCCGGTTCCACCGGAAGGTCCAAAGCCACACTGATTTCACATAGAAGTCTTGTAAACAACAGCAGGGAGGTGAGATAAAAACAATGCAATTTAAAACACTTTCACAAATAACCGCGGTGTACAAATTTATTTATAAAATTGACTTATTTAATCTTTATTTTTACAAACAAAACAAAAACGTCTGATTTGTGTATTTTAGAAAAAGTCATTTCATTTTTGTTTCAACAGGCTGGATTAAGGGCAAAGATAACGTCCGAGGATACAATTTGTTTAAATGTGCCATTCTTCCACGCTTTCGGATTGGTAATGGCTCAATTAATGATGTTCCACACGGGGTGTGTTCTCGTTCTAGAAGGACGCTCTTTCGATCCGGCGAAAAGCTTGCAGGCGATAGCCAAGGAAAAGTGTACTATAACGTACGGAACGCCAACTATGTGGGTAAGCAAAAACCGAGATGTGTGTACGTACAAGTGTGGACACATGTAAATGGATGAGAAAAATGAAACACGAGAAGGGGGAAAAACCAGTTAACCGGCATTTCGAAGAAGCAAGCTGAAAAGTTGGATTATTGAAAAAACTTTTCGTAGAAAAAACTTTTGGTAGATGAAGAAGAGATAACGTATCAAACATATTGTGTGATAACATATCAAATATAAAAATTCAAATATAACAAGTGACAAAACGCTGATATGTTTTTGCCACGAGCAATTTGAAGTATAAACTTGCCTTGATTTGTTTTAACATAAAATCGATATAAGATTAATCTGTTTGCAACAATTTATGTACAATTTGCATATATTGTATTATCAGGTAAACTTACTCGAGGCACAGCAACGATTACAATTATCGATTGATTCTCTCAAGGCAGGCACCATTGGTGGTGCACCCTCTCCTGCTGAACTCTTCAAAAGAATACGAGGAATACTTCGCATCGAGAATATGATGGTAAATTCTGTCGTTTAACTTGCAATTACATCATAAAAATTTTCTTAGAAGAAACATATTACTATTTTCTCCTCTACTAAGAAGTTTGAATTTGTTACAATGATGAACACTTGGAGTTACAGAGCATATATGGTCTCACAGAAACGACAGCTGTAACATTTCAATCGTTCCGCGAAGAAGATAGACATTTAACAGAAACCACTGTTGGTCATTTGGGAAACCATGTCGAAGCAATGGTACACATTTAATTTATTTGTTTATTCTGCTGACAATGTTCTTTAAATATAGATACACGTAAAATTGTTAAAATGTTGTTTGGCGACAAGGTCGTCGATACGGACGGGTTGCCTGTCCCGTTTGGAACACCTGGCGAACTTTGGGTCCGTGGTTATTGTAATATGTTATATTACTGGGACGACGAAGAAAACACAAGGAAGACTTTGACGTCGGACAATTGGCTGAAAACTGGCGACCAGTTTGTTTTGCAAGAAAACGGATACGGCGCTGTCATAGGAAGACTCAAAGACATGCTCATTCGAGGAGGAGAAAATATTTTCCCCAGGGTGAGAGGCCGTAGATATTTTCTAATTAACACACATATACATATATACATTAGCAACAATAATTGTATATTTTAATGCTATTATCTAACAGTATAATATTCACATTCAAATGTGACTTTTAAGTAAGACAAAAACTGACAAATTACATATTACTTATGTAATTATGTTAATAAATTATTTTGCATTTTATTACAGGAAATTGAAGACTTCTTGATGACTCATCCGAAAATATTGGAAGTGCACGTGATAGGAGCGTACGACGAGGTCTTCGGAGAAGAAATTTGCGCGTGCATTCAACTTCGCGAGGGCGAGAAAATGACAAAGAATGAACTGAAAGATTATTGTAAAGGCAAAATAGCACATTTCAAAATACCACATTACGTCGAATTCATAAATGAATATCCCAAGACGACTAGTGGAAAGATTCAAAAGTTTCGGTTAAAAGAACAAATGGAAAATAGAGGTGTAATACCGGCAAAACCACGGAATTAGTTAATTTTTATAATTATAGATACTTGTATAATTTTAATTTCAATTTTTTATATAAAGAATGTAAGTTTATTTATAATAACATATTGACTATAAAAAGAAAATAATTATCAATAATTTTCGACAAGATTTGACTTTATATCTGTGTCAACTTTGTTATAATTATTTTTTTTCTATAGAAATAATAAAACAAAGATAAATTTCGAAAAAACATGTAAAAGCTGCGGTTTAAAGATAACTAAAAGAGACAAATAAATTGAAACGTAACGTCAAAACAATATCAATAAGACAATCGTGTACGCTTATTCAAAAATTGCTCACAAATTTCAAGACGACTTTCTATCTACAGAAGCCGATAAACAAATGATTCAGTTACTTACTTGTTCTTCTCAGTCCCGAAAATCGATGCCAGATACTCTGCCATAATGCGAAAGATTGCACTTGATTGAAGCAATACGAGTTTCAATACGAGAAAATAAATAAGTATTTCCGGGTTTAAAAGTTACGAAGCAGTGTGTAGTACTTACAAAATGACACGGAGGGAACTCTGTCAGAAAACATAGAAAATTATTTTATCGACGCTTGCACTGTTACCATGAGAGTGTCGATAAAGTAGTTTTCTAAACAATGCGATCGTCGGTAAGATAATTTTCTACAGCGTTTCTCGAGAGCCCTTCGTGTCATTTTGTACGTATGTGATACACACAACACACCGCTACGTGACTTCTAAACCCGGAAAATTTGTTTTCTCGTGCCGTAACTGTTCAGTACTTTAATCAAGCAATCTTTCACATCATGGCAGAGTATCTGGCATCGATCTTTGGGACTGAAAAGGACAAGTAAGTAACTAAATTGTACGTTTGTTCGTCGGCTTCCGTAAGATAGGTTATGATCGCAAAGTACAAATGGCGTTGTTTTTTTTTTCAGAGTGAATTGCTCGTTTTATTTCAAGATAGGCGCTTGCCGTCATGGGGATCGATGTTCACGAATCCACAACAAGCCAACTTTTAGTCAGGTGAGTTACAATTTTGTGCATATTTTCCACACATTTAACGCGTATATCGCGTATATCGCATATATATGTTGTATTTATACGTACATATACGTACATTGATAGCAAAAAAACAGTTACTTGTAAACATTTGCAAAAAGTATATGTTATTGTTATACAAAACTAGCTTGCTTACATGTTTTGCAATATATTCTCTTGTAATATTATGTTTTACAACACAAATATTGAGTGAGTTTTGCAAGTTGTGATAGCACCAATACAATGCTATCTAAATATGTACAGTAGTATAGTTTCTACGGTATACAGTTCTTGTATATTTACTTTGAATACATTCAGCTATAAATCACAGTAATGTTACTGAAAATCAAATCGAAAACAAAACTTTTGTTTTTTGACACATGGGTCCAACACAAATCTGTGTTCTTTAGACATGTTTGCTGCAGAATTTATATGTAAATCCTCAGAATTCTGCAAAAAGCGCTGATGGGTCACATTGTAAGTATATTGTACTAAGCTATTGACATTGATACTATATCAAAGTATCATATAAATTGAAACATGTGTTGTATTACCATTATTATATTGTAGTGGTTGCGAATGTGTCTGACGAAGAGATGCAAGAGCATTATGACAATTTTTTTGAGGATGTTTTTATCGAGTGCGAGGATAAGTATGGAGAAATTGAAGAGATGAATGTGTGCGACAATCTTGGGGATCATCTAGTTGGGAACGTTTACATAAAATTTCGCAGAGAAGAAGATGCGGAAAGAGCAGTCAATGACTTGAACAATCGTTGGTTTGGCGGAAGACCAGTTTATGCTGAACTGTCACCCGTTACCGATTTTCGTGAGGCTTGCTGTCGTCAATATGAAATGGGGTAATTTCAAGCAAAGATATTATTAATGGAATATATGATAGCTACCAGTGTTCGCATAAGTTATGTTTGTTTAGTGAATGCACCCGTTCTGGATTTTGCAACTTTATGCACTTGAAACCGATCTCTCGTGAACTTCGTCGATATTTGTACAGCCGGAAGAAGAGCAAGGGTCGATCAAGATCACGCTCAAGATCACGTGGTCGTGATCGCAGAAGGAGGTCTAGATCTCGTGAAAGGAGATCCAGATCTAGGGATCGTCGCAAGGGAAGAGACGAAAAGAGCAGAGATGGTCGATCTGGTCGCTATTAACAATTGGTGTCTCAAACGTTTAATATGTGATTTTTTCTCACAAGTATTTTTTGCTTTTTCCATTTTAACAATAGTTAAACATAAAATTAGTAAATTTTATCTTTAACATGCTTGCAGGTCAAAAAATCATCTATTTTTGCAATAATATATAATTTTGTGATTGTAATTATGTAGTTTATGTATAATCTGTATTTATAAATGTTCTTATGTTTTTCATCTGAAAATAAATTTGTATTTATAAATAAAAAAATTTTGACGCGCGCGCGCGCGGGTGTTCTTCGCTAACTTCTCTTTCTTGTAAATTAAAGAAATAATTAATTTAATCTGCAAAACTAATTATGCAAGTTGTGTATACATAACATATGCTTTTTTATCATTGTGACTTACTATCTTCAAATGAAAATAATGCAATTACTAGTGTTTGATATACATATATGTACATATTGATAATGGAATTTATATATATGTATATACATGCACACACACACACATATGCATGTAATTTTTTATAATAACTACACTATAATTTTTGAAGTATAATAGCGTATTTATGAGGTTACACGAAATATATATAAAAAGTTAATATATACATGGGAATATTAGACAATTATATTAGAGTCCATTAATACCGACGGAGTTTAACATTTTATAATGGAGCTTGTAACGTTTGTCGCAAGATTTCGCTATGTATTTATTAGATGCGTCGCTTTGAACGCTCACGCGATTAAAGTTGCATTGAGCGTCAGTTTTTTTTATTCTATATTTCAAGAGAAATTATAAAATGTTTGCAAATATACTTTATATAAAAAGATATCGTATATCTTCTGTAAGGAAATCTGCATCTGCAATAAGGTAACATCTTGAATTAATAAATGTTCTCTCTTTCTTTCTCTATTTCTCTCTATGATAACAGTTCTATTTATTCGCGAATTATGATCGTTCAATCTCTTTTATTCTTATCGTAATCAGTATCGCTTATTCATTGTCTCGTGTCGACCAACTGTTGCTCAACAAGTTGTTGAAAGATGATACGAAAGTGCGACGGGGCGTGCGCGCACAGCCAAGCAAAGGATAGCAAAAAAATTTAAGAAAAAAAATCAAAAAAGAAGGAAAAGAGAAAATGCATCAGGGAGAGACAGCCGAGAGTTTTCAAGGAGAATCACGTCTCTCCTCGAAATCGGTTTATTCGGGCACGTGTTTCAGCTGGGCCTAATTGGCGGTCCTCTCAGACCAATGGGCCTATCTCGCTTCGCTCCGAGAACGGGCGTGCATTACCGCAGCAGATGGTGGTCGTGATTGCAGCTGCCTCCGAAGAACACCTGCCTTTTCCTTTGGACAGCCATCGGAATACCGATGTCTGTTCTTTTCACTGCCGCGCCGCCCGCGTTTATCTCTCGCTTTCGAGATTTCTTCGCACTGCACGTTAACGCTTTTCGATGAATAATCGTTTTGCGAGAAAAAAATTCGTGTTTAAACGCAAACTCGAACAATTAACAGAAACGTGTTTATTCGTTCACAGAAAAGCAAAGTCGTTTCGCAATATTAACGCGCGATCTATGATGCGGTTGTACAAAACGTGACCGATTATGTTTAACAATGTATAATTATTCGTCTGCATCCATATATCGAGTTTGATTATGAATGAGTTGTAAATGCATCGTGATTCTTAGTTATTAATTCAACTATCTGCGTTACAGTTTTCCAAATTTTCGTACAACGTTTAATATATTAATTGCATTTCGCGACACTGTTACATATATATATATATATATATATATATTATATATTCGCAAGTCGATTTATTGATTAGAACACAGAATTCTCTCGAAAAAACGTATCGATGAATAATGTTGCAGAATTTGTTGTTGCACATTTATTTTTTGAAATTCTACAGTCCAATAGCAAAAAAAAAAAAAAAGAATCTCTGAGCTCTGTATTAGATAATAAATTTGGATGAACCGAGATTTTCGATAATAGATATTGATTTTTCATTTGCAACACTCGCGACAGTGTAAAGCCTCATATATTTAACACGTCACAATGACTTCAATTTCCATCTAGTTTTATTTTCTATAACTAGAGACGTGTCAGAATTTATGATTAAAGTATTACACGTACATTAATATAATAATAACGTACATTTGGACTTGTCTAACAGAACACGCGTAAAAATATCACCTCGTAATAAAAATGTGATTCATTGAATATTCATGAATTTCTCAAAAAAAAACTTTGCAACAAGTCGATGTCACGAATAAAAAAATTGTTGATTTATGAGCCAATTGAAATTAATTTTCTCTGAAGTTTATGTATTGACTAAAGAATTAGCTAACGTGTTTTTGCAAGTTTAAATTTCTTACTTGTGCGAATTTACACTAAGAGAGAGAAGAAATCCTTAAGAATGTGTGACAGCATGCTGAGATGCAAATTGAGAGAAGCTCAGAAGTGAGACGCAAGCGCGATAGCACGGTCGCGAACAGGCCATCTGAACACCATAATTAATCCTGGCGATTCGCCAGAGAGGCCCTGGCCACAAAGGATAGACTCGTTTCTATACTCCCGGATGATGAGAGGCCGAAGGGCAGAAGAGGGAAGAAGGAACGGGAGACGGCGAACTAGGGTCCTCGAAATGTGCGCGTAGAAAATCGCACGGAGTCTGGAACAATGGACAGCCCTGACCGCGATTTCCCTCGTCGGGGAAACGAGCTAACGAGCTGTCAAACGTCACCGAGCCGGAAGGACCCGGGCGCTGTTGAATGTCGGTGGCATCGCGACGCATCCTTCGATCTGTTCGAAGCGTATTGAGCCTTCCGTAGCAGCGTCCCCGTCTTCCGCTAACTGCGACGGAGATTGGCAATTACATCGGCCGAGATCGATTTGATATTGAAAACTGAAAACGTTTCAAATAGCAATTGGAGAGAATCTCGAGTGTTCTCTCGGCGATTAAGTGACTTGAGCGCGCCGCGTAAAACGTTATCTCGCGGGGTCCTCCTCTCGTTATGTACATGTACGTGTATATGTTCATATAACGAGCGTATTGCGCTGTATTAGCGTAACGTCGACGTGCAGCGTTAAATAATGAGTCGTATAATTACTCGGTCGCTTAATTACCCCGGTCTTTCGTTCTCGTCGCCTGCAATAACGAGAGGGTGAATCAACTTAAACGGACGCTACGCGAAAATTGCAATCGAATGTCGGGCGAGCTGTCTCCGCGACGTAAATGATTTATGAAAGCGAGGGGGAAAACGCGCGGCGAGGGCCAACGAGAAGAGAGCCATACCATAAAATACGAATAACTGCGTGTCGAGCGACACGCAGAGAGGAAGGGAAGAGGAGTAGGAGACGGGGGGAAAAAGGCACCTTTCAATCTCTTCGTATATGAAACTCGTTCGATGGGAAAAAAAAAATGATCCGCGGGGCTATTTAATCGGGTGAGTTCCTGCGAAAAACCCGAACTGATGGCCGACGTTGAAAAAGACGGTCGGGCGTGTTCGAAATTCGATGCTGGAGCCACCGGGCGATTCCGCAGGTGATCCCACAAAGACGGCTCACTGGCTACCGGCTGATGCATGCATCAGCGAGGAAGAAAAAGTACAAATATCCGGTGGAAATTTGTAGTACGCGCAACGCGTGACGACCTAATTGGTATAATAATAAAAATGGCGCGTTTTAACGTTACCAGCCCCGGCGAATTCTCGTTTATATGCAAATGCGTCTCGACCGCGACGCTTCAACGACTACACCCGAACCTATGCGCAAAAAAACGCGCGATCCGCTTCTTCTGTCGACGTCAAAACGATCCAAATGATCTAATCGAATCTCGATTCAAAAAAATAACCCATGAATTTTTCCAATACTTGCAGTCGTCACGTCGCCACCGATAATAATTTTAAAAACAACTGACGTTGCTTATTTTCGAATTATTTGACGCAAAGATATATTTCTGCTGCGAGTATTCGATTTTGCGCGAGCGCGAAATTACATATTGTTGAAATCATATATTGCCATGTTCTATAACTTTGAATATTTTAAAGAGCTGTAATTAATTCATGCACGAGATCTCGCTTTACATCTGTACACATAAGATAAAATTTGGCGTATTATAGCAACATGGTCGAAACATTAATGTGATGTAAAAATAAAGATACGACACGTTAGTGTCGTATGTGTGTTCGTGTAGGTTTGCGCGCACGCTGAACATTTAAATGATTGAGTTATTGCAAAAGTCAAGCTTGTGTTGTTGAAACTTTATACATATTACCTACAGATATAATCTCGTCTGGATTTATTTTTAATATTTTCTGGATTTTTGTTTTTGATATGTACTTGGGGATCACACATTTATTCTTTATAATCGTATCGTTTCACATACTTAAAACGTTTGGAATATAACGTGTTTCGCGAATCGGGAAATATTTTTCTTCTCGCGACACGGGACCGCGCGGACGGGGCGCCAATATATGGCGCTTTTCCGAGATTTATGAGCGACGCCTCGCTCTTTCCCTCCTTTTCTGTCTCCAGAAAAGAAAACCGGTTCATCAGAATTCATTGCAATCGGCATAATCGAAATCTGTTTTTGTTCTTCCTTGATTGTGCCGCGATAACGGACAATGACATTGTTAGAGAGCCGGCGAGGGAGGCGGCGCGCGAGGAACGGAGGAGAGAAAAATGGAAGAAGCCGCGTGCGCGAGAGTCGGCGACGAGGGAGACCGTTGAGGGCGAAACGACTCCCAGGAAGGAACGAGAGAATAGCGAGCGAGTTTAATATGGCGCCTCGGGGCTCGTTTAATCATTTAATCGAGTCCCCGGCATGCCTCGGTTCTCCGCCGTTTGCACCTCGCCCCCCGCCTCGCCTCGTCACCGTCTCGAACGAATACCTTCGGAAGGGCCGACGATTACTTAAAGACGAATTCGTTCGCGTTTCCTTTCTTCCTTTTTCTTCTCTTCTTCCTCTTTTTCTTTTCCCCCTTTGCGAGAACCCTTCAGTTCAGCCCTGCAATATCCGGTCGCACTCGTGGTGAAGCTCATCGAGTCCGGATCGGCATCCGCGGACAGAACCCGGGTCCGGCAACCGTATAAACGGCTTCAACGATCCTGGACGGAGACAGCAATATTCAAATACAAAAAGTGGTTGAGCCACTTTGAGTGCAGGACAAATACTCGACAGTCGCAAGTAACTTACGAGAACATATCCAATGTAATGAAAG